ATCTTCCTACCTTAATTAGTTTGTACAGTTCTGGATTACTTGTTACTTTGGTTAGACCCTCAGCACACGGCTCTTATACCTATCATGTTATTCCAGCCATTTGGTTTGTCTCCTTATTTTTAATTTTATGTAATTATCTCTCTGCCTCAATTCCTTGGATTATAGGTCATTCCCTTCACTTGCTATTCAGCTGGTGGGACTTTACTCACACCGTCTGACACTTTTGATCACCTGCAGAGACTTATTATTCAACCTGTCGACAGTCCACTCCATTTGTATGATCTTTTGATCTCTCTGCTATAAATTCTGTGACTATGTGCCTCTCTGCACTTCATCCAACAAAGGGGCAACACTTCGAAAGCTTATGATTTCAAATAAACCTGTTGAACTATAACCTGGTGTCATGTGGCTTCTGACTTTGTCCACCCCAGTCCAACACCGGCACCTCATCATAATTATCATACTTTAAGTAATCTGTTCACGAGATTGGATTTATTCTTGTGGTGAACTACATATCTTTTTCATTGAAAGATTACAGAAGGGGTTCAGATTAATGTAAACAATATATTAACAGTTTGAAGGAAAAATTAAGTGCAGAGAATTTGGTGAATTTAATCAAAATCATATGTCCTAATCAATAATTATCCTTTAGGAAATATATTTAGTTATCAAGTTAAAAGGTGATCAAATTCTGATTCCCTTCCTGCTGACAAAACTCGCAGTTGAATCACATACATAATAACTTCCTCTTTGTTGACAAATTTTATGCAGTATCTGGTTATTAATTTTTAATTCCATTTTTAATGTTTAGATTCATAAATATCATGTGATATTACAAATATCCCACATATGTTCAAGCAAACGTGGAGTTAATCACTGTTTATTTCATAGAGTGGAAATTGTGCATGTGTGCATTCCTTGTAGCTTCTGCCCATTCCCAGATATATATCAGCACAGTGCAGCAAATTGGGAATTTTTGGTTGTTTCAAAAAATAGGAAATTCACATCAAAGTACACCATTAAGGGCCTGATCTACCCTAGAAACTCAGCCCAATTCCATTATGGAATTACCTGCCAGCCAGCAAATATTATTCCAGTGCATAGAAACATAGATTATGGGAACAGCATAAGGCACTTGGTCCTCCGAGTGTGCTCCGTCATTCAATATGGTCATGGCTGATGATCCATCTCAGTACCTTGGTTCCATTTTCACCCTATACCCGTTGATCCCTTCGCCCCTAAGAAGTATAACTAACTCCTTCCTGAAAACATTCAATGTCTCAGCCTAAAGCATATTCTCTGGTTCGCCCTCATCAACTCTACTAGCAACAAAAGAACAAAAATACAGCACAGGAACAGGCCATGTGGCCCTCCAAGCCTGTGCCAATCATCATGCACTGACTAAACTAAAAAGCAAGCCTTCTGCCTTTATTTGGTCATATCCCTCTATTCCCTCCCTATTCATGTAACTATCCAGATGTCTCTCAAATGTCACCAACGCACCTGCTTCCACCACCTCTTCTGGCAGTGCATTCCAGGCTCCTAACACCTCTGCGTGAAAAACTTTCCTTGAAAATCTCCCTTAAATTTTGCCCTCTCACCTTGAACCTGTGTCCCCTTGTAATTGAAACTTCAACCCTGGGAAAAAGCCTCTGACCATCCACCCTATGTATGCCTCTCATAATTTTGTAGACCTCTATCAGGTCTCCTCTCAGCCACCGTCTTTCCAGTGAAAACAATCCTAGTCTGTTTAACCTTGCCTCATAGCCAATGCCCTTGAGACCAGGCAACATCCTGGTGTACCTTCTCTGCACTCTCTCCATTGCTTCCATATCCTTCTGGTAATGTGTGACCAAAACTGCACACAATACTCTAAATGCGGCCTAACAAGGGTTTTATACAGCTGCAACATGGTTTGCCAACTCTTGTACTCCATGCCCCGACCAATGAAGGCAAGCATGCTACAGGCCTTCTTAATCACTTTGGCCACCTGTGTTGCCACTTTTAGGGAACTGTGGACCTGCACGCCCAGATCCGGTTGTATATTAATATTCCTAAGGGTTCTGCCATTAACAGTATAATTCACACCTAAATTTGATTCTCCAAAATGCATCACCTTGCAATTGTCCAGATTAAACTCTATCTGCCATTTCTGTGCCCAAGTCACTTGTATCCTGTTGCATCCTTTCATAATCGTTGGCACTATTAGCAACTCCACCAATCTTCATGTCATCTGCAAACTTACTAATTAGACCACCCACATTTTCCTCCAGATCACTTATATATACCACAAACAACAGAGGACCTAAGACTGATTCTTGTGGAACACCACTAGTTAGTGGTCTCCATTCTGAAAAACATCCTTCCACCACTACCCTCTGTCTTCTATGACCAAGCCAGTTTTGTATCCATCTAGCCAACCCACCCTGAATACCCTGTGATTTTAGTTTTGGTACCAATTTGCTATGTGGGACTTTATCAAATGCTTTATGGAAGTACATATAAACTACATCCACAGCTCTTCCCTCATCAATTATCTTTGTCACCTCTTCAAGTAATTTTTTTTCAGAATTTTATCAATTGTTTTAAACATTATTTTCCCTTCAGACATCCGTGTTGGTTCTGGTTAATCAGATTTTTTTTTTTTTTAACATATTGAATAATCACTTCCTTTATAATATGTTCTAGTAATTTCCCTACTGCTGATGTCAGGCTAACAAGTCCTTATTTTCTCTCTTCCTCTTGTCTTAAACAGTAGGGTTATGTTTGTAATCTTCTAATCTGCTGGCACTTTTGCAGAATTACGAAAATTTTGATTTAAAATAAAATGTGATCCCTTATGCATCCACTATCATTGGAGCCAAATCTTTCAACACTCTTGCAGTCACATTAATTTTTCCAATACTTTTTTTTTTTTTACTAATACTAATTTCTTTCTGTTGATGAATTCTAAAATTCTCCCATTCCTCAGGCTTATAATTTTTTGGGCAATTTCAGAAGCCTCCTCCCACCAAAAGGTACGAGCTATCTTACCACTCCTAGAGAGTGACGTGGCCACCCAAACAAATCCACAAAATTCAGCCCTGCTCCCACCAGGTCTAATCTGCATAATTCCTGTTTCAGATACCCTGGTCACCAGAAGTCACAGAGGAGTGGAGATAGCTACTGATTTCTACAGGTTGTCTCCTCCACAAAACGTGAATGTTAAATTGCAACCAAGATCACTTCCTGCAGACTTAGTCATCAGTAACATGGAAACTCTCCCTAATTTCCCATATCCAACAGGAGAGCTCGTCACTCTACCAAAGGCCATCTTTGTACCTTAACAATCTACTGACCCAGAAAGCAGCACAGGCTTACCACTGTAAAAACACTGCTCCGGGCTAGCATAGTATGTACGTTTTTATATTTTAAAAGGTTAATCAAGAGACAGATCTCAATAAAAATGTATAACCAAAAAAGAACCCACTCTACTCACTATTTTAGGTTTACAGAAGAAAGCCAGTAAGGTTACACATTAAAAGGCCACTTAGCTGCTCCTCTGCTGTTAGCTCCGACACACAGGTTTCTCCAAGAGCAGCTGTGAATTTCACTTTTTGTTTACTTTCCCTGGAGCGAACTCCAATATCCAGTGATACTTGAAAACAGACAGCAAAGGTAGTAGCTGTGCAAGTTACTGCTGTGTCAGATGGCAGTGTGGGTTTCTTTCTCCATTTGCATCACTGCTCATGTGGTCACTGCCCTTTGTCTGTCTTCTTCCTTTTTAAAGTGCCATTGTTTTGATTTCTTTTTCCCCCGAAGTTCCAAAACCATGGAACGGCTTATAAAACAGTAATTACTGCTCCTAGAATCACAGGAAATCATCTCCAACACTGAAGATACCTCAAAAAAAAAGGAGCAGATCTTACAGCCACAATTTTTTCCTGTCCTCTATTACCCTGAATCTTTTTGTTCCAGATTTCCGTTTCTCAGCCATATCTGCCATTTTCACCAAACACAGAGACAGTCTGTCATGGCAAATATCCAGGTCCATGACTTCAGTCTCACATTGAGAGAAATATGGTGTTTCCAAAAGTACTGAGGAACTTTTAATTCCTTTGAAGTGTACAGGCATTGCTAGCAAAAAGAATCTCCAATTTATGACAAAATTACTAATCATCAGAATGTTATTGTTATTTGCAGTATCACAACAGTTCAGTCAAAGTAACAAAACTAAATTACTTCATTGTTTTTATAACCCCCTTAACTACGCAAAACATCAGTGATAGCCTTCAAGCTACCTCCGGCTATTTCTGGGTGAAGTGGTTGACTGGAAATCAATGTAAGGCAGCTACTTTGATGTGTTGGCCATTTTTGCCACAAAAACAATAGGTACCTCCTTAAAATAGATAGCAGTTAAATTTTAGACAAATTTCATAATCATGTTTAGTTAAAGTCTTGAAAGGTGTTCTCTAATTGACCACGTATACTTTAATTAAGGTTGGTAGCCAGAAATTTTAAGGCTGAACTGAAGCACTTAATTTTTGCTATATTACTGAACGTTATCATTGAAATTTGCGAACACATTATTCTTCAGATAAAGTCCAAATAAAACATTTCAGCAATAAATCTGCACAAATTGTGTAAGGAGAAAACAGCTTTCGTAACAATTTAGAAGTTATGAAATTCAACAAGGAAACACATCCCCATATACACATTAAAGCATGCTGTCATAAAGGCTGAATCAATGACCAACATGCAGCAAGGAAACAAACCCCCATGTCTTATGAAGTGCCTCAATTTCCAGTTGATTTGTGCAGCTCCAACACTAGATTCACTAGAATCAGGCCTTACATTCAAATTTCATGACTTCTATGACGTTTCTGTATTTTCACATTAATTGCCACTAAACTCACGGCAGTACGTTAAATCTAGCAATCATGGGTGTAACTAGCCTTTAAACCACATCTTTAGATTGCAATGCTTTCCTACGTTGATTGATTCAAATATAACCACAACAATGTTCTTGCTTCTCACCTTTATTCAAGTATTTCACAGCAGTTGGCTTACAAATTACAGTAAAAGTATTCCAAATTCCAAAGTTTAAAAACAAAACATTTAAATAACTTATTATCTCACACTAATGCGAAATTCAAAAAATGGAAAGTCATTTTAATACAATGCTCAGTAACTATAGAATTCAATATATAGCATAGTTAATGTTGCAAAGCTAAGCATTCAAACAAAAATAGACACACCTTTATAGAAACCAAAACAAGACACCAATGACTAGGAAAATAAATGTACAAATACAACAGCCAATGCTGCTTTTCAAAGGAATTCAAGCTTATTTATGATGAATCCCATGTTCATCTTCATGACCTGGCATTCCCATTTTCAGTGGAGGTGGAATTATGAAACATATGACATAAACCAAATGTGAAAGACAAAATACAGCTGCTGTTGAAAGGAATCTAGATAATGTGCTGACAAAAGGGGGGGAAATCAGATAAGGGAGGAAATTTAAAAGATTATTAAATTTGGTACAACACACATAAAATCATTGTAGGTTTTGTTTGATGCTACCAATGCTGCTACTGGCACAGGACGTTAAATTGCAAATGGAATAGAGAACAAACAAATCATTTCAAAAACAGTAAGGATGCAGCAGTTCCTGAGACCTATTTAACCCTTTTTAATCAGAAACATGCTACAAAATTCAGCTATGTTTTTCAACAAATGTACAGTTTGTAATAACAATTTCCCAAATTTGCTCCATACAAAATGCTGTTAGTTTAGTGTAGTTTAGATTGTAAAATACCCTCTTGCAGTTATACTTTTTCAATAAATAGGTAAGGAAAACATCACTGTGAAAACATAGGTCAATGAAATTTGTGTGAGTTCCTATTAGTCTTATTAAATTTTTATAAACTTTTTTTCTCAATATTTTAAATAGATAGTTCCCAAGCAGTCATTTACTGAAATTTATTCAAGTTGGGAGTTCAAAGTTCAGTTGGGAATTCTGAAGAGCACTTTGGATTACTGCAGTTTCTTGAAGCCAAAACTTTGCAAGTTGTATGAGGAATTGCAAAAATGTTTTATAATCAAGTACCTTAGCTTTAGAAAGTAAACTGTAGTATGCACACACTACTTACAGTATTCAGTAAACACTGATGGTAACTGGTAAACTGTGGGACCGAAAAAGCTGAGGTAGCTCAACATATAGCTGCAGTAGTCCAAGATCACTGTTCTTTCATAAGTGAATATGTTTTGCATATTTTGTTGTAATGCACCTTACAGTTTGAAGAGGCTGTAGTGGATATTTGGATAGTGGGTTTTGTAACACTGGACCTGCAATTGTATTAATTCTCACATTCTGTGCTTAACAAAAAATTAAAATGCCGGCTTCAGTTCAGAAATAAAGCCTACACTATAACAGCGGTCAGTGGCTTTAAAATTACTCCAAAATTGCATCCAGTTACTCCAGCTATTTATCATGACGCAAGCATCAACAGGGTTTAATTCACTACAAAATGAACATTCAAAACTCCAAAATCCATCAATATAAAAGCGAATCTTAAGCTAAATGTCGTCAAAAATTAATAAAATAGGCTGAATCACTCTATCCAGTTTCTTAAATTATGAAGTTCTGCTCCATTGCATTCAATGATGGCAAGTTTGTGTTGGGGAGAATAACCAATGAGAACCACCTTTTTTATATCATAGCACCAGACTGTGCAACAGTGATGGCAAGTGGTTTTGAGTGTGTAATCTCAATCATGTCCAGTTTGGTTCTGTAGGCTGGTCTGTTCCAGGCACCTGAGACAATAGCACCAATTCACAAAGAGAGAGATTAAGACCAAGGCTCTGAATGTTGCTGAATGGCTCAGAAGGCTGCTTCCCTGCAAGCAGTTTATGTGATGAACCTGTTCCTCTTCAAAGGTTCACAGGAATGTATGAAAGGTCTTTAATAGATTTTCCATTTCCTACATCAAAATCACAATGGTGTCAATAAGCAGCTTGCAAACTTAATAGCTTTGCTAGAATACTACTTAATCTGGCAGCAAAGAGATTTGTAGTGAAGTGATAAAGGATATGAGCATCCTTTTCAATGAAAACCATTTCCAGTGTGTAACCTTTAAAATAAAATAGTAATTTTTATGCGTTGCACAATGATTCTAGCTATAAAAACAGATTCAAAAATAGAATTAACTCAGCTTAAAAAGAAATATTTATGCAGCCAGTTCATGAAATAGTAAATTTGATGAATGCTTTGTTTCAATACAACCTGTAGCCTTGCACATTATAAAGCGGTTTAATGTTGTCAAAGATATTTTGAGGTTCACAAATGGTCTAGGCTTTAGACATGGTAAAAGTCATGGATTAGCAGACTCAAAGTGATGTCTGGCTACAGCTGGCACCAAAGTTAAATGCTCGTTTTTAGAGCTTTGTTTATTAAAAGAAAACTTTTATTACTGTACACTATTATTAATAATTACATAAATTCATGACCAGAATGTAATCAATCTACTTACTTATTTTTCAATAACTATTCTCTCAACATCAATAATTAGTGTTCAGATGTCTTTACACAAATAATTATCTGCATGCCAAGTAATGAAGCTCATGTTATTAACCACTTGACTGATTAAGCTGTTCAGGCAAGTCACTTTTAGAAGATAATCTATTCTGTTCATATTCTTACGATAGTACACTTCCATACTGAATGAGTAGAACACTGACTAGACTTTCTGTTACAATTGCAACTTTATACGGACTTAAAAGAAATGTATTCTATAGGATGGGATGGTTTGGATGTTGATTCATATAATTTTCACCATATCTGTTGAAATTAATGCAAAGTGACTGGTGTTTTGCACTGACAACGCAAAGAAGTCTGAATTCAATCTCAGGACCTTACGAAGACCATTAGCTTACTCAATTTTATCATCTACAAATGTGAGATTTTGTTTTTGAAACCAAGGAGCAAGTGATTCCACTTGAAATCTTCCCATTCACAGCTATATGGTTTCTAGTTTTCAAATTAAAATGTCTTGAGTCATGCTTGAGCCACTATTCTCCAGCACACATTTAATCAATTTAAATCCATGTATTGGAACCTTCTTAAGGGTTTTCTACATATTTAATTAAATAAATACATTATTCTCATCGATCCCTTAACCATTGAAGTGCTGTCTTTGCCTGAACTGTAACTATCATGTGTTATTCATTCTACTCAAAGTAAATGACTATTACCAGAAATTGAGTGCTAGTACCAAAATACACTTGAACAATTGCCAGACACAAAGGTGATCATCACATTTAATTTAGTTTCTCAAAAAAAAAACACAACATGGGACAATTCCTGATAACAATTGTGAAAAGCACAGTCTTTTTTGTTATACATATAATAAAAATAACAATTTGTGGAAAATAATAGTTAATATTCATAATTTTCAAGTGAAGCTTAGGCAATTTATTTTGTTAGAACAAAGTTAAGTTTGATTCAGACTAAGCATGAGATGGGATCACTGCATTATAACATTGAGGAATATTACCTTCACTATCAGTCACTAAAATGACAGTTAACATTCTAATCAGAACAAAAATCACATCAGGATTTTCCATCATCCTATGCTGAACACAGCCCAGAATTAAATAAAGCCTCTGATGGTTACACAGGTCGTTGCCTACTAAATAAAAGCAGCACTATTTGTAACCAGATTTTTTAATACAAGAAATAAATTCAAACGTGAGTTTTAAAAGAACTAGAAAAACAAGATGCTTTATAAAGGAATTAAAGAAATGTTAAAGAAATGCTGCATCATTCACACAGTTGAATGGCCAAATTAGTTGCAATATCCCACAAGATGGCTGAAGTAAACATACAAAATGCAAAGAACTCCTAACTTTCAAGATATTAATTTTTCTGTTAATCCAACTGTAAACACATCCTATAGGGTCACCATCAGGATGAATTTAAATTACTGCTTACCTCAAGTAAATGGGTTTTGTCATATTCCTTGCGATGACGATAGATGCATTGACTAAGCAAAGAATAAAGCTTTTCGAGTTGATCAACTGTAAAATTATTGCTCGTCTTAGTGGCCAGCTGGAGGATATGCTACAAAACAATATGGAAGTTCTCATTAGGTTACCTTGACTTCTGCAAACAAAATAACTTCAGCACAGGAGACATGATCATCTAGGCTATTAGATCACCATCTTTGACTTCAAAACCTTTCCGATACGAACTCATCATATCCATTTTAAAAAGAATATTTCACACTCCCAACAGAATTTGAATTTCATGAAGTATTGGAAATCTGATGTTTAGCCTGAAATAAATCATACAACCTGGTACTCTCACATGATGAAAAGATAAACAATTCCCAAGGATATCAGCAACCAGAAAGGACTTAAATAGTAACATTTGGTTTTTGAAACAAGAAGTTAAATAATCTGAATACAGCTAAGGTCCAAAAAATGCCTTCTGCTCAACTTAGCAAGCCATTCAGTTCAAGTGGGTACAAATGCTGACCTTGCTCATGATACTCACATCCCATGAAAGGATTTAAAAAAATGCTGCTAATACTCAGAAAAAATCTGAAGAAAGGTACACTTCAAAAACATATGGTCCCTTAAACGTTGGAGATGAAGGTAGGCATGATCAAATGGCCCCGACATGAGAATATTCCAAAAAGCGAAAATATCTTAGCCAACCTTCCTTCTGTGCCCAAGAGACTAACTGACCATTCATCTGATTGAAAATGCTTGCTTTATGCAAAAATGACTGGTGCTTTCCCATTACTTCACCTACAGTAAAGTACAATTCTTGCATTCAGTATATTTCTGACAAATGTAATGCAGCATAAAATGAGTGAGAGTTCTTTCGTGTCCAACGATCCATTTACACTTGGATTAAAACGTACTCAATTCTGGGCTGCTCAAATGTAAAAAGAACAATGCCGTACTTTGGAGAACACAATTCCACTACTGAGGCTATTAAGATCATAACAAGTGTGTTGCAGCATTCGCACTCAATCAAGTTTGAAGATGGTTTAAATTCCATTTTTTGCATTTGCCCAGAGACAAAATTAGCCTGGAAAACCTATTAACCTGGCCTTAGTGTGAACAAAAACCTGGGCTTCTCCTTGGAGAATGACTTTACTCAGTCAACTCCTGAAGCAGCTGAATAGTAAAACTTTCAAACACATTCACTGAATTACAAATCATCTTTAAACAGAGAAAAAAAACTAATGAACTGTGGATGCTGCAAATCAGAAACGAAAACAGAAATCTCTGGAAAAACTCAGCAAGTTTTTCTTTCCTCTTCTCTAGCTGATTGAGGACTTGATGTGGAGGTGCCAGTGTTTGACTGGGGTGGACAAAGTCAAAAAAGTCACACCACACCAGGTTACAGTCCAACTGGTTCATTTTAAATCACAAGCTTTTGGAACATAGTCCCTTCACCAGGTGAAGGGCTCACAGAGTAGACGCTGAGAGATATTTTCTGCAGAGAACAGAATCTAAAAACAAGGGTACAGTCTAAGGATAAGGGACTGATCATTTAGAACTGAGATCTGGAGAAATTATTTCAAAGGGTTATGAATATGTGGAATTCTCTACCTTAGGGTTATGGCTGTTCCATTGTTGCATACAGTAAAGGGTAGGATAGACAGATTTTTGGTCTCTCAGGAAACTAGGATATGAGAAGCGGGTAGGAAAGTAGAGTTTAAGCCCTCCACTGGCCATGATCGCATGAAACGGAGGTATAGGCTCAACAGGCTACATGATCTATTCCTGCTTCTTGAATTCTTGTAAGTAAATAAATGGCATTGGATAAATTAATGGGATGAAATAATGGCAACAAATTCCCCTGGATCAAATGGCCTACATCTTAGAGTTTTGCGCAAGGTAGCTTCAAAAATGGCAAATATAGTATTTTCAATTTTTCAGAATGCTTAAGGTTCTTTAACAGTTCCCAAGGATTAGAAGGTGGTAAACACAATCCTTTCATTTACCAAAGGAGGAAGAGAGAACAGGAACTACAGACTAGTTAGCCTAATATCAGTAATTGGTAAAATACTAGAATCTATTTAAGGACATAAGACTACAAGATAAGAGCAGAATTAAGCCACTTGGTCCATCAAGTCTGTTCCATCAAGTCTGTTCCATCATTCAATCATGGCTAATATGTTTCTCAACCCCATTTCCTGCCTTCTCCCCATAACCCTTGATCCCCTTACTAATCAAGAATCTATCATCTATGTCTGCCTTAAAAACACTCAATGACTTGGCTTCCACAACTTTCAGCAGCAATGAATTCCACAGATTCTCCTCTCTCTGACTGGTGAAATTCCTCCTCCTCTCAGTTCTAAAGGGTTGTCCCTTCTCTCTGTGGACGTGACCTAAGGTCCTAGTCTCTCCTACTCGGGGAAACATCATCTCCATGCCCACTCTATATCCATGCCTCTCAGACAAAGCAACAGGGTACTTCAAAAATCAAGAACCAGTGGATGTAATTAATGCACTTGGACTTTCCAACCATATTCGATAAGGTGCCACACAAGAGGTCATTATATAAAATAAGATTCTTGAAAATGCAGAAAATATTAGCATGGACCAAGAATTGGTAAATATAGGAAACAGAAGTTCAGAATAAATGGTATATTTTCAGAATGGAAGGCTGTAACAGCAAGAATCACTACTTAGGGCTCAGGTATTCACAACCTATGCTAGTGAATTAGATGTAGGGACCAAGTGCAAAATATGCAAGTTAGTGGAGGATACAATACTTGGTGAGAAAGTTAATGTCGAGGAGGATACAAAGAAGCTACAGAGGAATATAAACATTCAGGTAAGCAAGCAAGAATACTGACAGCTGGAACACAATGCCACAAAGTATGAAGTTATTTGAATAATAGAGTCAGAGTCGTAGAGCACGGAAACAGACCCTTCGGTCCAAGTCGTCCATGTCAACCAAGTTTTCAAAACTAAACTAGTCTTACTCGTCTGTGTTTGGCCCACATATCTCTAAATCTTTCCTATTCATGTACCTGTCGAAATGTCTTTTAAATGTCCTAACTGTACTTGCACCTGCCACTTCCTCTGGCAGTTCATTCACATTCGAACCACCACCTGTGTTAAAAAGTTGCACTTCAGATTCATTTTGGTAGAACAGATTGTGAAAGATGGGGAAAATGTTTGCTTTCAGAATGACCTGGATGGACTTGCACATTAACCAGAAAGTTCCACGAAAACAGCAATTAAGAGGCAAATGTTTGTTATATTTTGCCACAATATTTGAAGTACAAGAATAGAGAAGTCTTGCTACAATTATACAGGACATTGGTAAAGCCACACCTGCAGTACTGTGAACAGTTTTGCCCTCCTTCTTCAGAGAAGGACATGCTTGTCCGTAAGATAGAGCAAGGAAACTTGAGACTGCTTCCTGGGGAATGTCTCAGGAGATGAGCTTGAAGTAGATTCTGCATATATTCCCTGGGGCCCAGAGTAATGAGGGATAATCTAGGTTAACCATTTAAAATCCTTGTGGGACTAGAAAGGATAGATGCTGCAACATATTTCCCTGGCTGGTGATGCTAGAACAGAGTTTTGGAATAAGGAATCAGTTGTTTAGAATTGAGATTAAGAAACATTTCTTGATTCAAAAGTCTGTCAAGCCCTGGAATTCCCTACCCTCAACTGCTGTGAATACTCAGTTGTTGAGTATGTTCCAGACACAGATCAATTTGCTTTTCTTGAGTATTGAGTATTAAGGGATATAGGAATAGTGTGGTAAGTTGAGTTGAAGTCAAGACTCAATCACGACTTGTTGGATGGTATAACAGGTTTAAAGGGCTAAGTGGCATACTACAGCTCCTATTTTGTATGTTCTTACATAATCCTCTTAATTTGTCAAGGTATTTATTTGCTATGATGTGGATAGGGGGAGGAAGCACCCAAAAGGCAAAAATATAGGCACAGAAATATGACAGATAACTCCGTAAATAAATGCAATTCAAAACATTGTAGGCAGGTATTATTCCAGTGATTCTAATCTTGTAACATCTTGGCTGTCTCCATAATACGTGGACAATAAAAATGTTGATTAATATTCCAAATGGCTGTTGTATTCTTAAGAATTCATGAAACAATAACACAACGTAAATCCTAGGATATTTCTTGCAAACTGAGAATAACTCCCGAGATGTTCAATTATTCATCAACTTACCTTTAGTCGCACATGGTCCAAAATTACTGGGGGGATGGGTTCTGAAGAGTCTTCCAACACCTGCTCCATGTGCACAACTGTCTTTTGTTCTACATGTACTGCATGACCTGTTTTCAACCTGCCCAAAACTAAGGTACATTTTTAGTAAATACAATGAAATTTGTTTATTCCCAGCAGCCAGAGATTGTACACTAAATAATTTTATAGTTTAATACAAAGACAAGCCCTCTTTTTTAAGGAGAGCTTCAACAACAGACAAAGCCATGTAACTTTTCAATAAATACAGAAGTCACAGTGAAATCTTGTTCACTTTAAACCCTGGCCAAACTCAGTGCACTTGTCTCAGCCTATGGATTCGAAATCCTGCAGAGAGCCCCCAATTTGTTACGATCCCCACAGAGACCATTACCTTTAAAAAGAAATTTGAACTTTCAGTTAATAGTTTAACAGATTAAAAGACAAGATATTTTAAGACATTCACTGTAACAACAAAAAACTAAAAGTGTTAACTAAATATTACTTTTGCAGGGAACTTAAACTTCAAATATCAGAACAAGCTTTTAACACAATAAAGAAAGCTATATGGTACACCGTTCTTTAAGCAAACATTCAAACCTCAACGGCTCAGTCCAAAGCGATTCTTAGCTACTTCTGCTCTTTTCCTTTCTCAGTTTAATAACTTCTAACTCTAGAATAGTCCTTTGTGATAACAGTATTATTCTTGTCTTAACTCTTTATGAAGTTAATCTTGATAATCAGAACATGAGTTTTCCACCCACATTCCACATTCAAACACATTTTTGGCCTCTAGCTCCTCTCCCCCTCTCTCTTCTTTCCACATCCCCACTAGCGCAGACAAATGGCAGTCTAACCTTTATTCAGTGATATTTACCCCAAAAGCCTGTAACGCCCAGACACAAAAATGGCTTCTTCTGTACCCTTCCCATCTCAAAGCCCATTAGCATGATAATGCAAATCTCACCGATCTTGTATCCTAATAAGAGGTATTGATTAGTTTTCCTTGACAGACAAGTATCTTTCACATTGGAACTAAACAGACAACTTAAACTAGAACTCAAGTATTCTCAACAACTTTCTGGGATATCGGATACTTGCATTCTAACCACTGTCAACACACGTGCTGTTGCCATTTTCTCCTTGCATGTTCTTCTGAGTAAAACAATCTGGCCCCCCCTTTAATCTCAAACAAAGAAGCCAGCCCTGCTGTCAGGCAGATTTTAAATGACTTTAAATGTCACATGACTTTCTCTATTTTTCAAGATAAAGACACAGTCCTAAAACAATCTTATAAGCCTTATAATTATAATTCTCAACAATGTGTTATGATATATTTTCTTAAATGTCCATCAATGGCTTATTTCCCACCATCATAGTCAACTCTGTCTTCATACCATTGCAACTGTACCTTTGAGCGGAGGCAGTGATGTAGTGGTAGTGTCAACGGATTACTAATCCAGAACCCCAGGCTAATGTTCTGGGGACATACAGTTGAATTCCACTGTGGTAGTTGGTGAAATTTGAATTCACTAGAAATCAGGAATAAAAGATGGTCTAAAAGCAACCATGTAACCGCTACTCTCATTAAAATCTACCTGTTTCACAAGAAAATCTACCATCCTTACCTGATCTGGCCTGTATGCGACTTCAGATCCATAATAACATGGTTGACTTTTCACTGCCTTCAGGGCAACTAGGAATGTGCAAAGTTTGCTCGCCTAGCCGGGGAGGCCCTCAGCCCATCAGTGCATTTAAACCATGGCCTTTATTTAAGTTTAAGGCACTAGCGTTCAATCAAAGTGTCTCACCGGCCAGTTTAACATGAAATTCTATTATTTTATGATCCAAGAAAATCCTTTACCTTGAGGTTGGTAATTAATGCTATCTCATTACATATTACCATATCTAAAATACCTTGTTTCCCATTTGACAGCGTGTTTCCATTTGCATATTGCTTTAATATTGTCCTAAGATACTGTCCCAGATAATTTGTGAATTTGCTGTGGAGGTTACTTTACCAATTTGACTTGTCCAAACTCTCGTAAGATTAACTTCACAATTTTTTAATACCTTTCACATAATCCCTCATTAGTTCTTTATTAATGCTCTGTCATATGGCATAGCTCCTACAATTCCAACTGTCTTCTTTCACTTGTTATTTCTCATGCCCATTCAAAGTCATTTTGCGATAATAAGGAGTAGAGCTGGATGAACACTGCAGGCCAAGCAGCATCAGAGGAGCAGGAAAGCTGACGTTTCAGGTCTACACCCTTCTTCAGAAAATGCAAAGTTATTTTGCGTCTTGATCTTCTAAACCAAGATCATTTCTCACAACCATATTGCACACATTCTTTATTTATTGAGCTGAGGAAGGGGTGGGGGGAGGGGTTATATGCGCACAATTGTTGGAGATGCCAGGTGAAGTTGAAAAAAATGGTTAACAGCCATAGAGATTGCATAGAGATTTATAAAAAGAGGCAGAGAGTACAAACCAAGGAAGATACAGCAAACCTTTTAAAAATACTGGTTACGCCTGAACTAGAGTAGTCTGTCAAATTTTGGAAACACACTTTTTAATCAAGGATGTGAGGGTAAGAGAGAGCACAGAAAAATCTATGAAAATAATTCTAGGAATGAGAAATATCAACCATGTAAGGCTAATGAAGTTAAGGCTGCACTCCTTAGGGAAGAGCAATTTCAGAGATTACTTACAGGTGCTCCAAATTAGGAGTTGCCTGGACTGAAGAAACAGGGAGAAACTTTGCCCATCAGTGGGAGGGTCAAGAATCAGAATACACTAATTTAAGTTTGGCAGAGCAACAGAGGTGTTACAAAGGAAACTTTATGGTAAGAGAGATAGTAGGAACTGCAGATGCTGGAGAATCTGAGATAACAAGGTATGGAATTGGATGAACACAGCAGGAAGGCTGATGTTTCAGGCCTAGATCCTTCATCAGAAATATACGGTAAGAAATACTTTGAGAGTGTGGTAGTAGATTTAATCATGGCTTTAACATAGGGATTAGTTAAATATCAGAAGAGAAAATAATTGCAGTGATACAGGGACAGAGGCTAGCTAAATTGTTTAAATGGTAGCCCAAATAACCTTCACCTGTGTTACAACCATTCTACAATTCTAACTTCGTCTCTCTACCGTTTTCTGTATTCTGATCCAATTCCCTGCTGCACACTACGTGTTTCATCCCTTCCTCTCAAATACTGTTCATCATTAGCCCTAACATGACTCTGCATAACCGCCTTGTTCTTTGTCTAACTCTTTGGAATTCCCCTCTCACGAACCTTCTCCACCAGCTACTCAACTTAAAGCAGAAATTGCTGGAAAAGCTCAGAAGGTCTGGCAGCATCTGTGAAGGGAAAAACAGAGTTAACGTTTCGGGTCCGGTGACCCTTCCTCAAAGTTCTTGTTCCGAGGAAGGGTCACCGGACCCAAAATGTTAACTGTTTTTTTCCTTCACAGATGCTGCCAGACCTGCTGAACTTTTCCAGCAATTTCTGCTTTGTTTCCTGAATTACAGCATCTGCAGTTATTTTGTATTTTTAATTTAAAGCAGACACTGACTCTAAACTCTAAACTCTACTTTGCATACAGCAGATCACTATTGCCTAATAGCTGCAAGAATAAAGTAATCAAATTTCAGTCTCAGTCCCCAGCAAGAATGGGTTCAAGAAAAATAAAACACTAGAAATTTGACATTAATGGATAAATATAAGAGGTTTCAAAATAGAAAATTCAAACAATTACAGCTGCAGTTGAAGCAAATTGCAAAGCAAACTATAAGAAACATTCCCCTATAATAAACTGATACAAATCATGGAAAGTGTTGACATCCCTAGAATCCAAGTCTTCAATTTTAAAAGTAAAATTTTAAAACTTGTACTTAGACGGCTTGAACAGCACTGACTTTCACAATGTTCTGCATTGAACAACAAAGCTTTTGCAATAAATAATTAACCCAATGTGAAACAACAAATCAGCAACTTGTTTCCTGGTCGCCTTCCTTTTTAAAGGAGGCACTTTTTTTAAACCTTTATTGGAAGTATAAAAAGTAAATCCAAATGAATGAAGTTTATTATTCTATATCTAATTAGCATGACCCAGTGAGGTATATAGCAGATGAAATGCAGTGTAAAAGTTTCTCTACTGTATGCCACTGCATCATTTCCAACTCAAAATATTGACAGTACCTGTGTGGCCCTCGGCTTTTCCCACCAGTAACAGTTAATATCTAGGAATGTAGACTCATTTATTAGGAGTTTGCTGATAATTATCTAAAATCTCCACAAATAATTGTTGCAGTTCTCATCATGAATGACTCATCTTACTGGAGTGGGCTGGATTTGAATTCTAGTCTCAAAGATAAAACAGTAGTTTTAAGTCAGTCGCTTTGTCATCAATAAACTCATTTTACATTATTAACATGAATTACTTAGTCTTGTGTACCACAATGTGTTAAAAGTTAACTCAATTCTGTTTTGCGCCACATTACAAAAAAAAACACCCAATGCAAATTTTTTTTACCACTGTGATGATTATAGATGGAATTAATTTACACCTGACAAAAGCATATACATCAGGCATTACAGCAATTTCAGAAATTTAAACCTGCGTACTACAGATACAATGCCTTTAAGTAAATAAAGAGGATTACCATCTTTTTCAGGTCCTAGAGATTTTAGATCAACATCTTCATTTTGTGAACACTTTGTTGCATTGGCTGCTTGTGCTGCACCAGTGACAGCATGAGAGCTATCTTCAACCAGTTGCTTTTTGTCTTTTTCCATTACAGGTAACTTTGAATTTGGCACAAGCTGAGTCATGGACTCCTTGGTAGGTTCACATTCCTTTCCAGGTTCATGTTTTGCATCAGACAAATCATTACCAGGTGCAGGATTACCAGATGTGCACGTCCTGCCAGCCAAACATTCTTGAACAGATTCACTTTCAGCACTTGCCATAGATTCATCACTCCATGAACACTCATTAGGTACCAACCTCTTGCCAGGAGTGCATGCATCATTAGGTACACACTGTTCTCCTGGAGCAGCATTTGATTTTCTTATGGAAAACTCATGATTCCCATCTAATTGATAGCCTGCACAGTCCTCTTTTCTTGTGGATTTAAGGTCACCACTCCCTTTTTCCATTGTACCATTTTCGAGTTTATTTCCCACCTGGGCAACATCCATGATGTCACACGATGACTCATCATTGGTCAGGGAGAGTTCGCCGTTCTCATGATAATCTGTATTCACTTCCAATTCTCCATTCTCTGCTAGCTCACTTTCTTCACCTTGGTCAGCATCATGTTCGTCATTTTTAACATCATCGTCCTCTTTCTTGAGGTGAATCACCTTCCTCGGCTTTTTAATAATACCTCGACCCCATTTTGAACGTCGACGTGGTTTTCTTTTAATGTGAACTGTTGAGTAACATGAAACTGAAATTACTATGAAATACTAGTGAAACTATTCATGTGGCATTACTACTAGACTGCTATAAAGGCAAATACTTCTTCATATTAAAAACCCACAGTGCAGTAGTATGAATAGAAACTCTCAGCTGGTTACACTCAACATTAATAAATTATAACTTTAAATGAAACAATTCCTTCTAAGCATTACAATTTTGTTTACTTCAATTTAGATCCATGTCATGCAAAGTAACCGGTTCTAAACATTGCTCTATGAAATGCACAGACTTTTTAGAGCAGAGGAACAAAGATGTTCCATAGGATAGTGCATGTACAGAACTGGTTAAGTTTTATTTAGTTTAAGGTTTGAATTTGTACTTAAAATGGAAAACTGGTTGCTAAAATAGTAATGTATTAACTAATTGTTCAGTTACTAATACGTTTATTGTGGAGCGAAAAATTTCATTCCAAGTTGCTGCAAGAAAAAATGTAAAATTTAATATCAAGAACAACTTGTATTTATATAGTCCTTTCAAGAGAAACAAAACTGCCCAAAGTGGCATGATGAAACAATTATTACACTACTTTAATTGCATCTAATCATTAATATCAAAGCTTACACCTGTTTTGTATTAGATAATTTCTTTACAGCTGCATGGAATACACTGGAGCAGTTGATGTTTATTGCAATTAAGGAGCTACAACCGCAGAGCACTAAACCATAAACTGATAATTCATAAATTGAACAAAGCTCAACACTAATACAAGTCTGACATAAGGTTCGGTTATCAATGCAGGCAGTAAGAATAAATGCTAGGTAACTGTTTGCTTGGGATTTCTACACTCATGGTATACAAATCATCATACAATTCGCAAAACTTGCAATATTTGGTAATGGAACAAAGTACCACCAAAAATACCTTCCAAAGACTGATTTAATTAAAAAAAAAACTGAAAAACTGAACACAAATTTTTTTTAACTATTGTGCTTAGTCGCAACACTTACTCGTATGCTTACATTCCCCATTTGTGGTACTTGCTTCTAAATTCCGTGATGAGTCTTGAGCTGTATCTCTTTTTGTTTCTACATTGTGACTGGTTTGCTCTGCTACTGATTGCAAGTCTGTAAGAAAATAAACAAGCATAATCTTACAAACAACATTCAGTGTAGCAGTTTACCTTGTGTACAAAAACGTTAAACAACATTTGAATGATAGTGATTTATTCATCAACTTTTACTTTTCATTATTCATTCATGGGTTGTGAGCGTTGTTGACAAGGGCAGCATTTATTGCTCATTCCCAATTATTCTTGAACGTGGTAGTGATCGCGCATCATGGTTTACTTGGGCAACTTCACAGGATAGAAAAGAAACATCCATAGTGAAGTGAATTTGAAAATACATCTTGACAGTGAGTTTCATTCCTAAAAGGAAATTAATGAATCAGTTGGATTTTTATGGAAATCTATTAGTTCCACGATCCCTACTACTAAGGCATTTTATTCCAGATTCATTTAGTAAATTGAATTCAAATCACAACCTACAATGGTGGGATTTGAATTCAGATTTCCAAATTATTTCCAGGAATTTCCATAGATCTGACTATTTCAGTAACATAACTTTCTACTATGCTGAGCCCAACTTAGAACTTTAAAAGCTGTGTTTTGGGGAGCAACCTGCAGAGTATTGGGCCTAAATGGCTGATGAGATAGCTATTATGGGTCAATCGTCAAGAAGGATATGCAGATATGGAGACTTTGGAGAGATGGTAGGGCTAGAGACTTCTGAAATAAGCAGCACAAGACTACAAAATGATTTACATATGCGGATAAACTATCTGAGGCCCTTTCAGACCAGAAGAACAGGAAGACTTGGCCATGTTTACCACTTGGCCAACATCACTAGGAGAAGATGACTGCCTGATGACTACCTTATTATTTGTTCTAGGTCTTTGCTGTAGGCAAATTATTTGCTGCATTTCTTGTATTTACTACAGTGATCACACTTCAAACTAGCTGTAAAGTGTTTAAGAACATTCTCAGGATGTGCAATATACTATATGAATAAGTAATGTTTCTTTCCACTTCTGTATGTTGAGCAGCAATTCCATCAACATTGACTGAGTACAGCAAAGGCTGGCAGCTTAACAACAACAAGCAACAGTACCCAAGACTCGTCCTCCAGTACTAGCTGCAGCCGGAGACAAACTATTGGGTAGTTACCAGTGTTGTAGCTGGACTGGAACAATGTGAAAAATTGTCCATGTACGTCGTGTCTGAAACAAGTAGGACAATTCCAACACAGCAATAACTAGGCTGTCAGTCTACTATTAGTCATAGGCCAAATAATTGAAGCTGTAGAACCGTACAATTAAGTTGTATTTGTTCAGCAATGACCTGCTCACTGTTGTTCAGTTTGGGTTCACTTAGCTCCTTAACTCATTCTATCCTTGGTCCAAACATTGGAAAGAAAAACAGCTGATTGCCAGAGGTGAGGGAAGAGTGACTACATGAAGGACTCAGCTGATTGTTTTAGCATGAAGGAATCATAGTAAAACGGGAGTCAATGGAAATCAGGGGTAATCTCCCCAAATGGTAGAGTCATACCTAGCACAAACGAACACGGTTCTGGCTGTTGGTGGCCAACTATCTTGTACATTGCTGCAGAAATAGCTCCGGGTAGTGTCCTAAATACAGCAATCTTCAGTAACTTCATCAATAACCTGTCTTCCACCTTAAAATGATAGGCAAGTATGTTCGCGGATGATTGCACAACGTTCAGGATCATTCTTAACTCCTCAGATACTGAAGCAGTGTTCATTAGCACTAAGACCTGGACAACATTGGTTTGGGCCAATATGTGACAAGTAACATTCATATCACATTAGCACCAAGAAATTACTGTTAACACTTGAAATTCAAATGGCATTATCATCACTGAATCTCCCACTACCTATCCTGGAGTTTACCACTGACCACAACTGAATTGGACCAAATATATAAATGCTCTGGGTGAAAGTGCAGGTCAGCACAGGCTAAGAATTCTGTGGAGAGTAACTGACCTCCTGTCTCCCCAAAGCATATCTACTATCTATAACGCACAGTTGGGATGTGATAGAATACTCTCAACCTGTCTGGAGGAGTGCAGCTCCAATGGCAGTCGAGAAGCTCAACACCGAATCTTGACTACAAATTATATTGTCATTCACTCACTGTAACAAGGTCAAAATCCTGGAATTCCCTTCTAGAGCATTGTGGATGTAGCTGCTACACATGGACTGCCATGATCAAGGTGCGCTTCTCAGGGGCAATTAAGAATGAGCTGGCCAAGCCAGTGACACCCATATCCCATGAGAAACTAAATAATTTAAATTGAGTTACCAGAAGTAGAATTGAAAGATAGATGCTGAGGTAAAACTGTCTCTAAAAGCAGTCACCACTGACGTTTGTATTTTCTTTTAAATTAACCTGTTCAGAAATGTTATTACACATCTATGAAACAGGTAGAATTTTAACCTGGCCTTCTGACTCTCAGATAGGGATACTGCAACTGCACCACCAAAGTCCTTACAATTTAATTAACTTCAGAAGCAAATTAAATAGTCAGAGGAGTAAAAGAACTAGATCTTAAACTGAAATATGATGAAAGGATGGGACCTTCCCAGGAAGTTTTTTGAATACAATGATCCAGACCAGCAATTCTATGAGGTAATATTCAAGAACACCGTAACCATTCCAGTTCAGAAATCTGTTGCTTGGAAATATCAGTTGTTCTGAACTTTTTTAAACAAACTCACACATTCCCTGGACGTCATCAGCACAATGTTTGCATAGCAATTTGAGTGAAGGAATATGGAACATATTCACATGAGTACAGCAATTTTTGTGACAGCTTTATCGTGTTTTATCGCTGTTTTGAGTTTCAAATAAATAGTTCTATTTACAGTGTTTTACGATTCATACTCTTGTAGTTGGACATTCTAACATCAGTCTGGATTCATCTAGAAATAATTGGTTCTTAAAATTCCAGATTGGGAATGTTCAAGTAAAGTGGTGTAAATGCCATCAGTTATCATTACCGTTTAAAATAAACCAAATTCACTATATAAATGGTATTAAAGTTTAATTATTAGATTTTGGTATTCAACAACATATTCTCTGCTCCAGTTGGTCCACAGGTATAAAGATTTACAACTGAAAGGATACTAACAATTTGAAAAGGTTCAAAAATTAAACGACACTTAGATCAGTCGAGAGGAGAAAAAAAACGGTCTACATTATTTCACAAGTGCACTAATTATTGCAAAATAAAGGATGTGCTACATATTCAAGCAGCACAACACCGAAAAGGACAGGTTCCAAACTCTTCTTTAAAGAACTCTGGCCATGTACACCTATTAATCACTTCAGTAGTTACTCACTTCGCTTTCTCCTGGATTCTTTGATATCTTCACAGAGTTTGTTAAATTCAGGATCTAACTCAGCAGCAACTATTGCATGTGCAGTATCCTTAAGTGTACAGGCTCTGTGTCGAATTATGCGATCTACAAAAAGAAATACCAAGCAATTACCTTTGCAACAAACAAGCTGCATTTGGAACATTTGTGTCAAATTAAAAGGATAATAAACTGGACAGTAAATGATTTGCATAAATTGAGGTCATCAAATAAGGATTTACTGATCAATTTATCCAAGATGCTGCTTCAGACTATAACTGAACCATCAAACCATGCAATTCACACATTCATTGAGTTTAAAGAGTATAATCACGACACCAAGATATGCACATCACATATGATGATCTCCCACTATTTGTTTAATTTTTGAAGGTCAACTCATGTCACCTTTGGTACACATTTAAAAAAAAAACGATATTTGTTACATTCAAACATGTAGGGTATATATAATTATAGAGTTTTGCAATTGAACAGTAGCTTGATGGTCCAACAAAAGGTTCTTTTGAATTATTATCTAATACTATCTAGAGAAAACAGTAACAATGGAAGGGGGCAGAAAAAGGGGAAATGACCCTGGTCTGAGATTCCTTATTTCCTAGATAGCTCTTTCAAAGGTTAGAGAGAGAGAGACCATGTGCAAGGCAGAGTGCGTGCAAGAGTGAGTGTAAGAATAGACAGTGAGAATAAACTTAGATATTCCTAACAACTTGGCTATTACCACTGCAAATAATTAAATTCATCAACTCAAAATTAAATTTCCAGACAACAATATTTTGAATGTTTTAACTAATTCATACATTACAAAAACACCACTTTTCAAAATACATGTGGAAACTATTTCTCTATCAAGAACAAAGACATATTGGTGGAAAGACATAACTATTATGTCAAAATGGAACAAGTTGCATTTATCACCTCACACTAGACTGCTTTCCGGGTGTTGACCTCACCTTTCACAGTGACCAAATGTGCTATATGAATTTATCATTACTAAATTTTATTTACTATAGATCACTAGCAAAATCAACTGCTGTCAAAGCTTTTTGTCTTGCAATCATCAGGATGATTTGCAAGAAATGTCAACGTAAAGGGAAAACAATGTTTAAGTTGTGCGTGAGGAGACTGCTAATTGGCTGGCAACTAGACTCTGGAAAAGTGGCAAGGTTTAGTTCCAGCAGAATCAGGAAGTAGGCATTTGCATTGGTTCCAGGGATTCTAGAGGTTAGGGGTGGGTGAGATTAGTGGTGAGTCAGGGGTCAATTTAATACTTATCCAGGAAGAGTAGGTTTCTAACCCTCAAATTGTCCTGGTTAACAATTAAGCTTGAATGAGTCAGACCCTCTTAATTTCTGATATTAAGGGGCTTTTGCAGAGGGTTCTTTGACGCAGGACAACTGCTCATTAATTTCTGACACAACTCCCACAGAGACAGCTGTATAGGGATTCCACACAGTCCCAATATGTAACTCTAGTCTATGCCATCTGGGATAATATGTCTAAAGTCAAACCTCAACAGAATCCAATTACTAATGCAATATTTTTCTATTCCCTCACACCAGTTAGCCTGAACTTTGGGCGAGTCTGTTAATTTTAGTTTTTTTGTATGACTGAACTTATATACTGCTAAAAAAAAAGACAAAGATTTCAAAACCTTTGGCTGTACACATCAGTACAGAATCACAAGAATGTCAAATTTCAATGAGAACAATTTACGCTGCAAGAGAAAAGATGCTGATTTGGTTGCAAGTAGACTCTGATTGGTTAAGGCATTGCCATGGAGAATGTTCCAGGGAAAAGCTACCCTCAACCTTCTGTGTAATTAAAAGAGGCAAAATGTCTGGACAGATTCTTTATGCTAATACAGAACAGGGCCTTAGGTATGAATATATGTAGCATTCGCTGAAGACACATCGTCCTTAAAAGCCTATATCATCTAGCACATGGATATTGCAGGATATCCAAAGACTCCCGAGTTTTACATTCAGCACGAACGTCTGATAGCAATGCAAAGTCTCAAGATCAACCCAGACATAAGTATCTGTATGTCTGACAAAGGAAGCACAATAGTTATTCGCAACAAGCATGCGTGCATTGACAAAAAAAAAGCCATTCTTTATAACAGGTCTAAATTCATATTCTACATTCCCTCCAATTTTTCTTGCCACTGAGCATATCTCAGAGGTCTGTGTGCAGCAGTGGTTTCAAAAAAAGGTCAATGCATCTGCACAGTGATTGGAATGTTCAGAACCTCCAAGTGGGTGAGTGGCCATTCATATCCATTGGACTCACTGCTAAGGATGGCTGCACAGCCAGCTTGAAAGCAGTTTTAAAAACATTTGCTAGACTTAGGAAAGAATAATTAGTTGTCTCGTAGTTTAAATGATTGGATTTGTCGACATGGGTCTTTGTACACATTATGTATGCACTGCCCAATCCACACATTCCTTTATGCCTGGTCTAATCTACAACTGGTTCTACACAACACGAATTGAGCAACTGGTTGACCAAGTTGCTACAACCTGTTCAGAGCAGGTTTCTCAACTACATGGTGGTGGATTCCTTCCACTTTGCAAAGTCTTTATATAAGACTTGCATAGCAATGACAATTTTCAAGTGCTCTTCCAACACTATTTGCTTATCTGCTTATTAACTGCCCAGGGAAGACAAATATTTATGCCTCTTCAGTATAATATGGCAATTTAGACAGACCACCATTATATGAAACTGTATTCACTGCACTTATAAACGATTACGACCACGGGTCATCCCAAAGAACTGTGCACATTTTTAAAATTCTAATTCCATAATTTTCTTTGAAAGAGGGCTGACACCCAAAAATGGCTACAGATGGAATTCTGAAGACAGGTCACTGGACTCAAAAACACTAACTCTGTTTTATCTACAGATGCTGCCAGACTTGCTGACTTTGTCCAGCAATTTTTGTTTTTGTTAAATTAAGTGGTTGTCTAGAGATAGATCCTCTGTTCAACAGCAAGCCACCCCAGTGGATAATGTCCCAAACCTCAGATACATTTTATACTTTCCCTTTGAAGATTACGCAAGGTTTAAAAGGCAATTTCAACTCACTGGAAGGGTACTTATGAGGCTGAATGCTCTTTGTGCCAGCCTGGAATCAATTGTTGGCGAACTGTGACACTCAAAGTCGAAGTAATGGTGCAGGTTAACCACGGTGCAATTAAAGATTCTCTATTACTCAAAGTGCTCCAAGCCAGTTAAAAAGGAAACAGGTTAACATAAGAACTACTGCACTCTGAGTGTTAGAATTCAATTACAGTCAAAAAATCAGAACTATAGCATCTCTAGCAGCACAGTGGCTCAGTGGTTAGCACTGCTGCCTCACAGCACCAGGGACCCGGGTTCGATTCCACTCTCAGGTGACTGTCTGTGTGGAGTTTGCACATTCTCCCCGTGTCTGCGTGGGTTTCCTCCGGCTCCTCCGGTTTCCTCCCACAGTCCAAAGATGTGCAGGCTAGGTGGATTGGCCATGCTAAATTGCCTATAGTGTTCAGGAATATGCAGAGTAGGTGGGTTATTGGTCTGGGTGGGATGCTCTGAGGGTCAGTGTAGACTTGTTGGGCCGAAGGGCCTGTTTCCACACAGTAGGGATTCTATGATGATCTCAACTAAGCTGCAAAAATAAGGATTGTGAAACCAACTGTTCAACTACCAGTGTTATTGCCTCCAGTAACCTCGACTGCAAAGGCTGCAACGTTCAACTGCCTGCTCTTTGCTAACAATTCAGGGTCTTATCCATGTGTCCGTTTTAAAAAAAAAACACTTTTATCGCTAATATGTGTACACATGTTCCATTCCTCTTGTATTTAGTAATGAATAAATGCCCCCTTTGTTAGCTCATGAAAGGTTGGTTAAATTGGCTCCTTTTAACACAAATTCATTTGGATCTGGGGAAAGGTATTCTCAAGGAAAATGATCCTTTGAAACTAACGTTGTTGCAACCAACTGAGGGCTGCGTGAATAAAGAAGAGGAGCCAATTCAAACTCCTCACCTGAGGGCTTTATAGTATGGGGTATCCTGCCTGAGACTGTTACAAGTTAGGGAACATCACCAGGGGTCTAGTTGTATCAAATTGATGGTTCATGCTCCAATTTAAAATGACAGATGAAATAAAACAATTAGAGTAGGTAAAAGGTCACGTTGAAACCAATTTCAAAAGGAAGAACTGTAAAAGGCTTTCTTGAGCATACACTGCCACAGGATAGAAACATCTGCATTCAATGCCAGCCTGGTCATAGCAAAATTAGGGAAATTACTTTTGAGGATTTAAATGTCTGTCCTTCAAAGAGCTAAAAGATTTGGTGAGGGACATGGATTAGAATTTCGCCCAAAAGTCAGAAAACCTGAAATTTTAAAAGGGATGATCAATGGTTTATAGGTGGAAACTGAAGTCAGCAAAACTGATAAAGTAGCAGTTAAGAAATTAAAATTGCAGCAGCAGAAATTTGAATTTCATAAAGAGAAAAAGCACAAAAAAGACAGCAATGGGAAAGAGCAAATAGAAGAGAGTTTCAGAAGAAACTACAAGAAAATGAGTTTCAAATAAGACAGCTCAAGCTGAAGAGCAGGAACCGTACGTGTCCCATGAATACACTAATGATTTGAGGGTGGAGGCTACTCAGGGTGCTCATTTAATTCACCAGCTTGAGGAGGCAAAGGTGAAGAGGAAGGCACAATCAAGCACTGTTCGGAGGTCTTCATTTCAGGAGAAAAGATAACATGTCAGAGGCATCCCTGTGGAAGATGACATCTTTGAAACAGAGATGGAACGGAGATGGAGAAAGTGGGGGAATGGAATGAGCCACATTTGTGCACAGCATTAAAGAAGCATCTTTTAAAGCATCCTTGAGTTCTTTAAGTGCTGCTACGATGTAGGGCTTGGATCCAGAAAATTTAATTCTTTCTCTCTCTCTACAGATGCTGCCAGACCTGCTGAGTTTCTCCAGTATTTTGTTTTTATTTTTTACACATCTAAATATGTTTTCTATTACTGTTTATGAAAAGCTTACTTTCACTGGTTAACGTGAGTGTTAGAATTCCTACAGCTTCATGCACTATAAGGGTGGCCTTATCTGCAAGCTCATAAGAAATACGAGAGCCATTCATACACTGAGCAAGTTGATACTGAAACAGGATATATCCAAGCTAAGCTGCAGGAGAATGGCTACACCAATGAAATAACTGCTTGCAGTGTATCACACAAACTCATGAATGGGCCTAAGACTGCAGCTATCAGTCCTAAGAAATAGTCTACTACAGGCTACCTTGGAGGATAAGGTGACCAGTAATTTAAGCAACAAGCAGCATTTACCATTAACAGGATGCTGCTGTCAAGCCAAAAAGAGGTTCTGCCTACTACACAAACGAATTATGCGTTCCAGGAATTTCAGTGCTGATACGATGTAGGGTGTATGTTACACCAAGTGGGGGACTATATCAAATAATGTTACTTTGGCTGTTTGCAGCCAGCAGACTTCATTCTACCAACTTTTGCTTGCAAAAAGCAGAACAGAGAATCCAATATTATAGGAGACTTCAGTCATGCACAATCCTTACTGTACAATCCAAAGTATGATAATAATTAAACTAACAACCAATTTATGATAATCAGCTGGGCTCACAAATTGACTCACTTTTGCTTGCTAGAAACTACATATATGCACATGTAGGACCTTGTCCTCTTCAAAAAGAAGAAGGGTCCCGAACCGAAACGTAAGCTTTCCTGCTCCTCTGATACAGCCTGGCTTGCTGTGTTCCTCCAGCTCCACACTGTGTTAACACCTCTCATTGTGTCTTTTCCAACTGAATCAATACATAACTATTTCCTGGTGCATTCCCCTTGACAGTACCTTGACCAATCAGAATCGACTTGCCTGGTTTAAACAAATATTTTGTCACCACAACATCTTATCCAATTGGTGCCCACTTGCAACCCAATCAAACACTCTTTTGGCAGGCAGGTTGTTCTCTTTGAAACTTCCACTTCTTACAATTCTGTCCTAATAATGCAAAAAGAAAAGCTTTGACAGCATGTCTCTTTTTTGCAATTCTGATAATTTTCTTGAGACCAGATTACCAGCAATGTTTTGACTATGTATCTTCAAAATTAATCTTATGCAACAACTTTACTGTCAGAAGAGAAATAAACGTATATCCTGTCAGTGAGAATGATTTGAATCTAGATCCCAAAGAGTAATTTATTGTGATAATGTTGTTCTCCATACTTTTATGGCTAATCAATACTTTTATGAACAAATTCATATAAGTGCAAGAACAATATTTATTCCCTTATGCTTGGACTGATCATGTCTTCAGACACAATCCAAGAAAGAACTGAATTTTGTGCAGGCAAAATTTGATTTGCTGGTTTGTTTGTGACCCACCACTGAAGTGTTTATTTTAAATTTCATCTTACCTCCAGGAACCTTATCAGGATTATACTCAAGAGCATTGCTGCAGATGAGGTTAATATCTATCAGGAAGTCATTCACGGTTTCATATTTGTGGTTGTCAATTTTCATCATCATTGTTGATAAATCCATTGGTTGTATGATGACTTCCAAATAGTCAGAAACCTATAAATATTTTTAAAGATAAAGTGTGATCAAATAAATTGTATAAATTAAAAGAGACAATACATGTGCCCACTGTTTCTAACTAGCTTGAGTTTCTGCAATTTTTCTGGGTGGTTCATAGCTGCTGGGACTGAACTCACTGGAGTTCAGGAGAAGAAAAAGTGACTCTATTGCAACATACAAAACCCTTAGCGGGCTTCACAAGGTAGATGCTGCGAGGGTGTTTCCTAGTGTGAGAGAGTCTAGGACCAGATGGCATAATCTCTCAGTAAGCGATTGCACATTTAATATATTGATGAGGAGGAACTCCTTCCCTCAGACGGTAGTGTATCTGTGGAATTCACTAAGCAAAGGGTGGCAGAGGTTATCAAGTATATTCAAGGCTGAAACAGACAGATTTTTAAACAGTAAAGGATACAAGGATTTTGGGGAAACGGCAGTAACAGTGGAGTTGATGATCATCAGATCAGCCTCGATCTCATCACATGACAGAATAGACTCAATGGGCTGAACGGTTTTGCATGGTCTGGAAGGAGATCACATCCAGAGTGAGACCTGGATACATAGTTCAGGGGTTTTGTGGGCAGTGTGGGAATTCAGTGTAGAGGAAAAGTTGTGCTTTTTGCTAGCTTTTTTTGGGCTTAGAGTCTGTAAGGTTCTTTTTTATTTACAAGGTGACTTGAAGCCCAATACCAAACAAAGAGTTCATTGGTTGGTAATAGCTGCTGATTTGTCTATTATAGGTTACTTTCAGATTTAAGGTAAATAGGGGAAAGTTTTAAAGATTATAGACTAAAAGACCAGGATGAAATTATTTAAAAATCAAATTAAGAGCTAAGTAAATAAAGTAAAGATGCAGGGCCAGTCAATGTGTTGTACCTAAATTACGTGGGAGCTAATGGACCCTAATTTGGTTCATAGTGACCACATCTGTAGCAAGTGTTTGCTGCTTGAGGAACTCCGAATCTGAGCTTCGAATGCTGCAGCACATCAAGGAGGGGAAGCATTTACCTGGATGCTGTGTTTCAGGAGGCAGTCATACCCCTTAGATGAACGAATTGGAATTCAGTCAGTGGCCAGGGTCAGGAGGGCGTGACTACAAGCAAGGCAAGTAGAGGGATCCAGGAGGTAGTGTTGAAGGAGCCTCAGCCCTTGAACGTGTCTAACAGGTTTGAGCTGCTTTCTCCCTGTGTGGATGATGAGCAAATTGACCAGCACCATGCTGCAGGGAGCCATTGAACAGCAGTACAGTGATCAGGGATAATACAGTCAGAGGAATAGATACTGTTCTCTGTGACAAGTTTGAGAGTCCCAAAGGCTATGTTACCTCCGTTCAAGATATCTCATTTAGGCTGCAGAGGAACTTGGAGTGGGAGGGGGAAGATCCAGCTCTCACAGTACATTTTGGTGCCATGACACAAGTAGAAACATGTTCTGCTGAGGGATTTGAGCAGCAAGGGGCTAAATTAAAAAGCAGAACCAAAAATGTAATAAGTTCCAGATTACTTCCTGAGCCATGAGCTAATTGGTACAGGGTCATCAAGGTTAAAGAGGTAAGGATTGGTGTGGGAGACAAGGGTTTGAATCCAAGGGACAATGGCACCAGTAATGGTGTAGGAGGGAGCTGTTCTGACGGGGCAGGCTCTACCTGCATCGTACTAGGATCAGAGTCCTGGCGAATTGCAAGTAGGGCTGGGGATAGGGCTTTGAACAAAATAGTGAGGGGGGGACATTCATTTGCATAGAACATTTGAAAATCAAAGGTAACGGACAAGTTAGGATTACAGGTTAGTGATCAGTTTGATTGTTACATGACCTAAAAGGAAGGTTCAGAAAGTGTTAATTTCATATTGTATCAAGGAACCACAAAAGAGTCAGGAAGCTCAACAGACCAAACTTAAAGCCAAAAGAACTGCAGAAGCTATAAATTAGGAACACAAACAGAAATCGCTGGAAAAGTTCAGTTCGTCTGGCAGCATCTGTGAAGAAAAAGCAGAGTTAACATTTTGTGTCTGGTGACTCTTCCCCAGAACTGAGGAACGGTTCTGAGGAAGGGTCACCAGACCCGAAACATTAACTCTGATTTTTCTTCACAGATGCTGCCAGACCTGCTGAGCTTTTCCAGCAATTTCTGTTTTTGTGACCAAACTTGAAGTTTTGTATCTTAACGCATAAAGCATTTGGAATCAGGCAAACAACTGATGCCGCAAATTGAGGTGACAAGGACTTTAAACCAGTTAAGGGTTAGGGTGAGGGAGGGAGGACTCAGGAGAAGTTATTCAAGTTTCTAGAACAAGTAATAGGACAGAAAGTATGGAAAAAGGTCATAAATCTAACTTCAGGCACAGCAAATAAGGGGACAACTTTGAGAATGGGGACAGTCAATGCAGGGCAGAGGGTGTTGTGCTTAAATGTGTACAGTATACAAAACAAGGTAACTGAACTTGTAGCGCAGATTGAAATTGGCGGGTGTGATGTTGTGGACATCACAGAGACGTGGATGCAAATGATCAGGGCTAGAAACTAAATATCCAAGGATACACGTCCTAATGAAATGACAGAAGGGGGCAGGAGAAATGAAATTAAATCAATAGCAAGAAACAATATCAGATCAGAAGGCATAGAATCTGTGTGGGTGGAGCGTGGGAAAAAGGAGACCTTAATGCGAGTTACATGTCGGTCTCCTAGCAGTAGTAAGGATGTGGGGCAGGAAATAAATCAGGGAGATAGAAAATGCATGTAAAAAAAGACATGTAAGAAAGGAACTGTTAAAATAATCATGGGGTGCTTCAATATGCAGATGTACTGGGAAAATCAAGTTGGCAGCAGATCCCAAGAAAAGAAATTTGTGAAATGTCTACAAGATGGTTTTTTTGGAGCAGCTTGCGGTAGAATTCATGAGAGAACAGCCAATTCTGGATTTGGTGATGTGTAATGAGGTCTCCACAGCCTTCTGAGGCAAAGTCTTTGAGTGCATTTAAGATAGATTGTTGAGCAGTAAGGGAATCAACAGTTACAGGCAGATGGCAGGAAAATAGGGTTAAGAAACATATCAGTCATGATTGAATAGTGGAGCAAACTTGATGGGCTGAATGGCCCAATTCTGCTCTTATCTCTTAAGGTCTTATGGAAATCAGCAATTCAAATACCTCTTCTGTTCTCACCTATTCTCAATGTATTCTTGGAAAAAGTTCTTCCTTCTTATGCTGATAAGTAGCCCTCAAGATAGTCCTCCAGTTAACTTCATTCTTTTCTTCATTACAGATGTCGACCCAGAAGATTTCATTACATTACCTGCCACCTCTCACGGGATCAGCTTAAGTTTACCTTCCAGGTGTAACCACATGTAATTTTCTAAACACACTTTCTGCCTCAAACGTATATTTACCACCATCTTCAATTTTCTAACAATACATATTTATAAATATCAACTTTGAGTCCTAACATCTCCATTTCTAATGGCTTCAGCAATTATTTTTGCATAATATCGTATATTATCATTCATATTGTTAGACTATCGGGTCTCTGGCTTTTTTATGCCTCCAAGTTTCAGCATCTCCACACATCAGCAATCTGTTGCCAACATTCCAACCGGGATCTAATTCCTAAACCATCAGCTAGTTTAAATTACTGCACTAACCACTCAATTTCTCAAACTGTCATTATTCCTAACCGATTCAGGTACAGTACATCACTCTTGTATGAGCACTTGTTTCCAAAACAAGTTCTGGTTATTAATTAACCTCTTGATGTCTATTTATCAGGTTACTAGGAATTCATTCAGAATATTATACTTAACTCTCCTGAATACCTAAATGCCAGAGGTGGAATTTAATGCAAACTTTAATCATGGTGATAGCAGTTGGGGTGGGGTGGTTAATCAAACAGGATGATGTGACAGCTAATTACCCAGTCACCTTTCTACCTCTGTGCTGGGCCAGAAGACTAGCGGGCAGCTTTCCCGCGCAGCCACCACAGAGGACCTTAAGTACAGACTTAATAAGACTCGGGATCTATTGCCACATTTATTTTGACTTCTAAAATCTCTGATAGCCTGTACAATATTCACATGTCCAGTTTTAATTTAGCGTAAAGACCACTTTTTTTTGCATTTTTTAATTATGGAATGGCAAAAGGACTGTTTTTAAAAAAAGGATAGTGGAATGGATTACTGCATACTCATTGCAAGTGTTGTTCAATAGCTGATTGTTAAGGCAGTGGAGGGGATGTTGCTTGAGACAAGCTGGAATCAGGGGTGTGTACAAAGCAAGATTCAAATGGCAACAAGTTGATAATGTGTCTGTGGAGCAGCGAGTGATGACTTAATAATAAAAGATATAGGAGCTGAAAGGCCTAATTCTGTCCACTGAGTCCGCTCCATGAGTCAATGGTAGAGGCCTTCTGCCTGCCAAAAGCTATCTGAATGACACACTCAAATTGTTCAGCTACCTAGGAGCCAATGTTTGGTCAGAAGCCATCAGATCTCTGAAAAGGAAGAAGCTGTCATTTTCTCTGCCAGAAAACACACCTCAAGCCTGAAGGAATCCCTCATCAATTACATAAACTGTGGGTCGTAACCAATAAGTCAGAGACATTATTAAATGTGAGCCAGTCATCCTGTGCCTCCTACAAGCAAGTGAAAGTACTTGAAGGAGAATCAAAGAGAGCAGATCCTGACAAGCCAAAAGCATCATTTCATCAAGCCCTGTAAATAGGAGCCATTGACCTGCCTTCCCAATCTTTCAGGCCACTAGGACACACATGATTTTTTTTGCATATGTATGTGTGCATAAGCGAATTTTTATAAGGGAGTTAGAGGTTTAACTAATACACTTATATATTGACAGCTCCTAATTATTTATCTATAGCTAGAAGCCATTTATTTGTAATAAATAGTAACTCCTGTTAAGTTCAGAAACCTGGCCTTGTGTTTTCTGTCAATCACGTTTTAAAACGCAGGGATATTGGGGCATTTTGCATAATTTTATGAAAGCTTTAGCTTTTGTGATGATTCTGGGAATAGCGGAACTCGATTTCCAGTGCAGTACTCAGTGAGGCATAAATTAGAAATTTCCTTTAGCTAATTTTCTTCGATTACTTGCACCTTTATCACTAGCTGAACTCAAGATGTTTTCTCTCAATGTGCATTCTTATTCTAAGTATCTGTCAACTGTACTGCTAAAGTTATTCAAGATGGCTACGCAAACAATTTCATTCCTGTCTGTACCTGACATTCACGCAAATGCTGTTAGACATAAGGAGCTATGCTTGTGATTAGAAGCAGGAATCATGATGATTTTCTTCACTTGGTACCTTCTTGTTACCCAATACAGTACCATTCCCAAGCTGTAATCACTGCAAGATTAGGAATCAAATATGGAATGATCTTGTTTCACATGGCCCTTCACTGCATCACACTGCATTCAGACTTTGGTAAGTGGAAAGACACAGTGTTAGTCCTTTGGCTGGAAACTTCTCACATCAGCTGGAAATGAAATGAATGTGAACGATTTTAAAAGCTACCCTAACTTACCTCTTCAATATCCACAGGCTTACTAAAGATGCTAAAACGTTTGTCAGTGGCAAGTCTTTTGGTAACATCCCTGAGAAACAGTCGAAGCTCTCGAAAGGTATTTTCCTCCTGCTCTTCTATCCGTTTTATTTCTTCCTCTGATAGTTGCCGTGGTGCAGGAGGCAATGCTGGTGGAAGGACTTCCAAGGCAAGTAAAGCTAAAAGAAAAAGGGCACAACATAATTAATCTGTATTAAATTTCTTCAAAATGTCAGTTTGAAGACTTATCACCTTGCCACTTGAAAATTTATAAACTTGTGATTATTTTCAAAATTTACAATAAATGCCACATTTAGAAATACCCTGTACAGGTTGTAATATTTTGATGACGACTAATTTTTGAGAGTACTATCCTAGTTTGAAGTAACATTTAATGATTTTGCCTTACCTATTTTTAAAATAATTATGCTCAAATTTTTGCTTGTGGGACAAGTCGCAGTTAGGGCAGCTGTTTGCAAGACTGGACGTAAGTGACCCAAAGGTGCTGAAGGCTCTGGGTTAAGAACGTTTTAATCAAACTAGATGCAAAGGGATCATTGTTGGGAAGAAATAAAGCTGGGAAGAAATAAAGCTTCAAAGAAATTAGCTTCAAAGAAATAACAAAAAAATTTGAACTCAGCAGTTTGAACTGAGTATGATACCTATCCATTATCAAGAATTGTGTATTTTGAAAAGTTTTTGTTTGCTAACTGACTTGGTTAATTAACTGTGCAGAACAAAATAACTTTTTTTAATGAAAAGACATTGGTGATATTCTGTTGGAAACATTTGTACTTAATTGCTTCGCATTCCTGACTGGTTTTGAGCAACTATTAGTATAATTGATAAGAGGAGGCAACACTGTACAAATTCTCTGTATCTAAAAGGATATGTTATTTGTGACACAGAATTCAGTTATAGTTTCTGAAGCATAGGGAATATTTGTTTAGTCTATATGATTCCAGTTACAGAGGTGGTGTTACACCTGATAGCCCTCATCTTAAACCAATGGAAAAAGATAATTTAAACCATTTCCTAATAAGGAACAGGACACTCTCAGAATCAGCAATGAGTGTTGGAAACGCAATGTCTTTTGTGGGATAATATTAGCGTGGCTTCTGTGGCATAAATCTTCTTATATAGTTCAATGTGCCATCACTGCAAGAACAGGAAAAAGGGTTGCCTGGGTTGGCAATATGGGCCTTAAAAAAAATGGATAAATTTTTGTGTTTTTCTGTGTTGTCTTCACTGTCTGTTTGCCAACTTTCTTAATAAATTTGACTCAATACCTTGTTAGATCAGGCACAACTGAATAGCTCATTATCATAAAAACTCAAGCTCTTAAAAAACCTCCCAACTTACAAAGTAGTACGTGAATAATTTGTGTTCCTCCAAGCAAGATTGGAGATTTTTTTTCAAACTAGGTACAGCAATTCTAGGGACCAGAGATTAAACGAATCAGATAATGACACAGACACACAGAAAAGCTCTGGGTTTTACCAAGTAATGTAATAGGTAATGCCCTTAACAACTAAACCACTGTGTAACAATCTACAAGAAAAAAAATCAGCCTTTAAACAGACTACACTGCAATGTAAGAATGTATGGAGATCACAAATCAAAATTATCATGCATTCTAAGATGTTTAAAAAGGTTGACTACTTGGAGGGACATCTTTATTTTTCTGGTTACGTAGGGTTCTACTTTCAGTCAGCACTTATCAAGGCATGTACAGCTGACATATGTGCCAGACTGGACCTGCATGAGGTGGTGAGAGGATGAAAATCAAAAATCTTGAGTTCATTCTCACCAACCTGTCTCGTGCATCTGTGCACGACTGTATTGGTCAGACTGACCACTGTGCAATTTGTGTGGGTACCCTGTATCTTGTATTTGACACTACTACTTTGCTAAACAGAATAGATTCAGAACTATGTAGCAGTCCTAAACCGTGTGTGCATGACGCACAGTCATCAGCAGCAGCAGCAGCAAAACTGTATTCAACCACAATCTGCAACCATTTGGTCTGGTATATTCTCACGACATCACTGTCATGAAGAAGTGTAGGAGTAAAGTTGGCAGCAATGCCAGGTATGCCTAAAAATGAAGTACTCACACAGTGAAGCTGCAACACTGGATTACATGAACACCAAACAGCAGGAAGCAGTATGATACTGACAGATAGGCAATCCCACAACCAATGCATCAGATTAAAGCTCTGCAATCTTGCTACATTCAATCATGAACAGTGGTAAACAATTCAATGACAAACCAGAAGAGATGGCTCCTCCATATTTCAATCCTCAACAACGGGGAAGCCAAGCACATCCAGGCAAAAAGATAAGGCTGAAGAATTCAGACCCATCTTCAGCCAAAAATGCCAAGTGGATAATCCATCTCAGCCTCCTCTTGATGTCTGAATATCACAGATGGAAATCTTCAGCCAATTCATTCCACCCCACTTGATTCTACAAAATAGCTGAAGACACTGTATCCTGCAATAGCTATGAACCTTGGCTGCAGTACTGATGCATCGTGCTCCAGAAGTATTCATTTTCTTAGCCATTCTATTCCAATACAGCTACACACCGGAATCTCAGATATAGTCATAGAGAGTCATAGAGTAATACAGCATGGAATCAGGCCCTTCATCCCAAACTGATCCGTGTTGACCATGGTGCCCACACAGCTAGTTCCAATTGCCTGCATTTGGTCCATATCCCTCTAAACCCTTCTCATCCATGTACCTATCCAAATGTTTTTTTAAATGTTGCTATTGTACCCGCCTCAACCACGTTCTCTGGCAGCCCATTCCATAAATGCACCACTCTCTGCATGAAGAAGTTGTCCCTCAGGTCCTTCTTAAATCTATCCCCTCTATTTTTCAATTCCCCATCCCTGGGAAAAAGACTGCATGCGTTCATCCTATCTATGCCCCTCATAATTTTATACACCTCAATAAGGTCACCCCTCATTCTCCTATGTTCCAAGGAATAAAGTCCTATCCTGGCCAACCTCTCCCTATAACTCGGGCCTACTAGTCCTGTCAACATCCTTGTAAATCTTCTTTGCACACTTTCCAGTGTAACTACGTCTTTCCTATAACAGGGTGACCATAACTGTACACAATACTCCAAATGCGGCCTCACCAACGACTTATACATCTGTAACATAACATCCCAACTCCTATACTCAATGCCTTGACTGATGAAGGCCAGCATGCTAAATGCCCTCTTCTACCCTGTCCATCTGTGATGCTGCTTTCAACAAACTATGTACTTGTACTCCTAGGTCCCTCTCTTCCACAGCACTCCTCAGGACCCTACCATTTATTTTATAAGTCCTACCTTGGTTTGACTTTCCAAAGTGCAACACCTCACACTTATCTGTATTGATTTGTATTTACCAATCCCTCAGCCCACTTCCCATCTGATCAAGATCCCTCTGTAATTTTTGACAGCCTTCCTCACTATCAACGATACCTCCTAATTTCGTATCTTCTGCAAACTTACTAATCATGCCTTGTATATTCACATCCAGATCATTTATGCAAATAACAAATAACAAAGGTCCCAGCACCGACCCCTGTGGCACACCACCAGTCACGGGCCTCCAGTCCGAGAAACAACCTTCAACCATCACCCTCTACTTCCTACCATTGAGCCAATTTTGAATCCAATTAGCTCGCTCACCATGCATCCCATGTGGCCCAACTTTCATGACTAGCCTGTCGTGTGGGACCTTGTCAAAGGCCTTACTAAAGTCCACATAGGCAACATCCACTGCCCCAGCCTCATCCATCCTCTTTGTTACCTCTTCAAAAAACTCTAAATGATTTGTCAGACATGACTTCCCGTGCACAAATCCATGCTGACTATCCGTAATCAGACCTTAACTATTCAAATGTTGGTTGATCCTATCCCTCAGTATCCTCTCCAATAACTTGCCTAACACTGATGGCAGGTTCACTGGCCTGTAGTTCCCTGGCTTGTCTTTGCTACCTTTCTTAAACAATGAAACAACATCAGCCATCCTCCAGTCTTTTGGAACTTCATCAGTGGCTAGATAATGCGGAAAAGTGCCCAGATGTATCTTTCTCACAGGACAAATCTAGCCCAGCCAATTGACAGCAAGGCAACATTTCACAGAATGTGGCAACAAGGAGCCCTATCAAAAGTTAAGTCAATGGCAATCAGAGGAAAATTTCTCCACTGGTCGGATTAAAATTGGAAGATGGTTGCAGTTGTTGGAGACCAAATATCTCACCTCCAGGACAAGGTTATAAAAGTTCCTCAGCACAGCATCTTAAGCCCAACCCGTCTACAATTTCTTCACCAATGAACTTCCCTCCATCGTAACATCACAGGATATATTTTGGCAATTGTGGCAGTCAGTACCATATGAAACACATTTGATACTGTAGTAGCATGTGGCGTGATGTAAACAAGATTCAAGCTTGAGATGATAAGTAGTGTGCAACATTTGTGCTACATAAATAGCAAGCAATGACCATTGTTGATCAAACAAACTACCATCACCAAGTCTTTCACCATCAATTTCCTGAGAATTACCAGTGCCAAGAAAATTAACTAGACTTAACTGTAGTACAAAGTTCAAAGTTCAGAGGTTAGGAGTTTTGCACTGAGCAATGGGCCAAAGCCAGTCTACCATTTACAAGACACATTTCAGGAGTGTGATGGAATACTTTCCACTTGACTGGATAAGTTCAGCACTGACAACACTCAAGAAGTTGGATACTAAGACAAAGCTACCACTTCATCAGAACGTTATCCGCTACCTCAAAACGTTCATTCCTTCCACCATCAGCATGTAATGACGGCTGGGTGAACAATCTACATACAAGATGCACTGCAGCATCTCACCATGCCTCAACTGACAGCACCTTTCAAACCCATGACCTTGACTACCTGGAAGGACAAGGGCCAGGGACATATGAGAACACGACTACCCGCAAACTTCCCCTCCCAGCCGAACACAAATCTAACAGAATTATATTGTTGTTTCGTCAGTATCACTGGATTAAACGCTGGAACACCCCCCCTAATAATTACTCTGTGTATACCTATACAAGATGTACCACAGCAGCAATTGAAGACAGCTCACTTCACCAACTTGAGGTGCAATTATGGATTGGCAACAAATTGCGATCTTGGGAATAATCGCAAAATTTAATTTTTAATATGAATTCTTAACTTTAGTTGCTAGGAGAAATTGGGCTTCTTTCTGAACTGTATGAACATACAAAATTGGAGAAGTAAACCATTCAACTCCTCAAGGCTGCTCCACCATTTAATAAAATCATAGCTGATCTGTTTGTGTTTGGAAATATACATTCCCATCTACCCCTAATGACCCTAATCTATGCATGTTAGTATAAAAAATATTCAACCATCCTGCCTCTTTCGCCTTCCAAGGCAGAGCTTTCCGAAGTCATACCCTCAGAAACAAAATCTCTTTACTGAAAGGAAAGCCCTTAATTTTATAACAGTGACCCTATTTCTGCACTGATGCACAAAAGAAAACATTCTTGCCACATCCACCTCGTCAAGGCCATTCAGGATGCTATACATTTAAATCAAATTATCCCTCAAACTTCTAAACTCAAGTGAAAATAAGCTCAGCCTGTCCAAACATACCTGCCTGAGACAACTCGCTCATTCCAGGTATCAACCTAGTAAATCTCCTCTGCACCACCTCCAATGCATTGAACATACTTAAATAAGGAGACCAAAACTGCATACAGTATCTGAGATGTGATCTCACCAATTTCTTGTATAATTGAAGTATAACAACATTCCCCTTCTATTCAAATCATCTCAGAATAATGGATATCATCCCAGTAGCAAATCAACTTCACATTTCTCACATTATACTCTATCAGCCACATTTTACACACTCATCCTATCTATATCCATCTGCAACTTCCTTACATCTTCTTCACAACATACTTTCCTATCTATCTTAATGCTGTCTACAAATTTAGCTACTATGCCTTCACTGCCCTTACCTAGGTCATGAATGTAAATTATAAAAGATTGAAGCCCCAACACAGACGCCTGTGGGACTTTACCTCATCACATCCTGCCAATCAGATAACGACCCATTTATTCGCACACTGTTTTCTGTCAGCACTTTGAATGCCACTGCAGCTTCACCTATCGAGGCAACCTCGATACCATCCTCTTAACTTGCATCTAGAAAGACCTTTGGGGGCCCAATGAGCAACTCACCACTAAATACACATCTTCTAACCTGCTCAAGTAGTCACACCGTGTGGATAGTCCATCGAGTTTCTGGCCAATGATAATCCCAAATATCTTTTAAGTGGATGAATGAATAATAGTAAACCTTTTGAGTTTCAGCAAAGACTGGTTTGACTCGTCTTGAAAATGGTCATTGCCGAACACCGTATGGCATCAAACAAAAGAATTCCAACAACACCAAGCCTAAACAGACCACACTAACTTTTCAATTGTGATCTACCAGATGACATGCAATAGGCAACCTGTTTTGATTTACCCATCCTTTAACCGAACAATCTTGTGTATACCAAAATTCTCTAAAGGACTCTTACATTTGTACTGAAAATGGACTATCAAAATTCAACTATCTTCATTTGATTTTAATATTTGAGACTTTCATGCAATAGAATTGATCTTAAAAGGAAAAATACAGGCTTAAAATGGTTGCTATGGTCATGTGACTAGGTTTGTGTCAGGCTCATGAAGCCATCAGTGAACAACAGTCTAAGCTAAAATTAACATTATTATGATAGGTCACTAAAAGTCATATCTGTATCTCTAGTGCATTCACACCTTCCTGCAAGTTCCATTTGTTACAAGATGAAAGACTGCCTGCACAGTTTTCAGCTTGGGGAAGAAGAACAATGAACTGACTCTGTCATATACAAATTGATCTTTAATCGATAGTTGCTTCTGAGCAGCATGACAAAAAGAAGAAAAATTGATTTGTGAACAAGAATTGGAAGACACACTGTGCCCATCTCTCTCTCAAGCTCAGAATCAACCTGGTGAAAAGCAATTCAAAACGAAAATAATTGACAGAAAACTCCAGGACATCTGCTGGCTCACTATTATGGAATAAACCAAACAGCAGCCAAACAGCTGGGCTCAGATCTTGTCATTCTTGTAACCAAAGACTCAAAAACTGTGTAGACTTCAACTCCCTTCACATCCCTGTCATACCAGATAACCCCCCTACCCTTTCTTTGTAAGCTCATTACCTGTATCTGTGTGCGGATTTGTTGCCGTATTATTTTTTTTAGGTAACAGAAGTCCACTCTCTTTCACTCCAGAGAACCATGGAATTACATTGTCTTCATTTCTGATCAGATTAATGAAGCCAAATTGAAGTGTAATAGCTATGTGCCAGAAAAAAACGTTTGTTTCAATTAAGTGAATGGGGATTTAAAGTGTGAGTCCCTCCTCAACTGGCCATAAGAAAAGACCTAAGGGCCAGTAACCTACATCCAAAACCATGGATAAACGTATTTAACTAGTGGGGGAAAAAAGATAATCAGTAGAAGACCAAGCATGCTGTGCTTTCAACTGTGGAGTATTAGCAATTAGATCAGCATCTGGGATGAAGATAATGCCTGTAACACAGAAAAAAAAATTCTATTTGTGATTTGTGAATACCTAACGAAAAGAGAATCCATTATAAATGGTTACAAATCGAGAGTTCGGACAAACTGACATGGTTGCTTGGAGCTAAACATCTATTCATTTGATGTGTCAACTGGCTTAACTCAAAAATGTAGACTACTGACTAAACTGAGTTGCCAAACTGAAGATGACCTGATGGATGGAACCAGAGCTGTCTTTCAACAGCAAGATCTTAGGAGTCAACTACACATTTGCAGACACCACTGCACAAAATACATGGCAATAACTGATGGACATTTTGTGAAAGGCCTGAGGAATGAAGACCCACTAAATGGGAAAATATTGTATTTTAAATTGCTGTATTCCTATTCAGGATAACTACTCAGCAAACAGAATTTAGCATTTTTCAGTTCAATGCAGCGAATCCAGGGCATGCTGCCTAATACTCTGCTCCAGTGTTATCATGACCCGAACAACTTGTTCGGAGCTGGCAGATCAACAAGTGAACAGGACGCTTTCCACTTTTGAAACTATGTAAAATATTTAATGGAAATAAACCAGTTATTTTCAAGATTTCATCCAAATCTTGTGATAAAACTTCTTTGACTACCAGTATAGCCGTAAATCCATGCTACTCAGGTGAATTAATCAATCACGCAGTCATCAGTCCAAAATCCAGGGATTCCACACAGAGGGGTATGGATGTATATAAATTTGTGGTTTAAAAACCAAGATACCACTATGTTTCTATCATACACTGGTTGTATCATATTTGATGAAAGTATGTGAAACATCTGTCATGACTACTTGCCAACCTAAAGGTCCAATAACAATTGGTACAATGGCTGGAACTGATATTAGCTGTAATCATATTGAAATATGAACTAAAAAGTCACTTCAAAAGCACGATCAGCAATCACAAAAATGACGAATGAGAAAATGCTTTTTTACATAATGCATTCTCAAACTCAAAGTGATTTCCATAATCAATTGTTGCAGTGATCTATATAATTAGATTCAAGATCATTTTCTGCACAGAAAAGTTTCAAAATTAGCAATAAGATAAATTACTATTGCCGGTGGTGACATGAACAAGTTAATGAGTAACCAGTAAATGGTCTGGATTTTCCGATGTAGCTGAACTTGCACAGCACCTCAAGCCGTTGAGAAAATTGTGATGTGCACACATGAAGAGTATTTGGGCAGCAAGTTTACACTTGTAACTGCCTGTTTTACCCCGCTCAGATTATAACATGATTCCCTACAGAAGTGGGTTCAAATGGCCATTTCCAACTAGATGTGGAGTTTTGAGCAGATTTACTTGAAGCTTTTGCCTAGTTGGTGTTAAACCTGTTGAGGTAAGTCAGCTTTAGTGTCAAAGAAATCATTGCCCACAGCACCTTCAACAATAGGATCTCGTGCAGGGGTGGTGGCTCATGTGATCTAAATCCAAGTAAAATGCTGCACTGTCTAATGGATATGAGAAGTTGTCAATAAGAATGATAGGTAACGTGTGCATTATTAGTTCTATCTCTGTAGAAACTGCCTGCTATAAAATTACACTACATTCAGTCAGATCATCATGACATTGCATCATATGCAATTTGAAAGAGATAGCACGAACTGCAAATGCAGAGTCAGAGATAACACAGTGTGGAGCTGGAGGAACACAGCAGGCCAGGCAACATCAGAGGAGCAGGAAAGTTGACGTTTCGGGTCGGGACCCTCCTTCAGAATTGGGGAGGGGGAAGGGAATGGGAAATAAACAGATAAAGGAGGGGTGGGGCTGGGGAAGGTAGGTGCAATGGTGATAGGTGAGTGCAGGTAGGGAATGGTGGGGTTTGGTCAGTGGGATGGGTGGGAGAGAAGATGGACAGGTTGTGTCAGCTCAAGGAGGCAGGCATGAGAGGTAGGGTTGGACATGGGATGTGGCTGAGGTAAGCACAGCATTTGTTTTTCTTCTTATCATCAGCTCTTACCAGCTTTCTTCTTCCTTGGTGGAGGCTTTGCTGCTTGGTTTAATATCAAATCTTCGAAGAACTTTGTTCTTTCCTGTTCATTAGGTTTCTGTAAATCTATAACTTCTCCATAATTGATTTCAAAAATGCATTTAACCTTAAGTTTAAGAAAAACAGAAAATCCAATATCTGTCCTTGAACAAAATAAATTAGGGTATATGAAATGTCAAAAGAATAACCAGATTAATATCTTTGTCCTTGCAAATGAAACTTAAGTTTTACTACTCAGAAAAACATTGTATATTAGCACACATTCCTTGCATATTTCACAATATGTGCATACATCACTATTATGATGCAGATTTTTGCTCCAACATTCAGAACTACTGCTACTGAGTACATGAATTCATAATCAATGTACATACAGGCAGTCTCCGTACACAAACAGGTACCATTCTTAAGTCCATTTGTACATGATTTGTATGCAAGTCATAACACAATGCAGGACAATGTAAAAAAGCTGTTCATAAGCACAGGAAATATTTGTCTGTTGGATCTTTACACACCTATACGTGATTACATTCATAAGTCAGATGTTTGTAAATGGGGAACCCCTCCGTACAGTAAAACATAAGGTTTGTCATTTTGTTTATTAAAAACTTGGCTTAGTATTGCAAAATACTTGGCATTTGTGAAAGAAATCAACACTGTGCCATGAGGTGTAAAATTAGAACATACTGCTTTTTTAACATCCAGCCAACAAAATGGCCCTCTTCATGCCATGCTTATATTTAATGCAAAATTTGAATGAAATCATTGTCACTACTTTTAGATTGCAGCAGAAAACAGACAATGTTCTGGGGCTAAAGTAGTATTGCTGAACAGATCACCTTCGCACTGACAGTTTATGTCGCTGTGAAACCATGCAAATTCACAGGGCACGCATAAATTTAAGCATACAAAATAAAATCACAAAAATGTTCTTAATGGAAAAATTCTCAATGATATTTCACTTTAGAGTTGTGCAATAGTTAAGAAAATTATGAACTCTGAGCACCATCAATTCAGAGGCAGTCTCCAATTTACGAATGTCCATCTAACTAATGCTCGTAATTACGTACAAGATCTCATATTAATATTAACTTAAAAGATCCAACATGTGACCATTTGCTCATACTTACATACAGCTATTTTATGCCATACCGTATTGTGTTCTGACTGGAGTACAAATTAGCTTACAAACACTCAGGAACGGAACCCATTCGTAACCCAGGGAATGCCCGCACTTCAAATTCTGTATTACAAAGTCTTGCAAGATGTTAAATGCACGTTTATAATAAAACACAACCTATTCCAGTTGCTCTATGCTCTAACCATTCTATGATTTTATATTCAGTTTAGTGCAATTGTTAACCCACCTCATCTGGCAATTCTATATATACTGTTTCAGAGGTAGCCAATATTAGAATAGGAGAAAAGGGTGGTATGTCCTGAAGTAGAGTCAAGAAAGTAGCTCTCACTGTGTCGCTGACTGCATCCCACCACTCTTTAATATGAGGCACATAAATTACACTTGGTACTGTTCGACGTGCCTCACGGAAAACCTAACAAAGAGAAGGCAGGGGTTGGGGAGGGAGAAGAGAGATAGAGAAAAAATATAATCATGGCTTCAGATTTTCAATGCTAGTTGAAAAGTTACCCGCATGAATCATATGCACTAGGTTTTCTCGGTCCTCCATCCTCACCTGCGCACATGACTCCTCTGGTGTTTTTGCACTGACAGAGTACACTGCTGGTAGATCTAATCTATGCACAGAGAACTTCTCAAGTGAATGCAGCAATGCAGGAGCAAGATGTGAACTCTGACCAGATCCTTTGCTCCCACAAAGAAGCAACCGAGGACGATGGGATGTTGGCTGGTGATGTGCTGACCTGCAGAAAGAAATCCTGCACTGAGTAATTTTCCAGGTTAAATATATACATATCATTGTGTTTTGCATTCTTAAAATTATACATCTAACTTTCTGATGACAGACAGAATGCTGCACTGTCAGAGTTACTATCCTTCAATGAGAGCTTACACTGAGGCTCTGCTTGCTCACTTGAGGGAACCCAAAAGATGCCACAGCAATATTTCAGACAACAGAGCCGTTATAACCATGTGTTTGCAAATACGTACCTTATAATCAACAAAGCAACACAGATTATCTGCAACATAAAATCCATTATAAAGTGTGCAATATTGAAGACCAGATGGACTACAATGTTTCAAGAAGACAGCTCACCAACTTCTCAAGGGCAACTGGGGACTGGCAATAAATGCTGGTCAGCCAGCCATGTCCATATCCCACAAATAATAAAACAAACTGAAGAACACATATTTAGAATTACAGTATAAAGATTTCTGTGGATATTTTTAACTACTTTCCCAATAGTTCTGGCCTTGCTAGCAGTCCTTTGAGAAAAAAAGCATGTTTGGAGGAACAGAATCTTTACAATAACCTTAAAATTTCAAAATAGGAAGGGCTCTACTAAATGCAACATTTCATTTGCAAATTGAATATCATGTGCAAAGCTGAAATCTTCCAGAAGATGGCAACATACTGCAATACTTCTTTGGAAAATCACTGTCAGATAATTGTGTGTTTCTTCTGATCAGTTAAATAAGCCATTATTTAACTGGCTTACTCATCTACTCAGCTCATTTTGCACAATTACAAGCTCTGAAAAGCTCCAAGGATTATTGCTGATTCACTGCAAAACATGATAGCCAATAATAATTTAGATTTTGGATTTAAAGTGAGAGTTGCTACAAAGTTTTGAGAGTAAATGCATCAAATTTGAATTCGGTACAACACTTACACATTTTGTCGCAATGCATTCCTATTGTAATTTTATCTGTTTACACGGACTATTGACATGCTTATAAGGATTCTGATTCATGAAAAGCTATCACCATTTAAACTTAGAAATTACTAAGATAATGTCAACTCTAAATTCATATACATATAGATAATTCATTCTGAATTGCCACATTTTTCTGAATTACATTAAGGCATAGCAGTTTCCAAGTTACCCAAATATCAAAAAGGACTAAAGTTCTGATAATATATTAAAATTATACTTGTCATTTCAAAATTGTTGAGATTAGAATACAAGTGTCTTATCTCATATCTCCAGCTTTTATTTTGGAAAAAGATACCAAGAAGTTGTTGAAAATCAAAGTATTGGAATAAGAATGTATTAAGAACCAACTTGCATTTATACAGCAGCATTAATAATACCATTGCTTCACAATCAATGAGGAATTTCTGATAAGTAGCTAATGCTGTATTGCAAGGAAGTCTCTCAAACTTGAATTTGCTAAATAACATGTTTACTGAAATGAAGTTAAATGTGAGCTAAATGCTGACCCAGAAACCAGAAGTATTCTCTCCTCTTTGAATGATATAGTTTTTTTTTAAACTCTACCTGAAGAGGCAGATTAAAGAAGAGAACCATGGGTTGTCTATAAATAACAAAAAGGTGCTTTGATCAAATATTTCACAGAAATAAGCAGAGATTAAATAAGCCATTCAATCAAACAGTTCAAACAGTTACTAATTTGTAAGAAATCTCTGCAACGTGAAAATATTTTTTCAAACATGTCAACAGGCAAGTACTATTCGCTAGTAAATTTGCTTCAGTAAGCAAAACTCCGATCACTTAAATACTGCCTTAAGATGCCTTCTAGAAGAATACATATAAACTGATGTACGACACTTCAATGCTGTACGACACAATTTGCAGCTATGTCACAGCTTTAGCACAGAAAAATTATCAAGGCTCTTTAAAACAGGCAAAATGAGTATTAAAAATGGAAAGACAAAGAAGTAGACAGAAAGAGTGACCAAAAGCTTGGTCAAAGTACTTTGTGAAGGGCTTTCAGTTGGAAATTTGAGACTAAAGCGTACATTATTTCCCACTATCTAGTGAATGCACATCCGTAAAGCCAAGTGACAGCCTTCTCATTTGCAGAGTTTGAGGCAATTAGTCCACTGCTTAGTCGGTATTGGGAACACTCCTCAGCAATGCATAGCACCATTTGGTGATTTTCGACAAATGCATACAGAATTTGTACTGAGGTGGCAATGATTGTGGTTGACTGCACAGGGGTCCTGGCTTGTCATGAACCTGTTATGCAAGAACCACTCCCATCATGTTAGTTCAAAGAATGCTATTCAAAGATGATGTTTGTCACAAGAAACTTCTTAGCGGCTTCCTGTGTAATCCATTCCTCGATCCAAAGGACATCTGCTGGTAACCTTCTCATATGGAACAACATTCCTGTAGAACAAAATGGAAGGCAGACAGCTGGTGGGTTGAACACATCAGCATAAGCGGTAAGTTAGGTGCATGGATTTCAACCAGCTTCTGTTTTTGTTTGTCCAATAAAGCCAAGTGGAATTGTGAGTTCAAGTTGTGGATCCTGCGAAGAATGAAAAACAGGAGAGGTCCTTTGCAGACGTGGGAGAGGGAGACTCTGAGCTGGGGTAGGCTTAATTGTAGTACCAGGAGATGCCGGCGCATTGCTGCGAGTGTGTGTTTCAGGAGTCGCAGGGAGAAACGTTTTTGAAGGATCTCAATGTTCTGAATGTAGCGGTTGTCATGGTTGGGGCCAAATTGGGAAGGCCTAAATATGGACTGTAGTCCATTGGGGATGATCCGGTTCTGTAGGCAGGTACTAAGAAAGGTAATGCGGCTGTAGAACCTGGTTTGCTTCAGGACGTGGTCGAGCAGTTTCAGGGCCAAAGAGATTACGAGAGAGTTGCAGTGGGAGAGAGATCCACTGAGGTCTTTCCGGAGGGAGGAGGGTAACTTCTTCAAGGGAGGCATCCTTAGAAGAGGCTTCGCAGTGGGGTTAAAATTGTTTCAGAGATAGTAGGAACTGCAGATGCTGGAGGATCTGGATGAACACAGCAGGCCAAGCAGCATCAGAGGAGCAGGAAAGCTAACGTTTCGGGCCTAAAGCCCTCTTCAGAAAAAAAAAGGCACAGTGCTCTGCTGAGGACTGCAATCAGAGAAGCAGCAAGTGCTGCGGCAGTAGCATCCCACATAGATCCAGCAAGTTTAGTTGGTAAATCTTTTCTGGTTTTGACCGTTGCTTGACTAAATTGAATTGGGATTATGCTTCAGTCTCTGCCTATACATGTAGGTATGTAATTCTATTTTGGCACTGGTAGGTGTGGAGGTCGAATACACAGGATGCAATTTTAAAGGGATTCGAATTTAATTATTCACATGTCCAATTGTTTTCACAATGGCTATCATCGCTTTTTCAGAAGTAGGAACTTCACAAAACTCTGAAATGCAAAGTTGATTTACTTTCTGCTTAGTTAAGTTTAATTAGCTGTAACATTTTTTCAATGCAAAGTCAATATTGGTTACATGACACCAGTCAGTAAACACACTAGAACAGTTTAATGCATTTTGCATGCGATAAACATTATTCCAGTGACATATGGGGGAATTGTCAAGAGTATGCATTCACTATCATTGATTACATGGAGAGTGATTTGTTCATATTTGAGAAGGTAGTTAAGTGTACACAACTACATTGTTTAGATGAGGTGACACTCACTGGAGTTGACAGCAAGTCAGCATTTGACTAAATTTGGTATAAGAAAATCCTCGTAAAATCCTAGGGGGGAAACTCTTCACTAGTTGGAGCATTACCTAGCATAAAAAGCAGCAGCTGAAGTTTTTGGAATCTTATCATCTCAGGAGCAATTCCTCAGGATAGCAACGAAGGCTAATACACCTTCAACCGCTTTACCAATAACCTGTACTCCTAACAAGATAACAAGTGCAGGTGTCAACTGACGACTGCGGTGTTCAATATTATTTACTACTCCTAGGTAAAGGAACAACATGTACCCATCTGCAGCATGGCATGAACAATATTCAGGCTTGGCTGATAAGTGGGAATTAACACTCACGTCTCTCAAATATGAAACAATAACAATATCTAGAGAGAATCTGACCATCACCCTTGACATTGACAGAGTACTCACTGCTAAAGCCTTTACTATGGGCATTCTGGGAGATGATTAGAAATTTAATTCACCTAGCCATATCAATACCACGACAACAGTCTGTGAGAGACTAGGAATCTGCAATGACTAAATCACTTCCTGAATCCCCAAAGCATACCCAATATCTAGAAGGAACAAGTCAGGAGTGTGATGGAATACTGTCCACTTGCCTGGATGAATGTAGCCCAATAACACTTAAGAAACTTGCTACTCCTCTTGACACCATCCAGGACAAAGGCAGTTCACTTTATCAGCAACCTATTGTTATAAAACGGAGGTTGACCCCCACCCCAACAGAACTAACACGAAAACACTCAAGGAGGTACACCTCATCCTATCATCTGTAAAAGGAGTGTGAAAAGTGGGGTAACCTGCATTTAAGCAACTTCTAGTGTTTAAATAAAGTAAATCCCTAACAGTCACTTTAAAAACAAGCAACGGTTTATTTATCTAACTCTAACAGTGAACAAATTATCTAAACTATTAACAAACTGAATAAGTCCCTTCTAACTATTAACTATTCTGGAATAAAACAAAATTCTAATGGTATGCTGTTCCAATAAATACAAGTCCTACTTATATAAGAAATATATAAGAAAACAGAATTTAGTCTCTCAAAATTACAGCCAGGTTATGTGTCTTCCAGAATGTGTATCTCTTCTCCATCACTTCTTCTGTCAGGAACGCCTTCTCTGTTGATTCTTCTGTCAGGAATATTAACTAGTTGTGCCATGGGTACCTTTGTTATTGAGACGGTGCTTTCGCTAAGACACAAAGGAGTCTGTGAGAGCCAGTGATTCTCTTTTGAGAGCTCAAGGCTGTTAGCTCTCGCAGATGGCAGTTAGCTCTCTGGGGTTTTATGCAACTGCCCCCTTCTGTTATACGCTTGATAACATATCGATATTTTTTACAATAGGATTGGTCCTATGTTGTCAAAACCATCAAATTTAAATTTATTTGGTTCTCGGTATCTAAGTGCCTGATTCAAATTGATTGATTACATTCAAAACTTGTTGTTTTGGTAAAATCTGCTGTTTGGCCTGCTAACTGTATGGCTTTTTGATACAAATGTTTCAAATCAGGTGCTCTCTCTGTACTTGCAAACTTTCAGGCTGCTGCTCACAGACATCCATTTGAAATCTCAAAGCATAGAAAAAGCACATCTTTTAAAGGGACCATGCAATGATTCCGCTTCTCCCCCCCCACCCCAGCATTTTACAAACACCAAATTCTAACTTCCTGCCTCCCAATCCACAAGTACTCTACCCAACTTCATAACACTACCAATCATCTTAAACATTCACTCACTCCACATGGCCCACAATATAAGCTGTGTGTACCATCCAGGAGACAGTGCAGCTGAACTCAAGTATTCTTTCACACCTCCTACTATGGTAAAGGCACAAAATACATGGTAATGCCATCACCTGAAAAATCTGTTCCAAGATCTATCTTGTTCTGTATCAAAATTAAAGTCCCTTCATTACAGCTATTTATATGCATTTACAGCACATGAACTGCAGCAGGTCAAGGCAGCTTCTGATCTTCACCTTTTTAAAGGCCATTAGAGATGGTAAAAAGTGCTGGCTTTACTAGTGGCGTTCACATCCATGAATAAATATGAAAAAGAAGTACAAGTGTCTTCTGGTAAAATTAGCAAACATTATAACATTTTGGGAGAATTAAAACACTTGCTAAAGTGAACAAGTGTGCCATTAAAAACAAATCTTGTCTCTTAGAATCTTTTTCATTTATGCCAAAAATAAAGCAGAAACCAAGCCAAATTTTAAAGGGAATTTTAAATCATGTTGGATTTACTTAAATGGAATAAATATTCAATCTACAATCCAAAACATTGAAGTTATATATGCAATTACTCACATGGAGAAGTGCATAAAGGGCTTATGTTTAGCAGCTGGTAGTTGTTTCTTTGGTGATCCCAATGAAGAAGTGTTCTCAAAAATTGCTGGCTCAACCTCATCATCACTGGTGATGTAATCTTCCAAAATATGGTTCATAGCATCTGACAAAGCAATCAATAATGGAACGTGAACTCTATTTTAAGAATATTTAACAATGTACAATACAGGTAAGAACAATCCAAAGTATACACCTGTCTCAAATGTTTACTCTTCAATTAACTTTTAGATTTTAATGCAAGTTTCAAAAATATTATGTTTTTACATACACTAAATGCTGACATAAGAATTTAAAAGTGCAGTAATTCAGATATTCTGAATTACTGCACTTTTAAATTCTTCAACACCAACAATGTTCAATAATTGTTAAGTTAGTCTTAATCAATCATTCTCTTTATCATGTTCCTCAGTATGTTTGCAAAATCTATTTGTCACCAAATACAGACATTTCATTTCTGAATACTAACCTAATGACTTTAACTTGGTGGAATTATCATTAAATTAAATATAGTTTGATTTATTTTACGCAAATCGCTAAAAAAAGTTTTAAATATTTAGAACTAATGAATATGTCAAACAAGATTTTGACGAAAGAACAAAATGTTAAAATAATCTAGAAAAGACAAATACAAACTAACACTACAAAAATCATTATTTAGAAATACAAAACTTTCTTTGGGACTGCTAGTTTTGTCTTTACACAAAATGTATCATTTTAAGAAGCTCACGTAAGATCAGTAGCATTATAGTAAATATCTCAGCAGTAATACTATAAATTACTATCAATCTTTCAGGCTTATTCAGGCTCGAGTGGTCTCTTCCTTGAATTCCAGTGTGCTGTACAATACAGATTGATATCTGTGATTCTACATGTAGTACAGATGTGTACAGATTGAAATAATAAACTAATTACTTTGTTACCCTCATCACATAAGATGCTAGTAACTCATACAGCAAATATACAATAACAAAAAAAGCCTTTATAATGTATACCAACCATCTCTGTTGTCATTCTGAGTCTGTTCAGCATGAGGAAAAACTTTGTACAAAGCAATTAGAATTCTATTAAAGACGTTTTCCAGCAGAGGCCTGATGATGTGTGATAGTGCTTCTCCTGAAGCGGTCACAGCTCGTTGTGAAGCAGGCACAATGTTCTGCATGGCAAGGTAGAAGTCCTGTGCACTTATAACAATCGATGAGACATCCAGCTGCAGTTTCTGACTGGTTGCATAAATCTGAGGATAGCGTCGGCGTAGGGCAAACAAGGCTGCCTCAGTGCAAAGTGATTTTATATCAGCCCCACAGTAGCCTTAAGACAACAAATCAAAATTCTTTTTTTAAAAAAAAGCAAGTCATCTGTTCCTCAATAATTCAAAACTAAAGTAGCAGCCCTGGGATAAAATGCAAAATATTTATTCATTCACAAATTGTGAATTAAATCTATAATACCACTGAATTATAGAATGGTTACAGCACAGAAGACAGCCAGTTAACCCATTGTCACTACGTCAGGACTCTGCAAGAGCAACTTGTCTAACCCTTTCCACATTTTGTGAAATTCTCTGTTCAGCTACTTGTCCGAGTTCTTTTGAAAGCCATGACTGAATTTCCCTCCTCAACACTTTCATGTAGTGCATTCCAAATCCTAATCATGTGTTGCATAAAAGTTCTTCCTTAGGTTCTACCATTCTTTTGCCATCTGCCTCGAATCAGTACACTCTGGTTAACAACCCTTCTGACAATGGGAACAATTTCTGTCTACGACTGATTAGATCCCTCAATTTGAGCACCTCTACTAATGCTACTCTCAATCTTCCTCTCTCAAAGGAAAGCAACTATAACTTTGCAAATATGTTCATTGCTCTTTTTATTTGTTCATGGGATGTGGGTGTTGCTGACTAGGCCAGCATTTACTGCCCATCCATAATGGTCGGGAAAGTATAACTAAAATGCACATTCTTCTATTTCTCCTGTTAAGCCTTCATATCCTTCCTCAAAATGGCACAATACGCTAGTTGAGACCAAACCAGTGTGTCTTACAAAGGCTCATCACAGCTACATTGCTTTTGTACTCTCCAGCTCTATTAACAAAGCCCAGGATCCTGTATGCCTTTTTAATCACTTTGTCAGCCTGCTTTGCCACCTGTAATGGCTTTTGCACATACATCCCCAGATCTGTGAGCTCATGGTGCCTTCCACAAAAAGGTTTTCTTCAACTTTGAGACAAACTGAATCAAGGGAGTTGAATTTACAATTTTCAGATTAAATTCTGAAGATCCTACGGTAGCAATTAGCCATTTTTTTTTTTTTTTTTTTTTAAGTACACTAAAGTCGCACAATAGAAACAAAAATGGTACTTTATGACCCTCTATTAATATACTTGGCACACTTGACAGCAGAAATATGTGGCAACATCAAATCCAACTGACCAATCACAGGAGACTTGAAGGCACACTCTGTGGTCATACCTCAATGACAATTAAGTAATAGCTACCCATTTTGTTATCTTTCGGTTGCACAGTTCTCCATAACCTGGATCTCCTGTATCCAGATTATGGGAGAATAATGGCCAGAAAGATTAGCTTTTCCAATCGGCCATGGCACATGTCATGAGTTTAACTTTGGTCAACAAAAATGCACTTTCAATAACTGCAGAACTCCACAAAGCCTACTGCTAATAAAAATCATAGCATGATGTCACTGACAGGATTGTGATAATTCTTTCAAGTCAGATATCTGGTCCTTTGTGGCATTATCAACAGACTACGCACTTTCACTGTCATAAATATCTCACCTGGACAATTTACAGTTGCAGGTTGAATGGCACACATGCAAAGTGCAGTGTAAATATGGAACTAGATTACTGAATCATAATCTATCTATCAGAATAAATGGGCCTTTGGTCCCAGTAAATTGTAATTTCTTCAATTATGGGGAAAGACGCTGAAACCAGAAATAAAGGTTCAGAATTGGGAGAAGATTGAATTTAATGTGAAATGACTGGATCTGGCAAAATGGATTGGGAGCAACCACTTGCAAGAAAATTTACTTTAGAGCACTGGGAGTTATTCAAAAGGGTAACAGGAAGAGTGCTGAGCCAACGTGTTCTGATAGAGGTGAAGGATGGGTTTAACAAACTCAGAACTCTCGTCGTCAAGGGATGGACATAACTGAATCAAAAAAAAAAGCTTGTTGCAGATAGCAAGGACTCAGAACGGTGAATGCCCTAGAAAGTGCAGAGAGGGGTGCGGTATGGTTTTACTTAGGACAACAAAGACAGGACATGAAAAAACACTGGAAGGTAACATCAAAGGAAAATCCAATGATAAGTATATTAGGGGCAAGAGAATAACTAGGGAAAGATTAGGGTTCATTAGGGACCAAACTGACATTTTTTTGGGTGCAGCCAGAAGACATAGCTAAGGTTTTCAACAAGTATTTTCCATCGGCATTCACTATAGGGAAAGACAATGTAGGCCCAGAAATCATAGAGGGTGACTGTGTATCCTTGAACAATTAACGTTGAAAGGGAGGAGGTATTACCAGTTTTAGCAGGCTTGAAAGTGGATAAATCCCTAGGCCCAGAGCAGACATATCCAGACTATTATAGAAGGCAAGGGATGAGATTACAAGGGCTCTGACATTAAATTTCTATTTTTCCTCTAGTCACAGGAGGGGTGTCAGAGGACTGGAGGACAACTAATGTGGTAGGTATTATTATTCATTAAGGGTGGTAGGGATATACCAAGAAGCTATGAGGCAGTGGTCCAGCATCAGTAGTAAAGGAAAAATTGTAAGCATTGAAATTAACGTACATGTGCAGATTAATCGAGGGTAATCAGCATGGTTTTATCAGAGGGAGATCATGTCCAACAAATTTGAATTTTTCAAGGAGTGACTAGGTGTTTAGATGAAGGTAATACAGTTGATAATAAAGCTTTAGACATAGGTCCGGCACAGCAAAATCGTTAAGAAGAGTCCATGAGATCCAGGGCAATTTGGTAAATTAGATCTAAAATTGGCTTTCTGGCAGGAAGTAGAGGGTGATGGTTAAAGGGTGCTCGGTCCCTTGCTCTTCGACATGTACATTCGTGATATAGACATGAATGTAAGATGTACAATCGGTAAGTTTGCAGATGACACAAAAATAGCGAGGATGCATCCTTAGACTATAGGACGATATGGACAGGCTGATCAATGGCAAGTGGAACTTAATCCTGAAAATTGAGAGGTGATGCATTTTAACTGATCTTATTGAGGTATACCAATCACACAGCTCAAGGTGGTTACCACCACAACCTCAGGTAAACTAGATATGGGCAATAATTGCCAACCTTGCCAGCAATCATATCCACAGAAAAAATATAACTTTTACAAATTCTATCAAAACCAATTTATCAAAAAACAAAAGCTCCAGGTTTAAAATTTTTAAAAAGACATGCAGATTGGCCATACATCAACTCACCCCACTTCAGTATACTTAATGCACAATGCAGTTGCTCAAGCCGATATTTTCCGAAGTAATCTTAAAATGCATTATAGAGTAATATAAACATACTTTAAAGGATTTTAAGTTCAATACTCACCTACGCATTTTTCAGCTAATTCATCAAGGAAACCCTGCAACAGTTTCGGATTCCAGTCTCTGGTATGTATTTGAAATATGTGCTTTCGTGCCTAAATAGTCAACAAAAATAACCAAATACAGTCTCAGTACTTTATTATCTCAAAGCATAAACTATGCTCTATTTTGAATTCATAAATTCATAACTATAAATGTTTTCAGCCTCCATCTTGCAGGGACAGAACAATACTCTAATAAAAAGAAACTGTGTCTCAAGGCATATCTTTAATAATTTGGAAGACACATGCATAAAATTGACTATTAAGTATTAGAAATTCATGTAAGATAACTGACCTTTTCTCCAGGTCCCAGGGGTTGAGTTCTGTCTTGGTCCCTATGTTGCTAATTTCACATGAACGACAGCTGTTAGAATCTACAGTATCTATGGGAGCTGACACTGTTGAAGCTACTTAGTTGTTTCATAGGATAGGAATAAGACCATAAGGCATAGGAGCAGAAATTAGGCCATTCAGTCCATCGAGTCTAATCAGCCATGATTAAATGGCGGAGAAGTTTCACAGCCCCATTCTCCTGCTTTCTCCCCGTAACCCTTGATCCCCTTGACAATCAAGAACCTATCTATCTCTGTCTTAAATATACTCAATGAGCTGGCCTCCACAGCCCTTTGTGGCTGTGAATTCCATAGATTCACCACTCTCTGGCTGAAGAAGTTTCTCCTTATCTCCATTCTAAAAGATCTTCCCTTTACTCTAAGGCTGTGCCCTCGGGTCCTAGCTTCACCTACCAATGGAGGCATCTTCCCAATATCCACTCTGTCCAGGCCATTCAGTATTCTGTAAGTTTCAATTAGAACACCCCACCCCACTATCCTTCTAAATTCCAACGAGCATAGACCCAGAGTCCTCAAACGTTCCTCCAGTGTTAGGCTTTTCATTCCTGGACCATACTCATGAACCTCCTTTGAACCCGCTCCAGGGCCAGTACATCTTTCCTGAGATATAGGCCCAAAATCGCGCACAATACTTCAAATGTGGCCTGACCAGAGCATTACAGTGCCTCAGAAGTATATCCCCGCCTTTATATTCAAGTCCTCTCAAAATAAATGCTAAAGTTACATTTGCCTTCCGAAATATTGACTCAACCTGCAAGTTTAGCTTGAGAGAACCCTGGACTAGAACTCCCAAGTCTCTCTGCACTTCAGACTTCTGAATTTTCTCCCCATTTAGAAAATAGCCCATACATCTATTCTACTTACCAAAGTGCATAACTTCACACTTTCCCACTTTGTACTCCATCCACCACTTCTTTGCCCACTCTCTTAACCTGTCCAAATCCTTCTGCAGCCTCCCCACATCCACAATATTACTTATCCCTCTACCTATCTTTGTATCGTCTGCAAACTTAGCCAGAATGCCCTCAGTTCCTAGATCATTAATGTTTAAAGTGAAAAGTTGTGGTCCCAACACTGATCCTTGTGGAACACCACTTGTCACCGCTGCCATCCTGAGAAAGACCCTTTTATCCCCACTCTCTGCTTTCTGCCAGAGACTCAATCTTCAATCCATGCTAGCACCTCACCTCTAACACCCTGGGCCCTTATTTTACTCAGCAGCCTCCTGTGCAGCACCTTATCAAAGGCCTTCTGGAAGTCCAGGTAGATAACATGCATTGGCTCTCCTTGGTCTAACCTGCTCATTACTTCCTCAAAGAATTCTAACAGATTTATCAGACATGGCCTCCCCTTGATGAAGCCATGCTGACTTTGCCCTATTTTATCAAGCACTTCCAAGTATTCAGAAAGCTCATCCTTCACAATGGATTCTAAAATCTGACCCACAACTGAGGTTAGGCTAATCAGTTTGTAATTTTCTGTCTTTTGCCTTACTCGCTTTTTAAACAGGGGTGTCACATTACCGATTTTCCAGTCCTCTGGGACCCTCCCTGACTCTAGCAATTCCTGAAAGATCACTACTAACACTTCCACTACCTCTTCAACTATCTCCTTAAGAACTCTGGGGTGTAGTCCATCTGGTCCTCGTGATTTATCCACCTTCAGTCCATTCAGTTTTTCTGGCATCTTCTCCTTGGTGATGGCCACCATACACAGCTCTGTCCCCTGACTCTCTTGAAATTTTGGGATATTACTCGTGTCGTCCACTGTGAGCATGACACAAAGTAATTATTCAGTTCCTCAGCCATTTCCTTGTTCACCACTACTATCTATCCAGCATCATTTTCCAGCAGTCCAATTTCCACTTTTGCCTCTCCTTTGCCCTTTATATATCTAAAGAAACTCTTACAGTCCTCCTTTACATTCCTGACTAGCTTACCCTCATATTTAATCTTCTCCCTCTTTACTTATTTTTTTTGTTGCCCTCAGTTGGTCTTTGTAAGTTTCCCATTCCTCTGGTTTCCCACTGCCCTTCGCCACATTGTATGCTTTCTCTTTTGCTTTTATGCTATCCCTAACTTCCCTAGTCAGCCATGGTTGCCTCATCCTCTCTGTACCATGCTTCTTTTTCCTAGAAATGAATTTTTGCTGTGTCTCCTGAATTACTCCCAGAAACTCCTGCCATTGCTGTTCCACTGTCTTTCCTGCGAGGCTCCTCTCCCAGTCAATTCTGTCCAGCTCCTCCCTCATGCCTCTGCAGTTGCCTTTATTCAGTTGTAATACTGTTACCTCTGATTCTATCTTCTCCCTCTCAAATTGCAGAGTAAGTTCAATCATATTATGATCACTATCTCCTAAGGGTTCCTTCGCCTTAATCTCCCTTATCAAGTCTGCCTCATCGCACAACAGTAAATCCAGTATTGCCTGTTCCCTAGTGGACTCCACCACAAGCTGCTCCAAAAAGCTATCTCGTAAGACATCCACAAACTCCTTTTCTTGCGATCCACCGTCAGTCTGATTTTCTGAGTCTACATGCATGTTGAAATTCCCCATGATCACCATAACTTTGCCGTTCTTATACGCCTTTTCTACTTCCCGGTGTATCTTGTGCCCCAGCTCCTGAATACTGTTTGGAGGCTTGTACATAATTCCAACTGTGGTCTTTTTACATCTGCGGTTCTTCAGCTCTACTCACACAGAGTCTACACCATCTGACCCTACTTTGTTTCTTACTATTGATTAATTTCATTTCTTACTAATAAGGCAACCCCAACTCCCCTGCCCACCTGCCTATCTTTTCAATAAGATGTATACACTTGGATATTCAGCTCCCAATCCTCATCCCCTTGCAGCCATGTCTCCGTGATACCCACCACATCATATCTGCCAATTTCGATCTGTACCACAAGCTCATTTACTTTCTTCCTTACACTGCGTGCATTCAGATATAACACCTTCAGCCCTGTATTTACCGTCCCTCTTTTCATTGTCTCTCGTTTATCTAGTGTGCTTGAAGTTTGATTCCTAACCCTTTCCAAACACACTATCCTATTTTTGTCTGTGAAGACTTTAATAACCTTTCCCGAGTTCTCCTTCCCATCATTTTTTTCGTACTTTTCCACGCAGTTGAATCCACCCCTACAGATGTTAACCTGCTGTTTTGTTTCCTACTGGGGGAAGCTTTACCCTTCGCTTCCCTCCTGATTTTCTAATTTAAAGTCCTGTTGACCAGCCTATTTACCCTTTTCGTTAGAACATTGGTTCCAGCTCGGTTCAGGTGGAGATCATCTCAATGGTACAGATCCCTCCTGTTCCAATATGAATGAGCAAAGATAGATGGTTGTGGGCCAATTTTGTGAAGTTTATTTTTAAAAATGTCAGAAAGTCAATTTGGAAAATTGACTTAACTGCAAAAGTTCTGAGAAAACATGCCAGAAGACAGCATTAGAGTGCTTGTGATGTTAGCGAATAAAATATTTATACTGTTGTGTTCAAGGCAGGCAAAGTAAACATATGACAGCAATCGGAGATAACAAGGTGTAGAGCTGGATGAACACAGCAGGCCAAGCAGCATCAGAGGAGCCGGAAGGCTGACGTTTCGGGCCTAGACCCTTCTCCAGCATCTGCAGTCCCTACTATCATAGGAGAGCAATCTGTTTAGTTGTGGCCTCAGAAGAGAAGGTTAAAAGTTTTAGTTCAGAATTGAACAGCTTTCCTCCTAGAATGAGGATGCAATTTTTCAGTTCAATTCAAGTAATCAGTCACCTCAGTTCACGCCAGCATAAGGAACCGAAAGGAATGATATGTTTCTGGTTGACTCGCTGTAATGGATGGTGTTGGGAAACAGAATGGAAGTTACGGTAATTTGGCAAAAGTCAATTTGTGAGTTTCATGGTGGGTTCCCTCCACAATGCCGAGCAATATTTTTCTCATTATTGTCCCAAATAAACCTCAGGAACTACCTCACTTTTAACGAACCTCTCACCCAGTGCCAGCCTGATTATTCCACATGCCATTGCCAGAAATACTCACCACTACTCAGATATCCTGTGATATACTGACATCCCTGGTACCAGTGCCATGTTTACAATGCCACTGCACGTCTGATCAACAGCTCCCCTGCCCATTTGCAGAAATTCACCCACAAAGCAGGGTGCCAAGGGCTGAGGGTCCTGCTGGACAGGGTAGTATAGATAAGGATCGTCCTCCTTCCCCAAGCATTGACAGAGCAGGCCACACCTCAAGACTTGCCAGCCTAGCCAGATGTTATGAACCAGATAGTACCTGTCTCAGGTGCCCTGAACAACACCAAGCAGAGCAGGAAGAAGGTAAATGACTTTCTCCACTCTGCCAGGTTAAGTGCCACTATCTGTTCTCTGCTACTTCACACACCTCTCACCAAAGGTAACAGTGAGTGAAGGAAGATGTTACATTCTCTACCACTCTGCAATCCTCCACTATCACATGCAACATATTCCCTCAGTTACTGTTACCCATACAATTCCTCTATGCCACTAACCCTGTAAGGCCAATGTGCTGCCTACTCACTTACTTGGGTCACCTCATCACCTTTCCCACACCTGTATGAGCATCAACAGCTGTACTCTCACGTCCTTGGCGAATACATTTCAGCCACCTAATTTGGCAAGGACTCAATAAGCTCAACAGTCTGCTTCAGTGCTGCAATAACTATGACTTTTTGGAAAATTAAACTCCAAACTGGGAACAGGAGCCAATAAATTCAGGGCTGCTGTTTCACAAATTTTAACAATCAGAGATTAAAAAGGCTTTACAAATGCATCAAAAGTATTGGGGCTCATTGTTAGAAAAAAAACTGAAAGTCAGAAGGATTGACTTAAACAAGCACAGCCACACTCAACAAAACCATGCAAAGGTTGATCTCCATATTATGGGTAAGAAATACAGAAACTAAAAAAGATGCAAGGGAAAAAAAAAGGGCTTTCAATGTGATATCTGAACTGAGCATTTATAACCATTAGGACAGATTGTGCAGGCTGGGGCTCTTTACTCTGTAAAGGGCTGAAGATTGACCAGATAATCTTTAAAATTATGAAAAGATTTGATACAGTAAACAAAGAAAAAATGTTTCCACTGTGGACAGTACTAAACTAGGGTTCATAAGTATAAGATAGTCACTGATAAATCCAATACAACCATAACTTTATATTTAAAGCACTATACAAAAATGAGAAATGCCTCAAAACAAACTACTGACTAAATTGTGTAACATACTTTCCTGGAAGGAGTTAATGAAATGAACATTAAAGATGCATTTCAGCAAAAGCTAGGTAAGTACATGAGGTAAAAATAATAAAGGATTTGCTAGCAGAGTTAGATGAAGGAGGCTCACAAGAGGTGCACAAACACAAGAGTAAATTACCTTTAGGTTCAAAAGACTACTGTTGTATGTTTTCGAAAAAGACAATTTGAATTTTGGCAATAGAGTAAAAAAAAAAATACGGTTTGGAGAGAGAGAAAAAAAAACAATTAAATTGCTTCCATTATTCTTGCATTTTTGTGCACCTCCTGCCAACATTTACCACTATAACATCCTGTATAGACAATGGGGCAAGATAGAAAATAAAGGAGCATTAAAAATGAGACACCAATATTTCTGGTAATACCTGTTGATATTTTACCATATATCTCTCATGCAACGGTTCAGTAAATGTGTTGCTTATAGCAATACTGTTATCGTTTTACTGAAATTGCTGAGGGAACACAGGAAGCACCAAAAATCACAATCCTGCTCAGACATTTCCCATAACCTATAGTAAGATTACAATATAAAGCTCCAGTTAAGAAATTTCCAATACCTTTTTATCAGGGAGGTTAAAGAAGAATTCTCTGTCAAAACGACCTGGTCTCCTGAGCGCGGGGTCAATGGAATCAAGTCTATTTGTAGCACCAATTATAACTACTTCGCCTCTATTGTCCAGTCCATCCATCAGTGCCAGCAATGTAGACACTATAGAGCTGATAAAGAAAGAGGAGTAACTTTACACAAGACTAAATAAGCAAAACACATTATGATTAACTGTAACATCACATACATGTACACTATCGGAAGAAACAGTTAGATGCAAATGTACAATTTCTTAAAATCATTTTTGTCTACATTACTAGTTTTGTCTTACATTCTCATCAAGAGTCTACATGATGGCTTCATGATGGGTCCACATGAGCAGACAACAATCAAGTTGCCTATAATATGAAAAATAACCTGATCAGAAATAATTCCTCATCAGATTACTCCAATGATGTTGGTAACAAAGCACTGCTCAAGTCAAACACTGGAAGGAACTATAGATTTCTAACAGATCAACTTTCAAAATGAACTCATTTCAGGAAATTCAACCATAAAATCTGATTAAATATTGAAGAGTCTTGATTCAAGTATTTTCTTTAGAATAAAGTACCTTCATTTTATCATCAATACTATATAATCAAATGGAAATAAAAATTACTTGTGGTACTATCAACAGTTTTGCAAAAGAGCAAATAATGCTCTCAACTCGTTGAATGAAATTTGTTAAATGATTAAGTTTACAAGGAAAACAAAACGTATTGACCATGGTACATTTGGACTTTCCAAAAGACTCTGCAAAGTCTACAAGTAATTGGCTTTAAAAACCAAAACGCATTGGCAGAAGTCACATGAGACCAGGTTACAGTCCAACAGGTTTATCTGAAATCATGAACTTTCAATCACCTGACAAAGAAGCAGCACACCAAAAGCTTGTGATTTTAAATAAACCTGTTGGACTATAATCTGGTTTTGTGTGACTGCTGACCTTGTCCACCCCAGTCCAACACTGGCACCTCCACATCAAAATACATTGTATCAACAGTGCCAATAATTGCATAATTAAAACAGTTGAGAGACTGAAAAAAAAGCAATAAAACAAAATAGATGTTTCTCGCCTTGACAATTACCAAATAATGCAAGAGACATACGGGAAATAAATTCACACGTACATCCCTACACAATGTATTCCTCTTCAATTTTTGTTACTTAATTCACCATTAATTAGCAATGTGTCCCAGTCTCACAAATAAAACAATGTGTAAGAATCTTTCTTGTCATTGACTTGAATAATCCAGACACACTGTTGTTAAAATGTTGTCAGTGGAATGAAATATAAAATTAGGGAAGTTTTACAGCAGGCTGTAAAAAGCCTTAGTGAGAACACATCAAGAATACTGTGTGCAGCTTTGGCCTCCTTATTTGGAAGTGGATAATTTTGTTAGAAGCAGTTCAGAGATGGTTCACACAACTCAATCCTTGGGTCGGGGAGGGATTGAACTATTTTATGAGGCAAGGTTGGTGATCTATCTACTGGAGTGTAGAATGAGAGGTAGTCTTATGGAAACACAAGATCCTGAGTAGACTTAACAGATTGAAGACAGGAAGGAGGTCTCCATTTGTGGGCAAGATAAAACAAAAAGACATAGTTAAGTCAAAGAGGTTTCCGTTTTTAGTCAGAGGAGAACTGGTTTCTTTCCAATGCTCATCAGTCTTTGGTATTCTCGTTCAAAGAAAGCAAAGGAGATTGGGGAACTGAATGCATTTATATCTGAATTAGACATATAATGATAGACAAGGATTCAAAAGTAATGGGGGTAGATAGGAAGGTGAAATTGAGACCACAACCAAATCAGACACGGTCTTCCTGAATGTCAGCAAGAATAGTCTCAAAGGACTGAATGTCCTACTCTTGCTCCCAAGTCCTCTGCTCCTAACACAATAATATTAAATATTCTATTGTTAAGTAACTATGTTGATAATGCTACACCTACCCTACAACAGCTGAACCAGACGGCTTGAAATTCTCCATCAACATGATGCTAATTTTAACATTCAATCTGAATTGTGTGACACATGGGGTGTAAGTTACATATATCTTAGCATCATTTATTTTGGAGTTCAGATTTTTGAATTTGTACTAGTGGCATTGGGGTTTTCTGTGGGTCTGAAGGGATTTATGATTAACCTTTAAGTATTTCTGTAGCCATGGTGATGGCTTGCTAAATCAGTCCAAGAATACTAGTTTTGGAGGAAAGTGGGAATTTGCTTATATTGGGACAGTTTACAAGTAAAAAAAGTAAACAGCAAGGTACATTCATCTTTCATTCAGCAGATTCTGGAACTTTGTTTTTGAGTACAGGGCAAACACCAACAGCTGGGGTAAATAAAGCTTTATTTTGTTTCAGTTGGGACAATTCTGCATAGCTGGATGTGTAAAGCAGTTACTCCCCAGAAAGGGAGAGGCTGTTTAAAATTGCTAAAATGTTACCTCAGTGCAACTTCCATACCAGAAGTGTTTGAAGGGGTTATTTGAAGCTGTAAGGTGTAAGCTCAAAAACAAAATAGGAGGAGGAACAGGCCATCAGATTCTCAAAACGGGGAACTGAAGCCACACCTAAATCAAACCATATGTGCAACAGAGAAGGATATTTTCTCTAATGTTTGGATACTCTAGTGGTACATTGTTGGGATTAATGGGATTGTGTTTTTACTGAGTGTTTTGAAATCATTAAATATGTTGTAATGTGCAATTGGTTTGGTTTACTAGTGTGGTCTATCTTATCTTCACCTCTTTTGCATAATACACTCTGTGTAATTGCTAAACCCATTTGCGTTGCGTTAAAGACTGCCTCCTGGCGAAGTAAAAATTCTATGTATGAAGCCAGTTTTCAGTCTGCTTTCTGATTTGTCCAGTAATAACATCAGTTGGAATCAAAACAATTAAACTTTCTAGTGCAAGCAATATTCCAACTTAATATGTGTGAAGTGAGCAGTGAACTACTAAAGTCAAATGATAGTTTTAATAGGGACCAAGCTGTAAGTTGTTGGAAAAATTCTATTATACATTGTAAATATTAGAGAATAACAGACGTAGGGAAAAAAAACACTAAACTGAGATATGTTTAGCAATTATTTATGGAGACATACAGCATGAAAACAGACCCTTTGGTCCAACTAATCATGCTGACCATGTTCCCAAACTAAACTAGTCCCACTTGCTTGCGACTGGCGTATATCCATCCAACCTTGCCGTATTCATGTACTTATCCAAATGCCTTTTAAACCCTGTAACTGTACCTGTATCCTCCACTTCCTCTGGCAGTTCATTCAACACATGGACCACTGTGTTAAAAAAAGGTGCCCCTCATGTCCTTTTCAAAGCTCTCTCCTCTCACCTTAAAAATATACCCCCTAGTTTTGAACTCCCCCACCCTAGCGAAAAGACCCTTGCCATTCACCTTATCCATGCCTCTCATGATTTTATAAACCTCAAATTAGGTCACCCCTCAACTCCTACACTCCAGGAAAAAAGTCCCAGCCTATGTTTATAGCTCAAACCCTCCATGCACTCCAACATCCTGGTAAATCTTTTCTGAACCTTAACAATTTAATAATATCCTTCCTCGAGCAGGACAACCGGAACAGCACACAGTACTTCAGAAGAGTCCTCACCAATGTTCTATATAACCTCAACATGACATGCCAACTCCAATGCACAAAGGTCTGAGCAATGAAGGCAAATATGTGCTAAACATCTTCTTAACCACCCTGTCTACCTGTGATGCAAATTTCAAAGAATTATTGACCTGAAACCGTAGGTCTCTCTGTTCTACAACACTACTTAAGGCCCTACCATTAATTGTATAAGTCTTTGTTTGTTTTACCAAAATGCAATACCTTGCATTTATCCAAATTAAACTCCACCTGTCATTCTTCAGTCCACTGACTCATTTAATCAAGATCTCTTTGTAATCTTAGAAACCTTATTCACTGTCCATGATACCACCAATTTGGTATCATCGGCAAACTTACTGACCATGCCTCCTATATTCTCACCCAAATCATTATATAAATGACAAAAAGCAGACCAATACCGATCCCTGTGGAAGACTGCTAGTCACTGGCCTGCAGTCCGAAAGACAACCCCCCACAACCAGCCGGTCACCTAGCATCAAGCCAATTTTGCATCCAACTGGCAAGAACATCCTGAATCCCATGTGATCTAACTTTACTAATTAGTCTACCAAGTGGAACCTTATCATATGCTTTGATCAAGTCCAAGTAAACAACATCTACTGCTCTGCCCTCAATCGTTTTGACTACTTCCTCAAAAAACTCAATCAAGTTTGTGAGACATGATTTTCCTCGCACAAAACCACGCTGACTATCCCTAATCATTCCTTGCCTCTCCAAATGCATGCAAATTTCATCTTGCAGAATCACCTCCAACAATTTACCCACCTCCGAGGTCAGGCTCACAGGTCTCTAGTTCCCAGGAGTTTCCTTACAGCCTTTCTTAAATAAAGGCACACCAGTAGCCACCTCCAACACCTCACCCCTGGTTAAAGATGATACAAAGATAGTAGGAACTGCAGATGCTGGAGAATCCGAGACAACAAGGTGCAGGGCTGGATGAACACAGCAGGCCAAGCAGCATCATAGGAGCAGAGAGGCTGACGTTTCGGGCCTAGACCCTTCATCAGAAAAAAAAAGGCATTCTGATGAAGGGTCTAAAGATGATACAAATTGTCTCTGCTAGGGGCTGGCAATTTCTTCCCTAACTTCCCACATACACTTGATCAGGTCCCAGAGATTTATCCACCTTTATGTTTTATAAGACCTCCAACACTTCCTCTTCTGTAATGTGAACAGTTTTCAAAATATCAATACTTATTTCCCCGTGTTCTCTAGCCTCCGATTCTTTCTTCACAGAAATGTCCAGAGCAATTTACTATCAACACTAAAGGAGGAATTATTTGGATGCTATGGAGCAACATTGTGATTGCACTGAAAATAAGTATCATAATATCTTGCTAGCTGTAAGAACCACAATTATCCCCTCCCATAATTACAGCATTTCTTTTCACTCTGATGCAATTCTAAATGTTTAAAGACTCCATCAAATATTATCACAAAATTCATAACTGTACCTATGAATTTGATCTTGTCTGCTTGAACGAACTGGTGCTAGACCATCAATTTCATCAAAAAATATAATTGAGGGTCGCATTAAGTAAGCCTGCCAGAAGAGAACAAATATTGTGAATTATGCCTACATGTTAGAAGTTACAATTATGCATTCAAAAAAATTGGGAAAACATGTTGCCACTTGATTCTTTACCTGGTCAAACAGGAGCCTAAGTTGTCGTTCAGACTCCCCTACCCATTTGCTGAGACAATCTGCACCTTTCCGCATGAAGAATGAAACTTTCCTGTCTCCTAGGCTGCATTCATTAGCTAGCGCTCTAGCGACCAAAGTTTTGCCGGTTCCGGGTGGTCCATAGAATAAACATCCCCTGTAGCATTCAACAAAAAAGAAAATAATTCATCAATGCACATCAGCATCCAGATAAAGTTTAACATTAACTTCTGATCTTGAAATCCTAGGATGCTCCGATCTATCCATTTCCCTCCACTTGTCTCCATCTGGTTTACAACGTACCCTTGGTAAGCCAGACACAGATGTAGTTTAATGATTCATATCAAGTGTTTGGTTTTAAATTAGACCGTAAATATGAGAATAAAATATCGTTTTTGTAGAATAAACATACTGTACTGCAGTAATTAAATACTGCTTAAGTAATAACACTGCAAAATTACTTAAATTTAGTTTTGACTAAGACTACTGAACCATATTTTTACATTTTAATCATGCACCTCATGGGTTTTTTTGGAACATCCACAGTACTTTATCAATGTTAAAGAAGTGCCGGTGAGTGTGACCTGGGTGTATACTCATACAAATCACTGAAAGTGGCAGGACAAGTAGAGAGAGCAATTAATAAAGCATAATGTATCTCAGGCTTTATTAATAGGGGCATAGAGTACAACAGCCAAGAGGTGATACTGAACTTCTGCAAAATATTTGTTAGATCTCAGCTGCAGTATTGTGTACAGTTCTGGGAATGACACTACAGGAAGGATGTGTATGGAAGGAGTGTAGAAGAGATTTACAAGAATGGATCCAGGAAAGAGAATTCAGTTTTGAAGACAAATTGGAGAGCTTCAGACTGTTCTCCTTGGAGGGAAGTCTCAGAGGACATCTGCTAGAAGTTTCCAATATCATGAGGGGTCTGGATACATTAGCTAAGGAGAAACTATTCCCAGTTATAAAAGAATTAAGGCCAAGAGGTCACAGATTTGAAGTAATTTGCAAAGAAAAAGCAAATACTATGTAGCAAAATACTTTATCACGTAACAAGTCGCTCAGGTCTGGAATGCACTACCTGGAAGTGAGGAGAAGGCAGGTTCAATTGAGACATTCAAGAGGGCATTAATTGATTAGTTGATTCGAATAAATGTGCAATGGTATGGGGAAATAGGAAAGCAAATGGCCCTAAGTCATGATGCTAATTTAGAGAAATGATGTAGACACAATGGGCCAAATGGCCTCCTTCTGCGAGGTAACACTTCTGTGATATCAACAAACAGCTGAAGACACTAGATGCTGTAAAGACTCTGGATTCTGACGACATTTTGGTAATTGCAGTGAGACTTATGCTCCAAAACTCTCTGTACCCCTAGTTAAGCTGTTCCAGTACTGCTACAACACTGTCATCTACACAACAATGTGGAACATTGTCCTGTTAACGCTGTCCACAAAAAGAACAAATCTAACCTGGCCAATTGCCATTCTATCAGTCTACTCTTGATTATCAGCAAAGTCATCAAAGGTTTGCTCACAGTATTATTAAGTGGTATTTGCAGAGCAATAACCTGCTCACTGTGCAGGTTCTGCCAGGGCCACTCAGTTTCTGACTTGATTACAGCCCTAGTTCAAACACAGAGAAAGAGCTAAACTGCAGAGGTGTGGTGAGAGAGGCTATCTTTGACATCAAGGCAGCATTTGCTGGATTATGGTATCAAGGAGCCCTAGCAAAACTGGAGGCAGAAGGAATCTCGTTGAGGGTTACAGACTGTCTGCTGGCTGAAGTCATACTTACCACAGAGGAAGACAGTTGTTGTTGTTGATGGTCAATCATCTCAGTTCCAAGGCATCATTATAGGAGTTCCTCAGTATTGTGTCCTAGGCCCAAACATCTCAATCTTCTTCAAGAATAACTCTCCCACCATCATAACAACAGAAGTGGGGATGATTATACAATATTCAGCAACAATCACAATTCCTCACATACTGAAACAGCCATTACCATATGCAGGATGACCTGGACAACATCCAGGCTTTGGCCAGGAAGTGGCAAGAAGCATGGATCACCCACAAGTGCCAGGCAATAATCAGCTCCAACAAAAGAGGATGTAACCATCATCCACGACATTTAATGGTATTATATTTACGATTCCATTCTAACAACATCCTGGGGGCTACCGTTCACCAGAAACTGAACTGGGCTAGCTGTATGAATGGAGTAGCTACAAGAACAATCAGAGGTTAGGGATTCTGCAGTGGGTAACTCACCTCCTATCTCCCAAATGCCTGTTCACCACCTATAAGAAACAAGTTAGGAGTATGAAAAAACACTACTTGCCTGGATTACTGCAGCCCAAACACTCATGATGTTTGACACCAAACAAGAGAAAGAAGCTTAAGCTGAAGGTGAAGGTGGTCAATAAAGTAGAGTTATGTTTACCACTAACACAATGGCAGCAGCATGTACCATTTACAAAATTCATTGCAGCAACTTGCCATGGTTCCTTCAATAGCACTGACTAAACTTGTAAATTCTGCCACTTCAAAGGACAAGGGCAGCAAATGCATGCAACACTGCTAAAGGAAGGGGAGTGAAAAGAGTGGACTGGTTTGCCTTAATTTTCCAATTGTCACCAGACACAGGGTATGTGCCAGAAGACTGGGAAATGGAAAATTCCCCTGCTCAAGCAAAGACTCAAGTCAGTTTAACATTAGTGATGGGTTACTTTGCACTGAATACACTGGCAGATGCTACTGTCAAGCCAAAATGACATTTTGCTTACCACACAAATGAGCAATGTGATTGGTGCTTCAGTGCCAATGTTTGATGCCTGGTGAGCAGGCGGTTAAGTGGAGCCGAGTCCACGAGATCAGCCATGATCTTACTGAATGGCAGAGCAGGCTTGATGGGCCAGATGGCCTACTCCTGCTCCTATTTCTTATGTTCTTATGATGCGGGCTGACAACTGACAGACAACACACCCCTTTGACCATCTGCAATGTGCAGCAGGCTAATCATGTTCAACTAGCCCATACTTGCAGACCTCAGAACACCAGGTCCAACAGTAGATATGATTTTGCCATTGCTATTATTTACTAAATAATTCTCCCTGTGCTAAGAATTAGACAAGAAGCCAGTTTAAGATTATTAGGCTTGCAGCGTGATACATTTGCATGTAGAAACTACATATATTAACATAAAGGGGCCTGCTCTTCATAAGCGAAAAATAATTTGTCAATACACTGCACATTTTTATGTGGAAATGGTTAGAGACACTGTCAAATGCTAATGCATTTCTCATGGCAACACCTTGAACCAGAGTCTATCTTCCTGGTCTGCATTTTTTTCAGTTCTTGCCGCATTTCCATGCCAATCATGGTCAAGCAATCAGCACCCCTTCTGATGCTGTATAAACTGATATTCCCAAGTTGTTTGGTTCATTGAGTGTCGGCTCTGATGAGTGCATGACAAAAATTTTTTAGCAGTGTTTATGTTCAGTACTACATGATCGATGAACAGCCACAAAGAATTGCACTTGCAAGCAGAAGCACTAGAAATCTCAAAGAATACTGCAAGTGGACGCCAGAGGGAAAAAAATGTGAAACAGTAGAAACTGCAGACTGCATGGCAGAAGAGTGCAGCAAAACATTAAGTAGTACATGCGCCTATCCTACAGCCTCTATGTCAGGAGTATGTTTGAAAAATTATAATTTAGCTTCCAAAATTTTCATTACCATTACCTGTGCAATAAGACACAACGTGTTACTGTTTGATAAAATGTCTTGGCTACAGTGAGAAACAATGTACAGGTCATTACCAGCAGAACAACTTGGGTTTCTATCACCTCTTTGTTGTAGAAAAGTTTCCCAAAGTTCTTAAGAGGTAAAATCAGACAAAATGTGACAGTAAATCAAAAAAGGAGTATGTTTTACAAAAACCTATCCAGAGCAAATTTTTAAACAAGTCCAGTAGGAATTCAATTTAGAAGTTTACAGTTAGTAAGGTAATAATATCAGATGATATGCACATAATTCCCAGCAGATACATACTCCAAGGTCTACAAGTGGAGGGAGACGGTTCATACAAGGTGCAATGCATATTTGAGGAAGCTTATTTTTAGCAAGTTTTTTTGTACTCCAAATCTCAGTATATACCTGGTATTTGGATTGACTAATTTGTCAAATTTATCAATTCCAAACACCTTGAAGAATACATACCTTGGTGGTTGAATCTTGAATCGCTCAAATACTTCAGGGTACAACAGAGGAAAAACAACCATTTCTTTGAGAGCTTGAATGTGCTGGCTAAGCCCTCCCACACTATCAAATCGCACCTAATAAAAGAAAGACCGTAAAAATTAAATGAGCAATCATGCAGCTCAGTGGCTTTGATTTTGAACAGCTTCACTGAAGAGTAAAACACAGTAACTGAATAAAAATGGTACATAAAGTCAGCTATAACATGACTATTGACTACGTAATACGTTAACAGATTTACTAAATGCAAAGTTGGCAACTTAAGAAGAGTTTTAAGATTAAACTGCATCGTTAATCAAACCAATAAACTTTGCCACAATCGGAGCCACGATCAAGTTCACTAAACAGTGCAAAGATATAGATTGCATTCAAATAATTTAACCACTACAAAGGAAAGAAATTGCACGAAAGCACTGTCTGGTCAATGGCACCAGAGATAGAAGATTCACAAGGCTTTGAGCAACAAGCCTGTTTTGTCTTGATTGGGGTTTCAAGATGACTTATTCTCCTGTTAAAAGAAAGATTGGTGACTTTGTAAGAAGTGAAATTTCACCATCTCTGATTCTGTGCTACTGAGATTTGTTCATATTACCGATATGTAACTTAAGAAATTGGACCAGAAGTAGTTAATTCACTCCTTGAGCGTCCACCATTCAATTAAATCACTATTGATCTGATCTTGGCCTTAACTCCACTTGGCTGTCTGTTCCTCACTACCTTTAAAATCGAGGTCCATTCTGAATATCCTAAATAACAACATCTACAGCTCCCCAAAGGAGGATCAAATATGCAAAATCTTCAAAGAAGTTCCTTCTTAGAACCACCTTAAATGGGTGACCCTTCTGAAACAATGCCCAGAGATCTAAGTTCCCTTATAAGCAGAAACATCTCAGCATCTCCATATCAAGTCCACTCAATCTTATGTTTCAGTAAGATCAGCTCTATTTCTCCTAAATGCCAATAAATGTCTACACAGTTTGCTCAAAGTTTCTTGATAAGGTTATCCTCCTTATCTCAGAATTTTGCAATTTGTCCCCATTTGTATAATAATTCGCTTGTATATTTTCCCATAAACCCATTTTCTCAAATTTACCATCTGTCAAATTTATGTCAATTACGTAGCTTATCTTTTTGTAGAGTTCTTGCAGTTTCCTCACATCTTATGTTCCAAAGATAGGAAAGTCAGCAAATTTCACCAAACTACACTTGGCCCCTTCATCAGTTCATGAACATAGATTATAAATAGTTAAAGCCACTGCACTGGTGCCTAGGATCAAGTATGCAGGCCATCAGATTCATAGAACATAGAACATTACAGCGCAGTACAGGCCCTTCGGCCCTCGATGTTGCGCCAACCTGTGAAACCAATCTGAAGCCCATCTAACCTAAACTATTCCATTATCATCCATATGTTTATCCAATGACCATTTAAATGCCCTTAAAGTTGGCGAGTCTACTACTGTTGCAGGCAGGGCATTCCACGCCCTTCCTACTCTCTGAGTAAAGAACCTACCTCTGACATCTGTCCTATATCTATCACCCCTCAATTTAAAGCTACGTCCCCTCGTGCTAGCCATCACCATCCGAGAAAAAAGGCTCTCACTGTCCACCCTATCTAATCCTCTGATCATCTTATATGTCTCTATTAAGTCACCTCTTAACCTTCTTCTCTCTAACGAAAACAGCCTCAAAACCCTCAGCCTTTCCTCATAAGACCTTCCCTCCATACCAGGCAACATCCTGGTAAATCTCCTCTGCACCCTTTCCAATGCTTCCACATCCTTCCTATAATGCAGCAACCAGAACTGTACACAATACTCCAAGTGCGGCTGCACCAGAGTTTTGTACAGCTGCAACATGACCTCATGGCTACGAAACTCAATCCTTCTACCAATAAAACCTAACACACCGTGCGCCTTCTTACCAACGCTATCAACCTGGGTGGCAACTTTCAGGGATCTATGCACATGGACACCGAGATCTTTCTGCTCATCCACACTGCCAAGAATCTTACCATTAGCCTAGTACTCTGTATTCCTGTTACTCCTTCCAAAGTGAATCACCTCACACTTTTCCGCATTAAACTCCATTTGCCACCTCTCAGCCCAGCTCTGCAGCTTATCTATGTCCCTCTGTAACCTGCAACATCCTTCCACACTATCCACAACTCCACCGACTTTAGTGTCATCCGCTAGTTTACTAACCCATCCTTCTACGCCCTCATCCAGGTACTTTATAAAAATGACAAACAGCAGTGGCCCCAAAACAGATCCTTGCGGTACACCACTAGTAACTGAACTCCAGGATGAACATTTCCCATCAACCACCACCCTCTGTCTTCTTACAGCTAGCCAATTTCTGATCCAGACCGCTAAATCACCCTCAATCCCATGCCTCCGTATTTTCTGCAATAGCGTACCGTGGGGAACCTTATCAAACACTTTACTGAAATCCATATACACCACATCAACCGCTTTACCCTCAGCCACCTGTTTGGTCAGGACATCGGTCAACCTCTACTTCCAAATCTTTGCTTAGTACTTTCTCTCTAGTGATAGTGATTGTTTATAAATTTCAAATTCTGTGTTATTTCCTGGTTTCAAATGGATCCCCCAATCTTATCCTTTAAAGGGAATGTTTTTCTACTCTCTACTTGTTGTCAAATGCTCTTACTATCTGATATCACATTTCATGGTAATTTACTCTCATTCTACGGTTCTCCTTTCTTAAATAATACATTACTATTTTCCAATACTTTCCCAAATATCAGCAGCTATAAATCTGCATCTCAGATTCCAAATCTGTGTATATGCTTCTATGAGATTTGTAAGAATTCATGCTAATTTACAATACTGAACTCAAGGGCTTGTGAAATATCCCTCCATTGTAGCTCTCTGGGCAATATTATCGGTACTGTCACCAATGAGCAGCTTTTTTCTCAAGCAAACCAACTCTCATCAGCAGAGTAATAGACATTTTTGAAACCCACATTAAGAATCTTGAGAGTGCTTACTAATAGTGTGGCACTGGGATTGGTCTGGGCCACTGCGTACACACACACACACACACGTACACACACACACACGCGCGCACACACACGTACACGTACACACACACGTACACGTACACACACACACACACACAATAAATAAATAATTCGTTGCCATGTTCAGATATAAAGCTACGGACACCAAACATTAAGAGGAGTGAAGAATTTAAACAACAAAATCCAAAAATTAAATACACAGATCAGGAAAGGTTCGGAAAGTCACCTAATAGATGAGAACTGGCATTTAGTATGAACAACTCTCATTCAATGAGACCAGTAAAGGAATAAATAGCAAAGAATATAAACTGTTCAAATCAGTTGTAGGCACAAACCAGGAGGGGAATCTAGGGGTACTGACCAATAGTTCACCACAACCCAACACTAGATGTATAGCAACATCAAGCAAGGCAGACTGACTTCAATATGAAGAAGCCAGAGGGAAGGGGTACAACAACAGATAGCACCTTTAACACTGCAAAAAAACACTTCACACAATGATAATGAAGCAGTAGCACAGTAACACCACCGAAGTACATAAGCAGTGCAAAAAACAGCAGCTAAATTGATACCTAACTCAACGCATCTCAGAAGTTGAAACCATGGGACCGTTTAGTCTGATAAGTGACTTAGATAATGCATTGGAATTTGTCACAAACATCAGGACCAGGAGGTACATATAGGCTTAAAATGTTGCTTTATATGAAGTGGGTGATGCCTTAATCCAGGAGCATAGCAAAGATAATGTAGAAGATAAAAAGGAAATTCAAAGGAAGTTTAAGATTGGACAACTGAGCACAGTCAGATTTTGGGACTGGCCTGGAGCATATTCTGGTCTTGAACTTCTTGCTGGCCAACCATTTTGGAATTAACAGACCAATCACATGCCATTGGACTATGCTGCAAAACACTGTCCGAATTTCCGAATTCACATTAAAACAAAGTATTATGCAACAAATTTTATACAAGAGCTTTTTAAAAAAAAACAATACTTACTGATGCATCCAAGTGCATTGGATCTACATCAGCCAAACTGGCACCAACTTTGACCCGCTCCCTAAGGATTTCACTCGTTAAATCTTCTGTTCTAATGTTCATCGGAAGACACCTGTTTAGTAAATACACTGCTTACAACTTTTCTGAGAACTTCCAAACCCTACCAAGTTTTTTTTTAAAAAGGTTTCTTTTTAAATTTTAATTTACACTGTTTGCTCAGCAAGATGACAGACATACGGCTGGCAAATTTGTTTCTCTTTGTTCATAGAACATCACATCAATGGCAAGGACAGCATTTATGGCCTATTCCCAATTGCCCTTAAGAAAGTGTTATTGAACAGCCTTCCTGAAGCATTGCAGTCCATGTGCTTCAATACACTCACAGGGCTTTCAGGTTGCCAGAGGAACCGGGCAGCGACTGTGGAATAGTAATATATTTCCATGTCAGAATTGTGAAAGATTTAGGGGGAGAATCTTGCAAGTGGTGTAACTTTCATGCACTTGTTGCTCTTGTCCTTTTAGGTAGATTGCAGGTTTGCAAAGTGCTGCTCAAGAGCCTTGGTGAGTTACTTTAGTGCATCTTACAGATGGAACACCCTGCATCAAAAGGAGGTAGTGAATGAGATGTCAGGAATGTGGGCAGCTTTGACCTGGGTGGCATCAAGCTGCCAGAGTGTTACTGGAATTGCACTTGTCCAGGAAACTGAGAGTACTCCATCACACTCCCACTTGCGTCTTGTGAATGACAGAAAGGCTTTGGAGAGTAAAACAGTAAGCTAACTCACAACAAAATACCTAGTCAAAGACCTATTCTCGTAGCCATATTATTTATTCTGGTTAATTTTCTGGTTCACAATGATCCTCAAGCTTTTTCTGGTGGTGTTTCAACAGCGACAATCTTGTTTAATGTCATTGGGAACTGGCTAGATTCTGCTAGGCATGATCTTTTCCCTGAACCTGCATGGTGCAAATTTCTACTTGCAACATGTTAATCCAAACCCAATCACTTTCTGATTGCAGCAAATAGAACCAAACACTGTGCAACCAGTGAAAATATTCATTGCGACCCTTGATGGAACAGCTGAAAATAGTAGGGCCTTGGACATTGCTGAAGAAGTTCCTTCAGCCAATGTGCTAGAACTGGGACGATCAGCCTGCAACAAACATAACCATTTTCGTTTGAGTTTCGTAATGATTTCAGTAAACTGCTCCTCATTAACTTGAGCTTCACCTGTACTCTTTGATGCCACAGTCAGCCAAATGCTGCCTTGATGTCATAGGCATGCAATCTCTCCTCAGCTCTGCAATTCAGCTTTTTTTTCCATGTTTGCCCAAGGCTGTAAAGTTGCTTGGACCAAGTGGACCTGGTGAACCCAAACAGAGCCTCTCTGAGCAGGTTATAGATATGTGCCACTTGATAGCACTGCCAATAACTGTTTCCAGTACAGCACAGTTAGCTCCAAATTAAAAGTTCTCTATTATGGCCAAATCTAAGAGGAGAAATTCCTATGCTATCAGTAAAATCACATTCCACTTAGTAAATCAGCACTTCTGAGGTCTGAAAGAACAGGAATGTAGTTAATTCCGAATAAGGAGAAATAAACGACACTGCTAAGAATTGGATTGAGACTGCTCAACAAATAAATCACATCCCTTTTATTTATTTCAACACTAGGGACTATAAACACCAGACCCCACTTTATTTGTCTGAAAACCAATGCTTATTGACTATTTGCATACTATAGTACAACAGATTCTAAGCTCAACAGCTTAAATATTTTGAGCATTTAATATACAGCTCATGAAGGAAATTTGTTACATTAGTTTATTATTTGCAATGCACAACTTGATCAACTACCTTCTAACAAATTTAGAAATTACTAATGCAATTCTAAATTTTAAAATAATTATTTTGATTTTGCTGTGACAGAATACACAGTTCTTTTAAAACATGAAAATCAATTACTCAGATCTTAAAAGTACATAAAGATCTCTACTGATAAACTTTACCTGTTTCTGGCTCTTGCCATGCTTTTAGATTTTCTTCTTTCAAAACGTTCTTCGTCAGATGACGATGTGGTGTCACTGCTGTGGATTGCATGCTTCTTTCTCCTTTTTAAAACAAAGAAAAGTAAGCAATTTAGATAACCAATTGAAAAGAGGTCTATGGAGCATGTTTGTTGAGCCAGACTGCCTATTCCTTTGTCACATTTATGCTCGTATGTTGCCTGAAAATGCTGCTACTCATCTACCATCTAGGCTGGTAAACATGAGAAACAACTAAAAGGTGTATTGTTTACTCAATTTTTACAAGTTAACTTGACAAGTTTTGATTTTGAAAAGTACACTTTGTTGAGTTTATTTTTAATTTTTTTTACCTGATGTGACTCCTTCGTGCAGGAGATCTCAGTGTATCAAATAGTGTGCTTTGTCTTTGTCTCCGATGGACAGGCTCTAAAATCACAAATTAATTCCTACAATTAATGAACTGTCAGCTTGGGTACAATGTCTTGTGACACTGAAAATAGGCACACATATACGAAGCAATTTATATGGTTGTATGTGAAATGAATACCTTATTTTTCTGACTGAACTTTTTACTTACCATTCTATAAAATTATAGCTATTTTCAGCAAGTTAATTTTAACTAAAAGCAGGTTGAGTGAACCTTTCACAATGTTTAAAACCATGGTCTTCCAAAAAAAAGCTTACTTTAGATTATTAAAATCTGGACTAGCATACATCACTGAAGTTAGAGAAGACAAGGCAGCTACATGATATGTTGCAAATTATTGGAAGACTATTGAATAATCTGATGAGACCAAAGAAAAATCACTGTGCCTCTGAGCATTACATGACTTCACAAATGGAATGATTACCAATAATGCTCAAACAGCCCCACGTATGCTCATGACATCAGCTGGCCACAACAGGCTCCAGGAAGTGCCTGTATATGCGCTGACGTGACTGTTACTACCCCACATTCACCTCATTGCTAACCCACTTTTCATTCCTGCCCTGCATACCACCCTCACCCCAGTCATTCCACCCCTTGTTTCTAGAGCCAGGAGCCATGTCCATGACAGGCCAGGGCTGCTGCTGTCTCTCCTGCCTTTTCCTCTTCTTCCCTGAATCTGTCACCAGCTGCTGGCTCCTGTCAGTTGCTCATCCATGGATAGCCACTAGGTCAATGCTGAAGCTTGGGCTTCACTGCTGCAGCGGACCTTCACAGGGCCTCACAACCTTACCCTGCTCACTCACAGTCAATGTGGGATATGTTTCAGGCTACCAAGTGCTGGATCACACAGAATTTCCAGCAAACTTCCAGCAGCGCCATCACGAAGACTGGCTGCTGCTTTCCTTCCCTTGCCTGATGTTGGGGGCCTCTTTGTGCATACATGCTCTTTACCTAGAGATGGCACTTGCAGTCTTCACAGCCATCCACAAAAATCATATTATTTTACCACTTTACCTATTGGAGGAGCTTGGTATCTCTGCACCGCCTTCCGTTGCCTCAGGTTATACGGCCTGTCATTTTCTTCAGCCTCTTCGACTTCATCACCATCTTCTTCTTCTTCCTGAGATTCTATTCAAAATATATTTTGATCTTGATTGTTTCTATCATTGCAATTACCAAATTCAACAAGTAATAGTCATTAGTTATTAACCAAAACATTTTTGCTTGAAATTAAAGTCACATGCAAAATATTCCGTAATCAATATGACAGGAAAGGATATACAATCAATTCAATCAAAGTTATAGCCCTAAGATTGGGTGATTTATTTTTCAAATTCTTTTCAGATATCAGCCTGACTTTCTTGATGTCCAAACAGTCATTACTGCATGGGAGCTGCACACAAGGAGCTGCACATGAAGACCTTGCAGAATTCCTATCATAGCCTACTCTACAGAAAATGCCCAGGAAATTAAAGATTCTGCCAGGCAATTTATATATGTTTAAAACCATCCATTTAAAATGGGAGAATTTGGAGGTTCACGATGAAATTAAGTAAATAACTACTCGGTAAAAGCTGTACCATGAAACACAGTCAGTAACTATTCAACTGACCCCATACTTACCTCACACACCCTCAACTACACTGTGATCAGACCAGTTACATGTACTTCAGATCTTGACATGAAACTCTCTTGCCTCCACTGGGACCCAACACCTTGCCCCACACCAGACCATACACATCCCCTTTCCCTGCTTGAGATCAGAGCCACTTCTGCTCCTCCCAGGACCCAAAACCCTCTTCCCTCCCTCCAGACATGGTGTGCTCCACCCCACTGCAGACCCAAGAGGTCTCCCACCTTGCGATGTAGTTACCTAGGACCACAGTCCATACCGAATTAGAGTTCTAACCATATTACGTATTATCTTACACAAGTGCTACTCAGTTGGTACCCTACCCTGCTACCCATCTAGCACCCTAAACTCAGACTTATATACTTATTTTTTGATAGCAACTGTCAAAGTGGCAGCTTGTGATCAATTACACTGGCCAAACATGATTCCAAACATTAATCAAAGACAAAATATTTACACTGAGCTATTCACAGCATTATGATCAAATAAAAGGCACCACATGAAACAAATATTCAGAATATTGTACCACAAACATGTGGTTAAGAGATGGTGATATACTTTGGTGCCCAGTATACTGATGTTCCAGTGTGGTGAAATACAGGTTCAACATCCACACTTAACTCTGGATCTCAGTTACATCATTGTAGTGAAAATCTGAACAGAGGCAAGCAACTGCATTTTTCCTACAAGGCCCACAGCCAAAAAAGAAATCAGCATAATCATGTCCTCTAGTCACTCTTACAAAAATGTTAATTCCAAGGATAAAATATAGGAAGTAGCAGCAGCAATGATAATAAGAATAAAAATATATTCCTTTGTTCATCAAAGAGCATCAAGACAAGAGATGGCAAGTGCAACAAATTAAAAATAAAGAAAACTTTAATCAAATAAAATACATATACTGTACCTTCACTTCCTTCTTCTTCCTCCTCCTCTTCTCCTTCACTAGCTTCTTCAACATGGATAGGCATTCCATACATGTTTCTTCTTAAAGGTTTCCTTTTCCTCTTCACACGGGAATACATATCCATATTTTCCTATAATTAAGTTATAGATATCTTACCAAATGACAGATTATTACAGAAAAAAACGCAAACAGAAATGTTACAAATTAATATTTTCATTGTATTATTAAACAGCACAAGTCTTTTAGTAGGGTGATGTGTTCTTCCTGTCAGACGTGGGAGATCAGAAAGAATTTGAATGTTTCTGGAGATGATGTCTGGAAGAAGTGTGCTTGGTTGTGAAGCCTATCAGGCCACATGGATCGGTTAGAGGCAATGAGGAGTTTATAAGAGCAAGGGGGTGTGATGGATGGCAATTTCAGAGGGTGGAGATACCACAGATACAGTCAGGTAGACGGTTGACCACTAGAAATGGTAGGTAGCCAGGTAGTGCAGTAGACTCCTGCAGCTATCCTCATCTCAAGGTGTATGCTGTTTAGGACATTGTTCGTGGAGGATAGCCTCTCAAGGGAGTATAGCCCTGACAGTCAGGTTTCTGGTACAGTGACTGGCTCGACAGTGATGAGAGATATGTCACCTTCCAAGCCGTCGATTGCGATAGGGGACTTTCAAGTCCGGGGAACACACAGATGCTTCTGCAACAGTCAGCAAGACATTAGGATGGTGTGTTGTCTCCCAGGTGCCAGGGTCAAGGGTATCCCAGAGAGGATGCAGAATATTCTCAAAGGGGAGAGTGACCAGCAGGAGGTCATTATGCACTTGGTACCAATGACATAAGCAGGGAAAGGGACGAGGTTCTGCAGAGAGAATACAGGAAACTAGGCAGGAGGTTAAAAAGTAGGTCCTTGACGGTAGTAATACCTGGACTACTACCGGTGCCACGTGCTAGTGAGAATAGGGATAGGAGGATAGAGCAGATGAATGCAGAGCTAAGGAGCTGGTGCAGGGAGCAAGGATTCACATTTCTGGACCATTGGGATCTCTTCACAGGTAGAAATGACCTGTTTGAGTGAAACCGATTCTACCTGAATTGGAAGGGGACCAATATCATTACAGGGAGATTTACTAGTGGTACTTGGGAGGCTTTAAACTAGTTGGGGCGAGGGGGAAGAAATCAAACTAACAGTGAGAAAAAAGACCGAGGCTGGTACAGTAGATAAGGGGAGCAAGGCAAGACAGACAACAGCTTGGCAGAGAACAAGGTAAGACTAATAAATTAAATCGCATTTACTTCGTAGCAGGAGGCCTGACAGGTAAGCAGATGAACTTAGGGCATAGTTAGGAACATTGGAGTGGGATATCATAGCATTTACAGAAACATGGCTCAGGGATGGACAGGACTGGCAGCTGAATGTTCTGGGGTACAGATGCAATCGGAAGGATAGAAAGGGAGGCAAGGAAGGAGGGGGAGTGGTATTTTTGGTTAGGGATAACATTACGGCTGCACTTAAGTAGGATATTCTAGGGAGATTGTCCAGTGAAGTTATATTGGTGGAACTGAGAAATAAGAAAGAGATGATCACCTCATTGGGATTGTATTATAGGTCCCCCAGTAGTCAGTGGGAAATTGAGAAGTAAATATATTAGGAGATTTCAGATATCTTTAAGAATAATAGGATTATAATGGTAAGGACTTTTAACTTTTTAAACATAGGCTGTGACTGTCATAGTATTAAGGGCTTACATGGACAGGAATTTGTTAAGTGTGTACAAGAAAACTTTCTCAATATATGGATGCACCTACTAGAGAAGGAGCAATACTTGACCTTCTGTTGGAAAATAAGGCAGGGCATGTGACTGAGATCTCCGTGTGGGAGCATTTTGGGGCAAGTGACCATAATTCTATTAGTTTTAAAATAGTTATGGAAAAGGCTAGACCTGATCTAAAAGTTAAAGTTCTGGAGGTCAATTTGACAGTATTAGACTGGAACTTTCGTAAGTTGACTGGGGCAGGCTATTTGCAGGTAAAGGGATGGTCAGGAAATGGGAGGCCTTTAAAAATGAGATGAGATAATAAGAGTTCCGAGACAGTACGTTCCTGTTCGTGTGAAGGGCAAGGCTGGTAGGCATAGGGAATGCTAGATGACTAGAGAAATTGAGGCTCTGGTCAAGAAAAAGGAGGCATATGTCAGGTATAGACAGCTGGGACCGAGTGAATCCCTTAAGGACTATAAGGGCTGTAGGAGTTTACTTAAGAGAGAGGGAGGATAAAAAGGGGACATGAGTTAGCTTTGGAAAATAGAGTTAAGGAGAAGTCAAAGTGGTTCTATAAGTACATTAAGGGCAAAAGAGTAACCAGAGAGAGAATAGGGCCCCTTAAAGAGGGCCTTCTATGTGTGGAACCACAGGAGATGGGTAAGAGACTAAGTAAATATTTCACGTCAGTATTTACTGTGGAGGAGGACATGAAAGATACGGAAATTAGGGAAATAAACAGTGATGTCTTGAAAAAAGTGTCCATACTACAGAAGAGGTGGTGCTGGAGGTCTTAAAATGCATTAAGGTACATAAATCCCTGGTAGCTGATCAGGTGTTTCCCAGAACTTTGTGTGAAGGTAGAGAAGAGATTGCTGGGCCCCTTATTGAGATATTTGCATCATCGAAAGCCACAGGTGAGGTGCCAGAAAACTGGAGGTTGGCTAATGTGGTGCCATTATTGAAAAAAGGCTGTAAGGAAAAGCCAAGGAACTATAGTGAGCCTTATGTCAGTGGTGGGCAAGTTGTTGGAGAGGATTGTGAACGACAGGATTTACATGCATTTGGAAAGGCAAGGACTGATTAGGGAAGTCAACATGGCTTTGTGTGTGCGTGAAACCATGTCTCACTAACTTGATTAAGGTTTTTTGAAGAGGTGACAAAGAAGACTGATGAATGCAGAATTGCAGATCTTGTCTTTTCGGACTTCAACAAAACATTCGACAAAGTTCCGCATGATAGACTGGTTAGTAAGGTTAGATCACACTGGATCTGAGGGGAGCTAGCCAACTGGATACAAAATTGGTTTGAGGTTGGAGACAGAGTGGTGATAAAGGGTGGTGTTCAGACTTGAGGTCTGTGACCAGCAGTGTTGCATCTTAGTAAGACAAACCAGGGCTAGACTCATACAGTTAATGGTCGGGCCCTGGGGAGTGTTGCCAAACAAAGTGACCTAGGTGTGCAGGTACATAGTTCCTTGTAAGTGGAATTGCAGGTAGACAGGGCGGTGAAGAAGGCATTTGGCATGCTTGCCTTCATTGGTCAGAACACTGAGTGTAAGACTTGCAATGTCAAGTTGCAGCTGTACATGATATTGGCGAGGCCACTTTTAAACTACTGCATACAATTTTGGTCATCTTTTTATAGGAAGGAAGGATGCTGTTAAACTTGAGAGGGTGCAGAAAAGATTTACAAGAATGTTGCCACATCAGGAGGGTTTGAGTTATAGGCTGTGGCAAATAGGCTGGAGCTCTTTACCTCGGGGGCATCACAGGCCTTATAGAGGTTTAGAAAATCATGAGGGGCATGATAAGGGTGAACAGCCAAGGTCTTTTTCCTAGGATGGGGGAGTTCAAAAGTAGAGGGCATAGGTTTATAAAAAGGACCTGAGAGGTAACTTTTTCACGCAGAGGGTGGTGCGCATATGGAATGAGCTGCCAGAGAAAGTGGTGGAGATAGGTATAATTAGAACATTTAAAAAGCATCTGGATGGGTATACGAATAGGAAGTGTTTAGAGGGATATGGGCCAAACACTGGCAAATGGGATACTGTCAGATTGGGATGTCTGATCAGCACAGACCAGTTGGACTGAAGGGTCTGTTTTTGTGCTGTGTGATTCTATGATTTTAAGTCTTCTAGTAGTCAGGATCAAACAGAAATACATCACTCTTGGAACAAACAAATATCATTAATAAATCAACTTAACCTAAACAAAGGCAATTGGGGGAAATCTACCATGAGTTCTCACCACAACTCCCAGATGAACTAGTGTGATGCAAAACTCACACTCACTTAAGAACTGCCACATTGTGGAAAAGATCTTGATCAACCCATTTGACAAGCCTATGAATCAGCAAATTTTAATACAAAACTTTAGGTTCTAATATATATCCATTATCTAACAATACAAATAAATGATTAATTTAAGAAAAAGCCATGTTAAATTGATACATAGAACTCAAGGTAAACCAAAGAAGTTAGTGGAATCTAAAGTTCAACTAATCATACTGAAACTGATAAGTAGTCTCTGTCATGGTGACCATGAGCTATCATATATTTCTGTAAAGACCCATCTGATTCATAATGCCCCTTAGAAAACCTGCCATGCTTATCCAGTTAAGCCTACATGCAACTTCACCAACACAATGTGGTTGACTTTAAACTGCCCTGTGAAGTAGCCAAGCAGCCAAAATACCATAAGATTATAGAAGCAAAATTAGGCCATTCATGTTTTCTCTGCCAATCGTTCATGTTTGATGTGTTTCTCTCCATAACTCCTGATCCACTTATTAATTAAAAGCTATCTATTTCTGTCTTAAATACACTCAATGACTTGGCCTCCACAACCTTCTGTGGCAGAGTTCCATAGATTAACCATCCTATAGCTGAACAAATTTCTCCTCATCTCAGTTCTAAAGGGTCATCCCTTCACTCTGAGGCTGTGCCCTCAGGATTTAGTCTCTCCTACTAGTGGAAACATCTTCTCCACATTCACTCCATCCAGGCCTCTCTGTATTCTGTAACTATCAATAAGATCCCCCCATTATCCTTCTAAACTCCATCGAGTACAGACTCAAGAGTCCTCAACCGCTTCTTATATATGACAAACCCTTTATCCCCAGGAATTTTTTTTTGTAAACCTTCTCTGGATACCCTTCAATGCCAACATATCCTTCCTTAATTTCACTTTTTTACTAACAAGGCAACCCCACTTCCTCTGCCCATCTGCCTGTCCCTTAGATAAGATGTGTATTCTTAAATAATTAGTTCACAGCTTTGATCCCCTTACAGCCTTTTCTCTGTGGTGATAACCATAACATACCTGCTAATTTCAATCTGTGGTATAAGCTGATTTAACTTGTTTCATATACTGTCTGCATTTCAGTACAATACTCTCAGTCTCCTTATCATAGCTGTCCCCTTATCTGCTGTGCCTGAAGTTACATCCTGACCCTTTCCATGTTCTCTGTCCTATTACTTATTCTAGAAACTTTAATAACTTCTGCTCAACCCTCCCACACCAATCATAATTTTCCATACAACTGAACCCACCCCTATTTAGTCTAAAGCCCTGTCCACAGTCTCAGCACAGCAACTTGCCAGGACTCTGGTCCCAGCATGATTCAGGTGCAGCCCATCCCATTGGAATTGCTCCCTTCTTCTCCAGTAGACTGTCTATTCCCCTGACTATACTTTACCTGATTATAACCACACATTTTTTTTCTCCTTCTTCTTGAATGACTCCCTGTACCACAATGCTACGGTCAATTCGCTCATCCACCGCACAGGCCCTTCAAAAAGGGAGCAAGAATCTCAAATCTATTAGTCAAGGGTTGTTTCAGCACTACCTCCTGGATCACTCTACCAGCATAGTCACACCCTCCTGTCCCTGACCACTGACCAAATTTGAGCTAGTTAATCTAAGGGATTTGACTGCCCCCCGAAACACAGTATTCAAGTTAACTCTCCCCATCCCTATGTGCCGCAGTGTTTGAAGCTCTGACTCCATCTCATCGACTCTGATCTGTATTATCCTGATAAAACAAGAAAGGTATTTAGAAACGAATTTTAGTTATGCAATCAATTAGACAACATGATCATGCATTTACAACAACTGCAGACCCAAATAAAAAAGCACTAATTCTAGCTCATGCAGGACTTATCCATGTAAAATGGTGTGGCTCCATGTTTGAGCCCTGATCTGTGCTCAGTGTCAACAAACTTTTGGGCTATGAATCATCACAGCTGAATTCAATGATGTCATCCAACATCATGTTGTTTTCAAAAGGGATCTGGTTATTTTCAATTTTCTTTACCCCCACACCTCACTAGTCCATAAATATGGAAGTCAATTGTGATCCATACTGTGTGCTAACTCAGTACTAACTAAGGATCAAAACTCACACTTCTGCCACGCACAGCTTGATAACGCATTAGCCTATAAACTGAACTATCAGGAGAAATACATACAAAAAGACTTTAAACATTGGTGTGAGGCTGAAAAAGCACAGCAGATCAGACAGCATCCGAGGAGCAGGAAAGTCAACGTTTCGGGCCAAAACTCTTCGCCAGTCCTGTCAAAGGGTTATTGGCCCGAAACAATGACTTTCCTGCTCCTTGGATGCTATCTGACCTGCTATGCTTTTTCAGCCTCACACCTATAGACTCTGGCTTCCAGCATCTGCAGTCCTTATTGTCTCCAAACCTTAAACACATTCAGTAATATTATTGTAACTTGCCATCCATTCTGTACTGTAATCCTCATAATCTGAGCTGCAGTAAAAAGAATCGTATTGAAAATGCGTGAAAAAGCAACATTGAAAACAAATAGAATATGGACATGACAAAAGTTAGTGAAAAATTTTTGCTGGTTTTAACAGGTATTATGCGATCCATTTGCAATTTACAATATTCTTTTCAAAAGAAAACCCCCAGTTTGCCTGAGCTTATTTTTCTCCATTCTGACCTTACCACCTGCTTTAAAGTATTCAAAACCTACATTAATCTGGCAATTTTAAAATCATACTTGTGCTTTTTAAGCAAAAAGCTACATCTTCAGAATTATCTTCCCCACTGACTCATCAAAAGAACAGATACTTACGAACTCTGTATCTGTCCACATCCTGAGACGCTCCACTTCGCCCGGTCTTCTGTTCTGTCTAATGTTACTAGTGATGTTATCCATTTCTTGCAGTACAGCTTCTGCAGTACTGGATTCACATAATACAAATACATTTTTTTTAAAAAATTTATGATTTCAAAACGTGTCCCTGATTATTATACACAAAATAAAACAAGCTAAGGAACTGGTTACGCCAAGTGTGAGGAATTGGAGTTTGGGGATGACAAGTTCTGATCACAATTTTGGTCTCCCTGCTGTAGGAATCTTGAAAGGGTTCAGTAAAGATTTACAAGAATGTGGCCAGGGTTGGAAGGTTTGACCTATAGGGAGATGGTGAACAGATTGGGGCTATCTTCCCTGGAGTGTCAGAGGCTGAGGGGAGAGGTTTACAAAATCATGAGGGGCATGGATAGGCTAAATAGACACGGTCTTTTCCTCAGGGTGAGGGAGTCCAAAACCAGAGGACATAGATTTAAAGTGAGAGGAGAAAGATTTAAAAGGGAACTAAGGGGAAACTTTTTCACGCAGAGGGTGGTGCATGTATGAAATGAGCTAGAAGAAGTGGTGGAGGCTGGTACAATTACAACACTTAAGTGGCATCTGGATAGCTTTATAAAATAGGAAGGGCTTAGAGGGATATGAGCTGAATGCTGACAAATGGGACTAGATTTATTTAGAATATTTGGTCAGCATGGACAAGTTGGACCGAAGGATCTGTTTCCATCCTTTACATCTCTGTTACTCAAATGCAGGTAGTACCCAATATCAAGACTTGTGTGGGTATTTGATTTAGGCTTAGGGCGTAAGGTAGCGAAGTTGGATATCCGAATTACAAATTGGTTCATGAAATAAAGAACTTTAAAAAGGAGTCAGGTAGGTGATGCAAGCCTGAAAGCCTGAACACCTTCACACTGATGGGCTATAACTGGAACCATGGAATTGAAAGTTGTGTAGCAATCGTTCATATTGTTTGTGCCTGTATGTATACAAGTTGTATGGTTATGGTAGTGAACAAGCAATCTAAAGTTCAAGAAATGAAATCATACCTCACTAAACTGCGAATGTGAATTCAACAAAATCTAGTAGTCTGTCAGCTGATACTAGAAAAAAAATACCTTGGAAGCCATCTGCTGCCATAAAAACTAACTGACTTATGAATGTCCTCCAGCAAAGGAAATGATATACTTGTACCATTTGACTCCAGTCTCAAGTACTTAATACCCTTTAATACCCCGTAAAGTAGCCAAAATCTGCTCAGAACCTATTATTAAACTACAGATTAAGCATATGCCATGTAGAAAATTATTATCGTTATTTCTACACCACATGGAAGCACTACAGTACAGTATGCCAAGGCACAGAAACCAAACCAAACCAAATTTGTTTAAGGTATTTCAGTACACCTTATTTCAAAGCTAAAGATGCAGCTAGATGACCAACCAGTGTCATCTCTCAACCACTTGCAAGAAAGTACAGAGGTGCAGCCTGGCTAACATTCCCTCTAATCTTTGCCTTCTTGATTCATACCTGACACCTTCTTTTGAGAAAATGGCAAATAATTGATTTAATAAACAAACACTGAATTCTCCCATTTTATGTATTAAACAGGGTTGAACTCACTGCATACAGTAAGAGCTAAAGAAGACAGAAAGATACTTTAAATGTACTTCAAGGTAATGGAACTACAGGACAAATACGATACCTGTTTACCAGCTGATCAAACAAGAGGCTTTGGTTGAGGGTTTCAAATTTATTTCTCCTTGCTCGACCACTTCTTCTAACTTCTGAGTCACCATTCATGTGAGTATGGTCCCCATCCTCTTGGCTTTCACGTCGACTTCCAGGATTTCTGAGAACTTTATAGCAAAGGATCAACATCAGTTATGAGTTGATTTACATATTTTGAAGTAGCTGTATTTAATACATAGATATGTGATGCTGTTGAAAGGCAGTTGCAGTCTGTTGCAAGATTGAAAGCAGAGATGAGGAGAAAATACTTCTCTCAAAGGGTTGTGAAATTCACTACCCGAGACTGTGGTGGATGCTGGGACATGGAGTAAATTTGAGGAGGAGATAGATAGACTTTTAATTAGTAATAGATTGAGGGGTTATACAGCACAGATAGGCAAGTAAGTTGACGCTGCAATGAGATCAGCCATGATCATATCAAGTGGCAGAGCAAGCTTGAAGGGCTGAATTGCCTACTCCTGCTCCTAGTTCTTATGTTCTTTTTCCAATATCTTATCATTTAAGAAATACTCTGCACATTTGTTCTTTTCTACCGAAATGGATAACAACTCAATCTTCCACATTATATTCCATCTGTCATGCTCTAACTATTCAATCCTCCCGAAGCCAGTTTACATCTTTCTTACAATACACGTTCTCTCAGCTTTGTATGATCTGCAACTTTGGATCCCATCTCCAAATAATTGATAATTGCTGTTTTCTTTCTTGCTCCCAAATTAAATAGTGACATCTGCCACCTTCTAAACCCAAGAAATGTTTAGAGTCTACAAAATTTTGGAAGATAACCACCAAGGCATCAACTATCTCTGTAGCCACCACCTTCAACTACTCTCAGATGTAGACTGTCAGGTTCTGGGATTTGTCAACTATCAGCCCCATTAATTGCTCCAGTGCAATACTCTGACAGATGCTAATTTCCATCAACTCCTCTTGGGTTTCATCTTCTAGGAGATTTATGGTATCTTCCTCTGCAAAAACAGATGCAAAAGTAATAATTTTGCCCCTCTGTCATTAGAAATTCTCCTGACTGTAATAGAGCAACATTCATTATTGTCAAACATCACCTTTTTATGTACCTATGGAAGCTTTTACAGTCCGTTCTTATGTTTTTTGTAGTTCATACTTACATTCTATTCTCCCCCTCCAATATCAATTTCTTGGTCTATCTTTATTGCATTCTATAAACTTCCGAATCCTCAGAAGTTACTATTTCTGACCCTTTCATGGGTTTTCTTTCCTTCCTTCAATACCCACGTTACTCACTTTTGAGTTTTCACACCTTGAAGGAATGAATGCATAGTTGCTGCAAGTCACGCAAAATTCTTTAAACATTGCCCATGGCCTACATGCCTTTTACTGTATTTTCCCAATCCAGTTTAGCCAATTTGTGCCTCATGCCTTCTCTTCTTCAAATTTAACACCCGTGCTTCAGAACGAATGACCTCATTTTCAAACATGACATAAAATTCTGTCAGACTATAATCATTCAAGCTGAAAGATTCTTTTAGAAAATTATTAAATAGGTGTTTTTTCATTACATAATACCAGATTATAATAGCATTTTTCCTAGTTGGCTCCTTGAAATAACTGTACCGAGGCCAGATCCCATCACCAAGACACCCTTTATTTATTAGGGCACAGTACACTGGCTGTGGCCAGCCGGCTCGGAGTCAGTCCTCAACTGAGGAGATTCTAATCTCCTGATTATATTTTTTTCCAGGACCGCGGTAGACATCCGGTTCGCGCCACCGTCATTCATCGCCTTAAAACGGCAGTGCTTGGTCCTGACATTATGCACCAGTTGGAAGACGCTCAGGTGTGCAGTGGAATCCTGTCTGCGTGTATCCCTGCTCAGATGGAATTTCACACTGGCCCCAGGATCCCGTACCCCACAACCATGCTTGTGACTTGGTCTTTGGTCACATGGGTGTTTTTCCTGGTGGTGGATTATCAATAAACTTATTTACACAAACATAATCTCCTGGTTATATTGGTCAGCCAAGACTTTCCTGATTGGGGTTATTAACCTGGCCCATCAAGAACCTTGTAGTCAACAAGGTCTTCCTGATCCCAATCACCACGCTCCTCAACAAGCTACTCTAGAAAATCAGCCCCAACAGTTGATGAACCAGTCATCCACAACTTTCGTGTTCAGTTAGTTTACCCCATCCAAATGCAGATTAAGTCAGCCACGATAACTGTGTTGCTCACGCTACATTATTCTCTCATTTCACCATTAATACTATGGTCTGCTCTACCACCACTATTTGGTGGCCTATAATTAAAATCCAATCAATGTCTGCCTCCCCTTGCTAATTCTTAGTTTCACCCAAACTAATTCCACACTATTTCTAGGATCTGAGATCCTCCCTTATTGACGAACTGATCCCATCCTGTACTATCAGTGCAACTCCAAATCCTTTTCCTTCACGAGCATCCTTCCTAAATGTCGGATATCCTTGAACATTCAGTTGTGCATCCTGGTCACCATGCAGCCATGATTCTGGAATGGCAATTAAATAATACCCATGTATCTCTATTTATGCCCTTAGATCATCCTTAAATCATTGTGAATGCAATGAAACCAAAAATGTTGGAAATACTAAGCAGGTCAGGCAGCATCTCTGGAGAGAGAAACAGACTTAATGTTTCAAATAGACGCAAGTCACTCAGTTCCTATTTCTTGAAATTTTATGTACAATATGGCACTTGTGATGATGCTCAAAATTAGATCTGCACATCAGTGCGAAAGTAAACAGCAGGAGAGGCAGCACAGGAAAAGAGAGGAGGGAAAATTCAGTGTAATCAAACACATCATTTCGAACCCTGTTAGTTCTGCCTGTTGCTGGACAAATGCTATTTAACTCTGCATGTTACGGAGAGGAGATTATACTCTGCAGATATGATTTTTACTAGCGTAACACTTGTGATTACACTTGATTCTCGTAGAAAGCAGATCTTTCTTGGCCAGGTTTTTCTTCAGCTCAAGGAGCCAAGCCTAAACTGAAAATATATCCATTTGAAATAGCTGTCTACCCTTTTCACACTGCCTTGCACTGCATTATAAGGAACTTACCCAAACTACTGTGGCCATTTTGCATTGAAGCACCTGCGCGAGTAGTTAACCTGAAAAAGTTAAAAATAAAAATTATTATTGTAATGTGGAAGGAAGATTTATTCTAAATTGGCAATAGTACATTAAGTGGAGTATCATTGCATATCTTGAAATATTCATTAAAGCTGCAATAATTTTAAGCCAAATTCCAGTAAGATACCAAAGGTGGTAATAATTTTGACAAATTGCTCTGCAGATAGAAAGCATCTCTTCTGCTCTTTAATAGTTTCAGCATTCATTTTACTTACACACAACAAGTCCAGCAACATTTCAGTCTCTGAACCACTTCTGAGCTGGTTTATATTTTGGTACTCTTCTCCTGAATACTTTTCAAAGTAAACCTGTTCAAAGATGTTATTACACACCTCTGCAGCAGTTGGGACTTGAACCAGAGTCTTCTGGCTTAGAGGTAGGAATACTACTGCTACATCACAAGTGCCCTCATGCACGCTTCTCTGCCACTTGCCAATTGATAGCAGAGCTGCTGTGCATTTAATTCTTTCGTGGTGGCGTTAATGATAGCTTATTAGTATGGCAATTGAACTCACATTCAGGCTCCAAGAATAAGTCAGAGATTTTATAAAAATAAATCACGTCAGCCATGTAGTGCAAGTACAATTTGTTTGTGATGCTAACAATACAGAAGATTCAGCTGTAGTTGCTATGGTTATCACTGGTACTCATCAGTGCTGACAGCACATGTACAGCTGTGTTTCCTTTTAACTGGCAGCCACTTGCAAGCAAGTTGGAGGAGTGGCTGGAATTTATTAAATAAATTCCATGTATGTACATAAAGCAGCAATTATTTATTATTACTGGCAACTTAAAAAGAATATGATCATTAAGAAAAATGTATATCTCAATTTGGATGTTTTGATGTGAGTTGGAAGAATTGTGTATAGTTTCATCATAACAAGGACAGAAAAGTCATGAAAAAGATGAAATGATGAAAAAGATTCATTTGAACAATAAGTGAATAAAGGGTTTGGTTATCATGAAAAACAAACAATAAAAGGAGACCTCCATATAGTAAAGGAGAGAAATTTTAAAGGCAACTAATCTAACTTAAATGATTAAAACTTTTAAAGCTTTTAAAAGGAGGCAAATAGTGAATCAGTATTTCTACTGGTCAACAAACAATTAAGAATGAGTACTAGAACCATAAAAGGATAAGCCAAGAGAAATAGAAGGCAAAGGTTGTCAATCCCAGTTAGTTATTGAAGTCGAAAAGCAATAAAAAACAAGCTTCAAGAAGATATGGAAAGGAAATATAATGAACGAACTAGAGTTTAGTTCTGCACTATGAAACAAATTATCGTCACCTGTGTCCAAGTTTGAAATTTTAAGTTTAAAAAAAGGATCTTCCTTAACAAACTATACAATTAGCAAGAAAATCTCAGGAAATGTAGCAAAGCGATATTATAATGGTCTCTCAGGTTTTCCTATAATCACTAGGATACTGAGAGCTATGAATGCCTCTCACCTGGATTGCCTGGTTGAGCCACACCATTCTTCTGCCGGACCACTGTTATGTGGACTGCGCTCAGTTGAAAGATCACTCGAAACTGGGTCAGCATTCCTTCGCCTCAGTTTTGCCGGTGGTTCCGTCTGGCTGTCACTTAAACTTGCTTCATCATTACCAGCATCCTGCTGTAAAAGATAATATTTTGCTTTCAGAAAGTTTAGGGATTGTTTGCCAAACTTCCATGTAAGAGGGGAATAATAACTTTAAAAGTCTACTTCTAATTATTTGAACGGATATTTTCCTGCTTACAGCCGACAGATTTTTAGGAACTGTTGAAATTTTCATTCCTATCCTGCCCTTTTCAGCATTGGCCAAATGAATAATAAATATAATTTACAGTGGGCAATTATGAAGTTACAGGTTAGGAAAAAAAATCAACCTGAGAAATCTGTGTAAAATGATAATTCCAATTATTTTTCTTAAATTAAGTACAGAAGCAATAGCATTCTATCATGAATAAAATGTTTCAAGGTAAAATCTTGTACAAAGTTGCACCTAGATAGAAAACTGTGTTGACACACAAGAAGGAATGGGACCCTCATCACCTCTGTTATGCTTTGGTTTTACTCATTAATCTCTTGTACAGGACTTCGTCAAAAGCTGAAAGCTTCAGTGTCTGAGGAGTCACAATGGTGAAGACCTAGGTTCAAGTCCCAACTGCTCCAAAAGGTGTGTTGTAACATCCCTGAACAGATTGGTTAAAAGCACACTGAAGAACTAGGGCTCTTATGGTGCCGTAGTGGTTTACCTATCTCTGATTTAGAAGGCTTGGTTCAAGTCTAACCTACTGCAGAGCCTTGTAATAATATCCCTGAGGAGGTTGATTAGAAGATATTTACCCTGATGATCTAGGGCTCTTGTGGTGCAGCAGTAATGTCCCTTTCTCTGAGTCAGATGGTCTAGGTTCAAGTACTACCTCCTCCAGAGGTATGTAGCAGTACATTTGATTAGATTAATTAAAAATCCCTACCAGTGAAACTCCTACATGCAGATGTCCGGAAGCTAAGATAACTGACCTTCATGACCACAGCCATCATCCTTTGTGCCACGGATGATTCTAACCATCAGAGTTTTCTCCCAATTCCTCAATGTCAAGGGCAGTCAGTCTCACCTCACCTCTGGAATTCAATTCTTTTGTCCATATTTGCAACAAAGCTATATTGAGGTCAGGAGATGACACTTATCCAAGTCAACCTTTATCCTTCAACCAGCCTCACAAAAGCAGATCATCAGATTGTTGTTTTCAATGCTGTTTGAAGAACTTTGTTTTCAAAGTTGCAAGATGCAAGCTATAGACGTAAATTATTTCCACCTGTGATTTCAAACCTCCAATTACTTTCTTCAGTCTCATGGAAGATTTTTTTCTAAATCAATATGACCCTACCTATGAAGCTGATGTAAAGACGATAGATTTTAAATGATCCACGAACTCTGAATTCCATGCGATCCAAACAGACAATCTGAACATGGAGCCTCAAATAGAAATATAAGAGCAGCCCTGATTTTTTTTTCCCGCATTATTAAACCAAGACAAATATCACTGAAAGCAGGAATAAAATTACGCAAACCAAGACATGATAATTTGGCACTGTCCAAACCAGATTTTAAAAACTGAAGGTAATTAACTTCATTAGTTAAACCACATCTGAGGTACTGTGTACTGTACTGATGATCTTAGAGGAAAGATGTAAATGAGTTTGAAACAGCTTGAAGGTTACTAGACCAATACGCGAAATACTTGTGTCACCCTATGGAAGAAAAGTTGGACAGCCTAGGCTCATTCAGAAGAGTAAGAGGGCTATCAGAAGAGTAAGAGGGCTATTTCAGTGAAAGATGTAAATAACATAGCCAAGGATCTAGGTAGGGAAGTTGCGAAAAGGTTGTTCCCTCTTGTGGGAAAATCTAGACCTGGTGGCTTACTGTTTAAAAATAAGCTGCAGCTCATTTAGAACAACAATTAGATGAAATTTCCTCTCACACAGGATTGCGAGTCTTTGGAAATCTCTTCCCGAAGAAGTGTTGGGGCCAAATCTTCAAATAAGGCAGGGTGAACAGATTATTGTTAAGCAAAGGGATGAAAAGTTATCAGGGCTAGGTGGAATTTCAGGTTACAATCAGATCAGCCATGATTTTATTCAATAGTGAAGAAGACTCGAGGGGCCATATGGCCTATACACACTTCTTGCGCATGTTTAAAGTAATGACAATTCATTATCATTACGAGAAGACCTCGCTGCAAGTAGTTTAATATCTTCACCTTAACCACTGTTCCCTTTTTCTCCCTTTCATCTGCTGAGTTTTAGATTGTATTTTGTGTGTTTATATTGCCAATTTCCAGCCTCACAGTCTAGCATCTTGCTCATAAAAAAGGAGTAATATGGTTTTGTGATTTATATTGTGGTATTTTGTGTACAAAATGCACCAGTTACTAGTTGCTTTGCACACAACCATAATTCAAAACCATGCTAAATCCAGAATTACTTTAAGGAAAATGCACCACAATGAAATATAAGAGCAACTATACCAAATCCCTGATGAATCACTATCCTAGAGTTGAACAAAGACCTGAGGTCATATGATACAAAGTAATACTGAGTACCATGAGTGAAAAAAATACCTACCAATATTGTGAGTACCACACTAAAATGTACTGACGACCAACATTAATGCCTTCTTCTGGAAAAGAGAAAAAGGAAAAGGACACAAAACCTGTATTGATGAGCAGCCAATTTTCATAGTACAGGTCCTACAACAGAAATGTTGAGGGATAAATGTTTGCCAGAAAACCACATAACTCCCTGCTTTTACATTATAGGGCAGAACCAAACAAACAGTCTGTTCTGTGCATATCTTCTGGGAAGTTCATTTTGCAAGACTAAGTAAGATACATGAAAACCCAAAAAAAAACTTCAAGAGAACTATTCAAATTTAGCTCTATATATATCATTCATAAATTGAAAAACTTTTTTAAAAAGAATCATTAGAATCCAGAAGAATTGTCTCAAGCTCTGCAATTATCATGCTAGCTCCAAAAAAAATCTAGATGAATGAATAAATTACAATTATTCATCTGTAAGTATCAGTGTTGTAAAATACCCTAAAAGTTTTATGGCTAAAGGTTATTGCATATGTTCATGAGTACATATTCTACAAGTTTTACAAAGGACTGTATCTTCTCTTGTACTCATAGAACAATTGTTATACTAATTGTATAATTGCTTTGCCAACGGCTTACAAGTAAATGAATTTTGTATTAATATAATTCTGGCACAAAGGAAGTAACATAATAAAAGACCTTCCTATAAAAGCAGAATACTGCAGATGCTGAAAATCAGAAATAGATTGTTTCACCTCTAAAGATGCTGTCCAGAGTTAACAAAACAATTCTGAGGGTGGAGCAGGAACAATTGCAATGTCTTATAAGGCATCTGGATGGATATATGAATAGGAAGGGTTTCAGATGGATATGCTTGACAAATGGGACTAGGGCAGATTGGGATGTCTGATCGGCACAGACGAGTTGGACCAAAGGGTTTGTTTTTGTGCTGTATGACTCTATGAATTGTTTCCTTTAAATGTCAAAAAGAGGCTAACATTTTTCTTCTCAACCCTACTACCAATGTGGCTCAAAGTTACATACCGAGACATTCCCACATAGGCTGAGCACAAATCCAACCCAGAAGTTAAGCAGACATACAAGAGAAAAACAAAATCATTGGGACATTGCCCATGAAAATGAATAGGCTGGGCACAATAAAAGAAACTGGAGGGGACATTCTTCATCACTACCCAAGACTTCATCTCATGCCAACAACTGCAAGTTCATACTGCAGAACGAAACAAATTTCCTGTTATTCTATCATGGGACATGCACATCATAGGCAAAGCTAGCATCTATTGCACATCCTTAACTGAAAGTGAAAAAAGGTGTGGTGAACCAGGTACACTTACAGCACTTACACTTACAGAAATGAAAGGAGTTTCAGGATTTTGATCCAGCACAGTGCAGAAACAGTGATTATTGTTTCACATTAGGATGGTGCCTCACTTTGAGGCGAAGTTACAGGCTTTTCCTATGCACTTACTGCCCTTGTTCAAAGTGATGAAGGTCATAGGTTTGCAAGGTGCTGTCAAAGAAGCCTAAGTGAGTTGCTGCATTGCCACTGAGCATCAGTGGCAGAAGTAGTGAATGTTTATGGTGACTGATGGGCTAAATTGTGACAAGCTAAGTGCTTTTGAGCTGCAAGTGTCCAGTTAAGTGGAGAGTATTCCATAATACTGTTACGTTGTGCCTTTCAGATGCCAGATCGTCTTTGGGGAGTTGTGTGGGGGCTGGGGTGTACTTGCTACAGAATTCATAGCCTCTGATGTGCTCAAGTGACCACAATATTTATATGGCTGTTCCAATTTAGTTTCTAGTCAATGGCAACCCCAAGACATTAAGTGAATCACCTCAATTATGGCAATTGCATCAAAAGACAGGGGGAAATGCTTACATTTTCTCTTGTCTGGGATGGCCACTGCCTGGCACTTGTGTGCCACAAAGATTACTTATTACTTAACAGCCAGGCCTTGACGTCGTCCAAGTCTTGTTGCATATAGACATGGGCTACTTCAGTACCTGAGGAGTTGAGAATGGTACTGAACATTGAGTAACATAAATGAATGTCCAATAAAAGAGGGAAGGTCACTGGTGAAGCAGCTGAAGATGGCTGAGTCAAGGGCATGACTTTAAGGAGGTTCTGCAGTGATATCTTGTGCTGCAAGGATTGCCCCCAAGATAGGGATTCTATAATTCTATGACCATCTTCTATGATATTATGTCTCCAACTAGTGAAGAATTTTCCAACTAACTTCAATTTTGCTCAGGTGCTTTCACGTCAAGAGCAGTTACTCTCATCTGACCAAATTCAGCTCTTTTGTCCATGTTTGAATAAAAGCTGTTAACGAAGTCAGCAGCTAAGTGATCCAAGAGAATTTAAACCGAAACCTTACCTGCTAAATGTCCTAAAGCCCAACATATTACTTCACAATGTATGACTATTACGGC